CTAACTGTAGTTACTTGTGTGACTGGATTGGTTGGGATTAGTAAAGTGAAACTCTCTCGAGACGTTTAGGTTGTGCGTCAGTCGAGACAGTTTCTAAACGTAACGCATTTCGAAACGGGGGTAGGGGGGTAGCGCCCTTTTCGAATAGAAAAATGACTGTTCGCACATTTTCTGGAACTGTACAGTCTACTACCGGTATACCGTGCTAGATCCTTGCAGCAAATGAGTGTGTTTAGGTGGAGATCTACCTATGTTTGCAGATCAGCTACCCTTGAACTGCATGCATGCGCAGGCTACTCAGAGGTGTCAAATGTCACACCAGCCTGATCAAACCGTGTACATGTACCTGGCCAGCGTTGACAGCAGTAGATCTACAGGTCAGTTGTTGTGGAGGAACTATGTTTATGTGCGTGTACATGTCATTGAATGTACTCAGTAAATACGGTACTACTGTATGCCATTCACGACCGCTCTAGCAAAACATTCATGTACATGTACATGTACATGTACAATTATGTACATAAGCATACCATACAGTAGCATGGGGCATGGACGTGTACAGTAGATAAACACGGAAAATGTGCGATAAGACTTTCGACTAGAGGGGGGAGGTAGGGGGGTAAAGTCTATTCGAAATGCGTTACGTTCGCAAAATAAATGCGAACTTATGAGATGCTCCCTTATAGTGCTAAGAAGTGGTGGAGCTCGTGAGAGATAAGGTGGCAACTTCAGATGCAGATCGACGATATGCATAATTTCCTGGAAGTGTGACAATGTGCAGACTTTCTTCCATTTTTGTCCCAAACCAAGAGCATTATATGATTTTATATCCCTTGCTGAAGCATTATAATCGGCATTATAAGGCAGTTTTTGGAGCATTGTGGTTAGCATTATACGAACATTTTCGGAGCATTATCCGCTGGACCCTAAACGGGAAGCGAAGTAGAAACGGTGACCATGGTGACCTCAGCAAGTCTACAGCATGGGCCGTGGGAAAGGGTGCACCCTTTCCTTTTTCATACTGTATCCAGTTTCCCCTACATAATGTCATTATCAAACTCCTCACTACCAAGCACAATCATGTAGTAGTAAGGAACGAGCGGGTTCTGGGCCAGGGGGCGCCCGGGTCCCAAAAAATGGGGTATTATTGAAAAATATGTATTGGGGTGTTATGCTCTACCCTAAACAATAAGGTAATATGGTGTCATGATTTGGAATTCTGCATGTATCATTAATTTTGATTTTTAGGGGTGGGTGTTATGTCCTGCCCTACATCATAATATTGCATTCCGATGTCTAAAATATTACTATTTCTAATGTCAATGTTATCTCACTTTTTCCAATTTTATATTAATCAGAACTCATAGTTTTGCAGTATTTTGACTTGTAATTTCAATTTTTCGGATCATTTTCACCTTCATCATCAATGTCGATCGTGCCGACACGCACAACAACACGGGTTATCCTCGTCGACATGACTGAGAGGCGGACAGATTTCGTCGTCGCTTGCGTATCCCCGTCTCTTCGAAAGACCTTACGCTCATTCAGATCCTTGATCACACGGATGAACTCCTGGGCTTCGATCTGCTCACCATTTTCAAATGTCTCTTCGACAATGTCCAGAACACCTGCAGCCTTCATCACGTTGTACATTGATCTGCGCCCGTCGTCCCAGCAGCGCAGCAGTCTGCCTGTATCCCGCCATGATGAGGATCCATAATCCTCTACGCCGTCAACGATGATCTTTGGGAGACGCTGATGTTTCTCACCGCTCACGAGAACGCGCGACGACACCCTGCACAGATACTCCGCAATCTCCATGGGAGTAAGTCGACCCGATCCGGGTGAAGAAGCATGGGTCTTAGCTCGTAGGCTGTGCCCAGATCGGTGAGTAAGCGAACGGTTAATTCATCTTTACTACAAGAAAATAAATACCACTTCTCAACATATTATTATGGTTCGGAGGTTGACCAAGACATCTTCGTTGGCTATCACCATGATCACTATAGACAGGGTCTACAAGTACAATGCAGATCTACCATCATCCGAGTCATGTGGCGTTGAGCAAGGAACTCGGATCGCGGAGTACAGTGTACTAGTACATGTACATGATGTACATACATGTATGTATACGTATAAGTAGTGTACTGGACCTTTTCTGCTTTTGTGTATAAAAATAGCTGGAATGCCTTACGTCATGTATGTAGATCTACGACTCCCAGTACTAGTAGATCTACGCGAATGACTGTTGGGACATTCTTCCAAAACATGACGTCACAGAATTCGTAAAAAAAGACAACTTTTGTCGCAAGCGGCTAGCCTGTCGCAAGCGCGAGACTCATCATGGGCGCGCTCGAGCTGCGAAGCGCGACACACCGGCGCGACCCAAACTGTGTCACGTCACGTGTGTATCGAATCTGACCGCCATTATTATGATCGCCTTCGATTATTTATTTTCGTTCTACTCGACAATTCCAAAAATCAGTGCCATTGGCTTTAGGTTAGCTTTGCCCTTGAACTTGAAATCTCGTGCCTTATTCTTTCCTGGGGACTGGTGTTGGATATTGAACGGGCGGAGTGACCGCCGGGATGATGGATGAAGGAGATGATGGCCTAATCTTGGCTGCGCGCATTCTCATTTTCGCGTGGCCTGCCACTAGTGTTTGATTCACAAAGGGTGTCACAGGCATAGCTGGAGGAAGAAAGGTGATGTGAACTTCAGAAGTTCTGCCATCGCAGCACTGTATAGAGGGCCATTAGAGGCTGTGTAGGCCGTATGTTTGATTTAGCTTGATTTAGCTCAGTGCTGAGCTTGCACCACACCACAGGTAGCATATTGAGTATTATTTACATTATCCATTACTTGAACCGCTCTGTGAGCGGTTCTGAAAAACCTTTCACTGGCGCTGCCCCGTCGTAAAAGTAAGAAATTAAAACTGGCTCATTGTACCCCCAAATGTGAACTGATCCACCTACCGCAAATGACGTGACCCGAACGCAGCAGTAGCACGAGGGTGCACTTGTGGTGTGCCGCAGGGCTCTGTACTAGGACCCATGCTGTTCTCCATATACACCAGAGATATCCCCTCGGAATCTGCGCCGGCATCATCACTGCAGTTTGCGGATGACATCGCCCTGACATGTGCAAGACGGACAGCGCAAGAGGTGTCTGATGCGCTCAGCTTGGCGGTTACCTCCCTCTCAAGTTGGCTGGACGCTCGTGGTCTTGTATTAAATGCAAAGAAGAGAAATGTATTGGTGTTTACCTGCAGCAGTGGGCAGCAGCCGGACGTGGGTGTACGCTGTCGAAATGATGTGCTTCCGCACACCACCAGCGCGAAATACCTCGGCGTCTTAATCGATGAACGAATGACCTGGTCACCGCAAGTTGACCGGTGCATCTCACGCACTGCTAGGAAGATCGGTAGTCTGTGGCGGGCGCGACGCTGCCTCACTCTAGCTAGGCGAAGCAAGTACTTCCTATCTGTCATCATGCCGGATTTGATATATGGATCGTCAGCATATGGCTCCGGCTTGACCCACAACCAGCTAAACCGCTTGCAGGTGGCCCAAAACCGCGCAGCAAGGGCGGTGTTCGGACGACCACGATTTACCAGGGCCAGTGATCGCTTGGAGAGGCTCTCTGTTTATCGCATGGACGAGGTATATCGCCAGAAACTGCTCGTGCTGGTATGGCGGTGCGTTCATAACCGTGCCAGTCCTTCTCTGCAGGCACTGTTTGTTCGCAACTGCGGAGCAACTCGCCTTCAGCGCAGTCTGGGCCTACAACAACCAATAGTCAGAAGCCGAGCAGGCCAATGCCGACCGGCATCTCGCGGTTGCCTGTTAAGTGTTATGGAACCATATACCTGACACGGTGCGAGCTATGGGCAACATCCCAGCATTCCGCCAAGCTGCCATTCCCTACACGTAAGTCGTTGTAGACTGCTACACAGTTGGCCATACCATGGTATTCAGTACCCACGTAATGTGATAATGTACCGTGGTGCATGCACCGGTGGTACCACCACTTCGTAGACTGCCTCCCGTTCATTTCTGTGCTCCTGTCTTTATTCTCGTCAGCTGTGTACTTCAGCAGTTCAATTCTGTGCTCCAGTCCTCTTTATTCTCGTGAGTTGTGTACTCGTTTTGCTGTTTGTCTGGTTTATTTGAATTCGCACAGTAAATGTGTACTTCAGTTATTCTCTCCTCCCTCTTCTGAGTTTGACTCTCCGCTGTCCTTCTCTCCTCCCATCCCCTTTCATCGTATTGGGCCTCCGCACACACTACATTGTCACACAGCACAACTCAACCATTCGCTACCCTGTTATTGAGCACTCCTGCTCGTTTGGTCTCGCAAATCCAAATAAAATCAATCAATCAATCAGGTTCCTACCTGTGGATGCAGCTGGGGACGCTGGTCCACAGGCCATGGTCGTCGATGAACTCCCATGTTGGATATCCGATGGAAGTAACTACTATGTGTACTAGCAAAGTTACACTGCCACTGATACCATGTACTAGTGATGGTGTTACCCTATGATGTGCTGTGATCCTGTGCCCTCCCGACCTCGTGCTACTGGTGCGTTCGGGTCCCGTCATTCCCGATTTAGGTGGATCAGTTCACATTTGGGGGGACAATGGGCCAGTTTTAATTTCTTACTTTTACGACGGGGCAGCGCCAGTAAAGGTTTTTCAGAACCGCTCACAGAGCGATTTTTATATGGATAATTTCAGTTCTTTTTCCGTTCCCTCCCCACCCCAACCCCGAAGGTAAACATGATGAACACGCGCGCGATGTACTGTATGTAGGCATGAGACTGCGATAACACACTGATACATACCAGCCCTCCCCACCTCGCTTACCCCGCACACAGATACACAAACACGCGGATGCACACGGTACACGCACACATACGCACATGCACACGACACAAACAGGAAATTCTTCATGTAAAATGCCATGCAAAGCAGTGGCCACCGTACTTAAGGAAGTCAGTTGTGGAACAAAGTAATTCAACTACAACGTGTAGACAAGCTGACGGCCAAAGCACAACATAGCAAACATGACATTTGCCCAAGGATTGCAGTTTGCAGACCACGCCATGGAAGCAGCGAATGAAGAATGTAATATCATACAAAGTGACAAGCAAAGAAGTGGCCACCATACACCGGAGACTTGCAGAAAGTCACATATCCAACAGATGGAAAAGTGAACAGCAATCTGGTACAGCCCACACAAGACAAAGCTGACCTGATACTTGTCCCAGGATCGCAAGTGGCAGATCCTTTTCAATGCATAACATGCAGGTGTACATTACACGCATGGACAAAATCTGACCGTGTCGCCAGCATACAATGTCATCACATATATACCCCACAAGTTACACCCATGCACAGTAGAAGCACAATGAAAGCAATGGAAAAGTACGATGTGGTTGCTGAAGCATCTTCGCACTTCAAATTCAGACTTCAATGTGGTCGTCACGAGATGATATACCTGCAAGATACAAGTGATGCAGAAAGAAAGCAGGTCGTGAGGTAGGCTATGAGACACCACAAACGGGTCACCTACATGTATGTTCAGGGCTAGTGAAATCGGCTTTCATACTAGTTCAACAGAATCTACAGCGCACGTTGCACAGGAGAATTCATACTCATTCAACAGAATATACAGCATACATTGCACAGGAAAATTCTTGTACATTGCAGAGGAGAATACTGGCTTTCATACTCGTTCAACAGAATCTACAGTGTACATTTGACAAGAGAATACATGTAGAAGGCAAAACGATTACACAAATCTACGCCAATAGTTATTATATGTCCCTGAAGATAGGCTACTGTAAAACCGGAAAATTTCGGTGGAGATTTATTTTCGGTAACTTCGGTTTTACCCACACATTACACACGACAACTTACCTCCACGGTCGACATGAGCTCCCCAGGATCCCCCAGCTCTTCGGGACACGCCCTCACCATCGTCGTGGAAACGTTCAGCTCGGCCAGCAGCCGTCGCAAGCCATCAATCTCATACGAGCTGAGACAGACCATGTCCGAGAGCGGGCAGGATGGCGGTGATGGAGGTGGCTTGCCGCCTTGTGAGCTGTTCCCGTCTCCTGACGAAGCAGCAGCAGCAGCTGCCGCTGGCGGCTGGGCTGCAGTGTCATCCGTTGACAGCTGTGGGCGCCGGAGAGAGCTTCGCTGCGTCCGTATCTGTCAGCAATCAGACAATCAGAATACCGTAAAATTCCGTTAATAAGCCCCGGGCGTATACTTTGCAGAGCGTCAACAACCGGGCGTATATTTGGGCATGGGCTTATTTTAGGGCATGGGCGTTATTTTGGACGCAATCTGCAGAAGATCAATCTATCAGCAACCCACTAGTTTCAGTGAACCACCATTCACACTGAGCGCGGTACAGGTACATGAAACCACATTTTTTGACAGTTTGCTACATTCCAACGGAGCATCGCTGTCCTCGCGCGCCGTGACAGTGTTGAGTTCTCCACTACTCGATCTACAACTGTTTTACAGTTTGTACTCGAACGCACGCTCGCGCGCTGGTCATTTTGAGTCCACTTGACGCCCTGGGCTTATTTCGGGCATGGGTGCTAAAACGGACTTGAAGTGTACACCGCCTAAAACTGGGCTTATTATCGGACATGGGCGTTATTTAGGGTTGGCTTATTTACGGAATTTTACGGTATACAAGTCCATATTTAGGCATAGGATATCCGCCGTGAACAGCATTCAACCGGCAATACCCAACAACAAGAGTACTGTAATTTCACAAATTGTTGGTGTACTTTTTTTCGGTACGTTTGGTGCGTCTGTTTCTTACCTAAAGTTTCAATACACCGAACAAACACTAACACACGTTAGATCAGATAAGAAAGCATCAACACGAATGTACATGATTGTATAATATTACTAGCAGCACCCGGCCAGCGTTGCCTGGCCGAACGTGGCATGCGGGTTAAGCAAATACATGAACAGCACACGTGCTCAGCACGTGGTGGTGGCTACACGATTCGCACGCTTCGCGTGCTCAGTGCTTCTGTGGCTGCTTCCGCTAGCTACACGATTCGCACGCTTAGCGTGCTCAGTGCTTCTGCGGCCGCTAGCTACACTGTTCGCACGCTTCGCGTGCTCAGGGCGCTGCTCCGCAGCGCTTCTGCGTGACACACACACAAACACACGTCACAGGTGCCTCTTCTTTATAAGTAAAGATTTTACTATATCAGCGCAGCTTTCCACCAAACTTACTGGCACTGGAGTTGGTGGAGATGCAAGGATGATCCGGCCGCGTCTCATCCGTCAGTGCACTGGGTGACGACTCAGCACTGGTACGCACCACCAGCGATGACGACGGGGTGGAGGCGGCACGCGATGGGGTAGGGCTGGAGCTGGCTACGGCGGCTGCGCTGTCTGCTGCTGCACGCGTTGGGGTCGGGCTGGAGCTGGCGGAGGCGGCTGAGGCACGCGTCGGTGTTGCCACGGTGATGGAAATGGCGGCGGCCACGGCGATTGCAGCCTTGCGACGCCGCATTCTGGGACTAGCGGAGGACGGGCTGTCGGAAACGTGCGCTTTCTCAACGCGTGTGGACTTTGCCGGGGTGGCGTCGGCAACAGGTGGCTCTGGTGTTGCAACGCTCTCCGTCTCACACTTCGCATCACTCGGCTCGGTAGCATCAGCAGTAGTTGTAGCAGTGTGGGAAGTATCGCTCTCTTCTTTCTCCTTGCCGCTAGTACTTGTGTCCATGGCAGTGTCAATGGTGGTGTCCATTGCAATGTCGATGGTGTTGTCCACAGTATCTATGGCGTCCATGACGATGGTGTCCATGACGATGGTGCCAGTGGGTGTGATGGTGGTACTGTCATCAGGCTTGTACCCGTGAAACTGTTCCAGGCAGTAACGCAGAGAGTGCGCGTACTTGTCCAGTGCGTACCACATGAGCTGCGTGAAGAAGGGAAAGCGGAACTTCTGCGGAACCCTGCATGATAAGACACGAAGGGAGTCATAGTGGAACAAAGTGAAGTAAACAGAGATAGAGAGAGAGATGGAGAGAGATAGAGAGAGAGAGAGAGAGAGAGAGAGAGAGGGGGGGGGAGAGAGAGAGAGAGAGAGAGAGAGAGAGAGAGAGAGAGAGAGAGAGAGAGAGAGAGAGAGAGAGAGAGAGAGAGAGAGACAGAGAGAGACAGAGGCAGAGAGAGACAGAGACACATACACACACAGTTCTACGGCAACATCGATGAACGACGTAGGAGCATAACAAAACAGAAACCTTCATGCACAACTCCAAGCCTTGGAAAGCTCACACAAGGCATTGCCGTGGTAGAGTTGTAGAAGATATGACAGACATGCACAGCACAGTTCACGTACCTGAGTAGTTTCTTCAATGTCCGCCACGGCAAGCTGACCGCTTATGTTGAAACTGTGCAGAAAGTTTCCACCAAACACTAGCGAATCACGAACACTAGCGAATCCACAGGAGTGTGAACTGCATGAATCCAGCCTGTCAACGAACAAACATACACACATCAGTGTTGCCACATCATTTTGGCCAAATATCAGTAGGATGAAAAAATAAAATGCATCATCTGGGGGCTTTTTGCCCCCAGACCCCCATCATAGTAACCCCAGTATACACATGCACACAAAGCGCACTGTTAAAGGGGAAGTATACCCTAAAATCACATTTTCACCAGTTGTAGTCTTCGGGGTACTGAGTCGAATAGTCTTGGTCCGAGGAAGCTGAGACGCTCCCTTCCTCCTTTATTCCCAATCGAACTCGCCCACTTCCACCGAAACTGAGTGACTGCGCCCTACTAGATGGGGATTTGTATGCAAAATGTCACTAAAAACGCCATGTCGTTCTTATAAAAGCACGGATGACCGCGATTGGCCCATATGTTGTAGTCTTTTAGACGCTGAGTCGACTGGTTTTGGTCCAAAAAGGCTGCGATGCAGCGTTCCTCCTTTATTCCCAATCGAACATGGTTGAACAAGCGGTCACGTGCTCCCGCGTACACCAGTCACCTGGTCACCGTGCCTGCAGGGTACAACTTACAAGCCTGTTTGACCTTTTTTGGGTGCAGTCCTGTCACTCGAGTTGAACTCGAGTTGAACTCGAGTTGAACCTTGGTGTGAAAATACTTCGACAACAGCAGACAGTCAGTTATAGGCGATTCACACGACAGCCACTTGCACGTTTTACGGCGAGTGATTTACGAGAAAAGTGACTGTGTGGATAGGGCTTGAAAGTGCTACGTCACAGCATAGCAACAATTTCAAAAATTCAAAAACTGGATCCACTTGGATCCAGTTTTTGTATGGATCCAAGCACATTTCAAGCGGTCTTACCCACAGCATGGTGATGTAGCCAGTGAAACTGACTGATTTGGCTACTGGGGGCGGGGTTACAACTGGTGGCGAAATAAAAGTCACACCTGCATGCGACATGAGTGGGTTGCTATGCACCCACATACTTAGGCAATAGCAAAGTCACACCTTGGTGGATCCAAAAATAGAAATCTGATGTCAACTTACTACTCCCTGGCCGTTTTGACGTCATCACTTTCAAGCCCTATTCACATGGCTGCACTCAACAGCGGGCACGTTTGCATTTTTGAATGATTCACCCACCAGTTGCCATGAGAATTTCAAATTTTCAAAACACGTGTACAATAATTATCATGGTGAAAAGAGCCGCGTAAAAAATCAAGTCTTGTTTTGCGCTTTTTGGTGTAAATATAGTTTACTGCTTGCCGCAGAGGGGCTGAGGGCTAGACCCACAGGACACTTCTGATCATAACTCACTAGACCTAGTCTTTCTTAAACTTGCATTCAGTTTCGGCGGGGACAATACCCCCGACACACAACCAACAAAATTTGACGCCATCAGAATATCTATGCAAACACGGCCTAACGGACAAAGTCAAACAAGCCGTGACCTGATGTTGACACAGCCTGGTCAGTATGGAGCTTGCATGTCGAGTCTGCAGTTAAGGAATTCATACCTCAAAAAATGAAGCGAAATAACCTGAACAGCAAACTGTGGTATAATGCGGGAAAATCAATAAAATTTAATTAAAAGAATGTCACGTTCGGAAATTTTATTGGGTGGTCATCCCGTTTGACTGAGCGAAGTAAAATTAAAACAACCAAATGGTTGGGTTGATCTGCACTGTGCAACCGATTCTCTCACCTTTCTTCCTCCAGCTATGCCTGTGACACCCTTTGTGAATCTGCGAAACACTAGTGGCAGGCCACGCGAAAATGAGAATGCGCGTAGCCAAGTTTAGGCCATCATCTCCTTCATCCATCATCCCGGCGGTAACTCCGCCCGTTCAATATCCAACACCAGTCCCCAGGAAAGAATAAGGCACGAGATTTCAAGTTCAAGGGCAAAGCTAAAGCCAATGGCACTGATTTTTGGAATTGTCGAGTAGAACGAAAATTTAAATAATAATCGAAGGCGATCATAATGACGGTCAGATTCGACACACACGTGACACAGTTTGGGTCGCGCTCGTGTGTCGCGCTTCGCAGCTCGAGCGCGCCCAAGATGAGTCTCGCGAGCGCGACAGGCTAGCCGCTTGCGACAAAAGTTGTCTTTTTTTACGAATTCTGTGACGTCATGTTTTGGAAGAATGTCCCAACAGTCATTCGCGTAGATCTACACATGTACAGTCCGGTATGTAATGCCGATGCCTGGGTAGAGACTGGTAGCTGTCCGGTGTCATGAGGTGTGCAGATCTACGCAGCTGACAGTCAGTGGCACATATATTATGTACATGTGTACGGAAAGAGTGGGTACCGGGTGTAGGCTGTAGCGACTACAGTAAGATCGGGCGCCGAAGAACGCAGGGGCTCAAGCGCAGCCTAGGAAAGTTCTTAAGGTGGCTCACACCCTCTGCGCGCGCATCGTTTCAAAAGTGTAGATTTTCAGTAAATTTTTCGGTAGCGATGATTTTTGCGCGATCAATCGTTGTAGGAAAACGTCTTCTCGCTTTTCTGCAATTCTGGCCACCCAGCTAGAACCTGCTGCTAGTGTCCCTCTTCACTCGTTCTTTCTGTGAAAGGGGAAGGCAGCACTCGCAGAAGATTTTCCAAGAATGCAATGTCGACTGGTGCTCGTACTATAAGAAGGGAGAAATCAAAGTCCGCTCTTGAATCACGCCTGAGTCTTAGAAAATTATTTCAGAATACGCTTGTGTAGATTTCCTGCCAGTGCCACTGACATCTCGCGACCTTCAAATATAACTTGCTCGATCATCTCCCGCACTGACTGGTAAATTCGTCGGGTAGCTGTGGATGGATCGATTCAGGGAGATCGAAGGTAAATACATCGAAGAACTTCAAACACGTTTCAAGACGCACTTCAAATTTTGTAATTGTGTCTTGAAAATTGTTTACAACAATTCGTACTTCAATACGCTATTGAATTGTATCCTCTGCTTGGGAGTCTCGACTGTTTTATTGCTGCATGGCTTTCCTCAACACCGTTCACTGTACGTGTATCGCGGAGCGCAGATTGGATGGCATTGGAGGTGAATTTGATAATTTGTGACTGTGTCATCAACCAAGTCAGGGCCTCAAAATGGGACGCTCCGAAAATCACAAACGCTGCGAAATAGGTATGAAATGGTCTTACACACTGGTGGATATTCCACATTCATTGTGTCATATCTTAAGACTGTCCGAAAGTTTGTCGTGCCGTGCAACTTTCACAGACTAATCCGATAATTGGCATGTGGCCCTATCGGCACACACTCATGCGTATGCCGCTGAGTCTATCTATATGTGCACGCACATGTGTGTATACTTACACAATTTTATTACGTATGCAAAATTAGGCAATCTACATGTACATATATAATATGTGTGGGCACTCACTCCTATGACATAGAACGACAGTGCAGGCTATGTAAAGTCGCACGAATGTGTGTTACCCGGGTGTGTACATGCATGCGCACTCGCGCGGGCGTTTTGTGTGTGCGCATGGCATGGCATAACGCCGTTCAATATGACTAGTGTTGAACCGTGGTAATTTGCCCCACCCCTTCTTTTTTCTATTGGCGTTGGATATGCAACTAATGACATAAACTCGGTTGTTGAAAACGAGTGCCATGCACCACAATGGATTGACAATAATATAATACAAGTAGCGCTGTGAAAGCGCTGGTAATACTCATGTTGCAGCCATGGCAGTTGTGATTAGCTTTCCAAGTCAAGCCTGCTGCAGAAATTATTGCACTCTGACCAGCTGGAGTGGCCCAGGACTGCAGGTTGTGGAGAACAGGAGTGATGCTTGTATATACGCTTGTATTTACATGATGGACTTCGAAGTAACGTTTGGTGTATTACTTGTATGTTCTTCTGCCTGTGCACGTGTACATGTGCTGGTCAGTGTGGAACCGCCATCCATATCAGATCATACAGCTCAGCTGCTATCAGTCTCAACAGCTTATATCTGGCAAAAAGGGTTTTAGTGACTCAATTTTGCTTACTGTGTTCAACAGAGTGGCATTGCACACAGCTACTTTATGTAACAGTAGCATCTTGGAAATTTTATATTTTTGATAGTTAGCTTCAGTAGAAAGTTACTTCTCCAGTGTGGCTCTTAGCTTCATTTCCACGGAGACTAAGCATTCAAGTAATGCACGAAGAACAGTGGCTAGATGCGAAGTGAAAAGCCATTGGACCGTACCCAATGGAATACGCATTTAGTATAGCAGTATTGCTTGCTATGTTGGCAGCAAACACTGTATAATAATTATTGCATTACCAGTAGAAAGTGCCCAATGTGCATTGCTTCAGCACTGTGTTTTGGACAAAGCAGTCAAAAAATTCCACATCAGTATTGGCTTCATGTTGGAGAAAGTTGTGAAAAACACTAGAACATACATGTACATTCAATACACATGCTCAGCTACATGTATGGCATTTAGTATGTGGGCGACTTCAAAGTTCTATTTTGGTAGTTAGCTTCGGTAGAAACTGTCTAAACTTGATCCAAAGCTCTACTTCTATGTTCTGAAGATGTTGCAATCAAGCAATGTAAGACACGTATCTGCCGCATTGGAGCTAGTTGTGAAAACCTTTAGACCATACACACAATGCACATGCTAAGCTATGGCATTTAGTATGTGGGCGACTTCAAAGTTTTATTTCGGTAGTTAGCTTCGGTGGAAACTGCTAAAACTTGATCCAAAGCTCTACTACTATGTTCTGAAGATGTTGCAATCAAGTAATGTAAGACACATATCTGCCGCATTGGAGCTAGTTGTGAAAACCTTTAGACCATACACTCAATGCACAAGCTCAGCTATTGCATTTTAGCATGTGGGCGACTTCAAAGTTTTATTTCGGTAGTTAGCTTCGGTGGAAACTGCTAAAACTTGATCCAAAGCTCTACTACTATGTTTGGAAGATGTTGCAATCAATTATTGCAAGATACGTATCTGTCATATGGTGGAGTCAGGGGTTCTAAGGCATTGGACAATGTCCCAGTGCAATGTGCTGATTCTTGAAAATATGGCGTCACTTGACACTTCAAAGTTATATTTCAACAGTTACCTTCGGTAGAACCTGCTCAAACTTGCTACACAGTACCATTATTAGGTTATGATAGCATAACCATCGAATACAGGGCAAGTCCAGTGTCAAATACTTGTGGGCGGAGCTAATATGTGGGACGTGTGTGCTGAAATGGGATGATTCCGAAAAGAGAAAAAGGTCACCTTCTAGCAGAATTCTACCCACTTCTAAAGCCTATGCTGGTATTTAGCAAGTATACTACTGTCCTGATGTTGGACATCAAGAAAAATGGGGTAACTACGAGTGCTACGGCCAAAAAAGTGGTTTTCCGGTGTTTTTTGGCCTAAATTGGCAATTGTGAGTATGCTATGTTTGGCCCCTCCCCCGAGTGAAACCGGCCGGTAGAACTTGATAAAATTTTGTCTCCGTACACTAGATATCCTACGGAACAAAGTACAATCGTTTGCAGCCACGTTTCAAACAAAAAAAAATTTGGACCCGAGGGGTAGGAGCCACCTTAAATTATTTTTGATTCTAGCCAGACCGTTCTTATTCACACGCTTGCGGCGAGTCGAGTGACGTCATGACGTTTGTCATGTACATGTACATGTAATGCAATGTACAGTCCATTTCAAAACTATAGTATAGACGCGTACCTAGGCAAAAACCGTTATGCCAGCATTATACCACATAAAATCTGTGATCACTTTGTGCATAATTTTTTCCAAACTGGGCGTCTGTTATCCAATCCTTTAGAAACTATATGAGAGTAATTGTGGAGCGATCCTGAGCAATATTCCGAAAACTATTCTCAAAAAGTTCCAACCAAATTTGAAATATTTCAAAAACCCTACGCGTCTATAGTTTTGAAATGCACTGTAGTACAGTCGTCCCTCTCTAATCCGGCTTTTTATAATCCAGCACCCTCGATAAACCAGCACAATTTTCAGTAGCCAAAATGTCCTCTTCATGCACATTTCAGCAGTAAATCAGATTTGTTAATCCAGCACCCTCCCTAATCCAGCAGATTTTCGTGGCACAAATGGTGCCGGATTATAGAGGGACCACTGTACTTCTAAACTAGTGGGTGTCGTAAATGGGAATGACTGTAGCAGTTACTGGTTACACGTGTACATGACATGTACTCACCTCCCATACATGTACAATGTTCCAAATTTTAAAAGTGTTCTTAAATCTGATAATTCTAGCCTGGACTGTTCTTAAATTTTGCCGGTTTTCCAGCCTGGGTGTTCTTCGGCGAGGTGTTCTTCGGCGCCCGATCTTACTGTAGCGTGACACCTGATCCCTAGCATGCAGCCTTGCAGGCGCTAGGCTAGGCCTGGGCCAGATCCAGGCGCAGCTTGTAGATCTACTGACTGTAGATTTACCTGCTACAGACTAGGTTCATTCATTTTTATTTCTTCTCCAGTTGGCGGTGTTGTGTGCTCAGTCGAGTTGCTTGTGACAGAACTGCAGATGTGGAGCTTTGCAGTTTTGCTGCGGGTAGTCTTTAGTACTCGGCACTGGTCTTGGTTTCCCGTAGAGGAAGACTCAGCAAGCCGCTGACTCCACCTAGGCTAAGGCGAGCACTGCTCTCCTTTCACAGCCATTGACTCTGGCGTATCGGTAGTGGCCAACGCACTAGCGAGTGCTTCTACTGGTATAAATCGGAAAAGTTCAAGGTACTTTGTATGACTTCCAATACGCCAAGAGTGCAGTTCCCTGGCACCAGAAAGAGTTGTGCTGAAGGCGGAGGAAAGAATGAGCTGTGCAGCTGCTGTGAACATGGAAGATCAGGGCAAAGGAGGAGAAATGAAGGTGGACACTTCTGCTAGCAAGCATTGTGACTTGACATTGGCTGATTTAACGGATTTAATGGCTCGTGTTAACACAGCTATTGCGAGTGAACAAGCGAATGAACTAGAAGCTCAGTTTGAGGCTATTCCTCTAAACATGATCAGCCCTAAGGACTCGCCATTTCCACTGGAAACACAGTATAAGAATCTCTATGCGAATGTATTACCGAATGTTGAGACGCTGGTTCGTCTTGAAGAGGATCCAGTGGGTGATACAATCAGTTCTTACATGAATGCTAACTACCTGCAGGATTACTTCGGTAAAAAGAATGCATTCATAGCAACTCAATACCCTAGCCGATGGACAGTCGGTGATTTTTGGAGGATGGTGTGGCAAGAGAGTGTTGCTGTCATCGGCATGGCGACTGAGGTTCCTCGATGGTATGAGCGTTATTGGCCGGATGCTGATGAACGAAAAAAAGTCTATGGCAAGCTGTGTGTCAATGTCGACGATGTCACTGAGCACACAGACTATGTTCTCACTACCATGACAATATGCATACATAGCCACAATGATGACACGACCACTGCGGCTCATGTTAGCAAGGAAGCGAGAATTGTTCGCCATTTCTTGTTCAAGGGATGGCCGCGTGTTGGAATACCTCTGAGTACTGACCCAGTGTTGGACTTCATTGATACGATCGTGGATGCTAACGTCAACAGTGCGCCTATTATCATTCACTGCAGTGCTGGTACGGGCAGAACTGGAACATTGGCTGCCATCAAGATGGGTATGCAGCAGTTTGAGGCCACGGGACTGGTCAACCCACTCGCGTACCTACGAGTCCTTCGCTCCTGCCGTGGTGGAAGTGTACAGACATTCAAACAATACCTGTTCGTGCACAGAGCTTTGCTGACACACATGAGGCGAAATTCATCACCACCTCTGGATACAGCTAGTCCACCTGGTGCACTTCCACAAGTGGACAAAGGCTAAAGATGGTAAACACTAATCAGTTTGAAAAAAACCCTCATTATTAGATATTTGGCCGAAGCCGAGAGTCTAAACTGTTAAGTTGCGTTGTATGTAGGGTTGCAAGGAATATTCGAATATTCGAATATATTCGTTTGGAAACGCAATGGAAAGAATTAAGTTCGTTAATGATATGTACATGTGTCAGGGAACACGATAAGGGTCGGACAGTTTTATAAAATATGTTGAGAAAGGGGACCATGACTCGCAAGAGTAGTGAACATGACTCCACTGTCTAGTACTTGGTCTACAACGACAGGGGACTAGCCAAACTCTTTAAGATTTTTTTGGTATAGAATATTCGATATTCGATTCGTTTAGAAAGATATTCGATTCGTTCCGATTTATTCGTTTCATCCCTACTGTGCCTATTTACTATTTAGCTCGTAGCTGTACTGATGAGGCCTTTATGGCCGAAACAGCTTGCTGTCTACAGCATTGGGAACTTATGTGCATTCCCTTTTGCGTGCAACATGTTACTTGCACTGTGTAAAGTTTCAGTTCATAGCAGGAAGGGGTAATAGTGTATAGAGTTGCTGTCTCTTTTTGGCTTCATTGCACAAGAACTCTCTCATTTTAAGTTGCGATGTTGGTGGGGAGCTTTTTTTTCTGAAAATATGGATGCGATTTCAGCAACTTGCACTTTATGGAACAGTTACGAAAAGCATAAGTTGTGAAAGAGTTAGTAACAGCACCAGCCTGGTCTCCAGCGTCGGGGTAAAAAAAAAAAAAGGGGCAGCATTAGGGGCAGGGCCAGTGGCAGTGTCATCACATGACTGAAGATCCACGACCATCAATGTAAAAAGACGGGATTGCCGCAAGTTCCGTCATATTGTACCGCAAATTCAGCTCCTTACCGCACATCTTGCTGCAAATTCAGCCAAATATGCACCGCGAGACTTGCACAACTTTCAAAGAATATTTCTGCGATTTTCGTGGGGAATAATATTATGCAGATACCGGAACTCCTTGCATCCTACTCCATCCCCCGCTTTCTCTCTCTCTCTCTAATTCTTTATCTCCGTTTTCCTTTCTTTCTTTTTTTAATTGAGCCTGATGTAGACCTACCAAGCAGCAATGACTCCAACCAAGAGTACACATTTATGCACTCTTGGCAGTCTTGCTCCTACCGAGAGTACATGCGCGGTAGATTTGAAGTTTCAAGGGCCACTGGCAGGGACAGTGTTGTGCTTTTTGTTTGTTTCACTTGCAGTGAATACAGTTTTCGCATGCTACACTGCAGCACAATCCACATGCAACGTCCAAGTACAGTGCCAGGATATTAAGTTACATGATGTTGGGCATACGACATTCACACCGTCGACCTCATTGCACAAATGTGTGTGTGTGTGTGTGTGTGTGTGTGTGTGTGTGTGTGTGTGTGTGTGTGTGTGTAAGAGTGTTCGTCTGTGTCTGCGGCCGCGACTTTCGCCGTCCGAATGATTTATCCCGACACAAGCACTACTGCCTTGCCTAATAGCTATCATCGCCTTTGGCGATGGGCTTTCCAAAGGTGTGTGTGTGTGTGTGTGTGTGTGTGTGTGTGTGTGTGTGTGTGTGTGTGTGTGTGTGTGTGTGTGTGTGTGTGTGTGTGTGTGTGTGTGTGTGTGTGTGTGTGTGTGTGTGTGTGTGTGTGAATAGCTGTATGGTGTAGACCAGGCTGAATAGTGACGGTCAATTCTTCAGCCTTGCAAGCTGTTGAATGGTGCAATCCCAGCACAAGTTGCTATGGCTTCTGCCGTAGCATTGCTATCATCGCCTCCGGCGATGGGCGTCAAAGGTCAAAGGTGTGTGGGTGGGTGTGTGTGTGTGTGTGTGTGTGTGTGTGTGCGTGTGTGTGTGACTGCATATCGCTGCAACACATACACCACAGTGACACGGACCTCATCAATAGTGCTAGCGGGTACCACAGTTTGTTGTCAATTTTATCATCCTAAAAAAACATCCCCAAATGAACGCTATAATTGTCTTCCAAATGCTCTATAAAAACACACATGCACACACACACATGCACACACGTACACATACACACACATGCACACACGCTGTCACAATGATCACACTGCACGCATCGGCACACGGGCGGAAAATGGGGAATAAAAGCAGGGCTGAAGAAAATAAAACGAGGAGAGAATCGTGCATCTTCAACGGATCTAGCGCGGCAATTACAGTGCAACCGGTGCGGTGATGGGGTTGGTGGCCAGGCGTTTCACCCACGCCTTGACATTGTTGGCCGTGACTAGAGCTGGTTTTCGTGATACCACTGAGTACAGAAGGAGATCAGCCAGGGATACGTTCTCGCCAGCAAGAAAAGCGTTCCGGCCAAGAGCGACATTCGCCTGCTTTAACGCTGCGGCCTGTTCCTTATTGTTAGTCTGGCTGGACGCGAGGAGAGGCAGGTAGAAACTGGAGATTGCGGCGTCGATTTCTAGCGTGGCCATCGCGCCCAGTGCTTCGTAGAGCCGGTACAGGTACTTTCGACACAGGTAGCGGCCAATGTTCTGCTGTCCGCGTACACAGCACTGTGCCGCTCCAGCACCGTGGGAGCGCACCATGATGTACGACTCGTCGTCAGCAACTACACACACACACACACACACACACACACACACACACACATACAGGCAGACAGACAAGCCGCACATGCACCCACACAGACACACACACGAAAAAGAAAGTCAGGATGGACAACCCCACCATATGCAGGTTTGGGGGCCCAATGTTTTTCTCGCCAGATTTTCCGGCATAGACCAGTTGCGCAAACGGGAGCCAGCACCCGGGGCGTCGCGGATTTGAAGTGCTTGGAGGACAACTGGAGTCACGCTTGAGCACGCAAGAACAAAGAAGTAATTAGTTGTGCCAGATCTCCTTTTTTGTAGTTTGTCTCACTTGTGCCGTTGTGGCTCATGTCCGTTCGTTATCCAGTTGGTAGTTAGCAGTAGAGTGTGTTATTGTATCTATGGATGCTGCTGAGTCAGGAGTAGTTTCTGGTGCGAAAGGCACAGTGAAAACCCAGCGTCCATCGTCGTGGAAAGAAGTGAAAGAATTGACTTTAGCCGAACTGAAATCTCTTTGTCGTGAATTGAAGCTGCCTCTTGAGGGACGTAAAGCTGATTTCATAGATCTTGTTTGTGGCGCTCTTGATATTTCCAAGAGCGGGGTCGCCGCTGGTTGTGAAGTCAAGGCAGAGTGTGCAGTTAGTAACTTTGATTCTAATACGCATCAGCAGTACGAGGCGCTGGGGAAGCTGTCGATAATTTCTGGCGAGTGGAACAGAGATTTATCCTGTGTTCCGAGCTCCTTCGGCCTAGATGCCATCCGTACCTACTTGGTGGACTGTCCTGATAAGACATTTGACGTGTCCGCGCGTAGAAGTCCTTGCGTGCATGGAGCTTGAGCCAAGATGACCACGTCCTGATGATGAATGTGAACCAGTACTCGAAGAGTGATGTTTTTATGTTTGTGCGAGCTTATTGCTTGCCTTCACAGTCCACTACACACGCGTACCCAGTGCACGTTTGTTTGAACAAGCACATTGGAGTGGTGGATGGTGCAGAGTGTCCATGTGTTGCTGGCCTTGGTGAATGCTGCTCCCATGCCGCTGCAGTACTATTTCGCTTGGACGATCTGCTGAGCCAGGGCCACGCAAGTGTCCCCAACGACACTGCCTGCACCGATGCGTCCTGTACATGGATTGTCCCGGCCAATGTGGCCAAAGTTCAGCCGGTACCTTTGGACGAAGTCAGCGTGTACAAATTGGAGTTTGACAAGCAAAAGCCGAAAACAAAGAAGCCGAGCCTTTCGGATTTCCATCCTGTCCCTTTGGAGACTGTCAAAGCCACTGCATCTCGAGCTGGCAATCTTGTAGGATCGCTACGTGCTGCTACAACGACGTGTCCGATTGCTATGATCTACGATGCCCAGACATTCGTTTCCAGCACTGCCTCATCGGCATGTCCGTCGACAGGTGTTTCCGAGCTTCCGGACCATCTTGGTGATGCAGATATAGCACCAGCCCATGAGTTGACAGTAACAGCATCATCACAGACTAGTGAACTGTACGAGTCACCTGAAGAGGCATGCATTACTGGCCTCAAGTGCTTGCGTAGTCTTGTTACAGTCACCACTGACATAGATGCCGTCGCCACGGGTGCCGACTTGGAAGCGGATCTGGCTGATAGCATCTCTCCCAATATTCTGGAGATCGAGCAGGCCACACGAGGCCAGTCCCTGAACAATACCTGGTTTTGTCACCGAGTCGGCAAGATTACGTCCTCAAGATCGCACCAGGTCGTCCACATGCGCAGTACTACCAGCCCAGCGTCTGTACTTGACAGCATATTTGGCTGAGTTGACCGATGCGAAATCGAGCCAAAAGCCCCCCCCCCCTTTTTTTTATAATTGTGGGTTAACTGCATTTGTCAGCTGCGATAACTCAAAATCCTAAATATTTCCACTGTTGGCACACATATTATACTCAAGTATATACACTTTTATGGTGTTCCGCTGTGACTGTCTTATCTCGGTGAAGGAGTGATAATGGGAATTTAAAAATCTGTATATACAGAGTATTACAAAATATTATGGTTTTCCGCTGTGACTGTCTTATTTCGGTGAAGGCGTGATAATCGGGGTTCGAAAATTCGTCAAGCCGATTGCTCGTTCCACATGTATGCGCGCTTCCGCAATCCGCCTTGTGTCGTGCACTTCCGCTGCTGTAAGCTGGGCACGGTTTGCACCACGGAAGGCTGGGCAAATGAGAGTAACGCCCTTAGCTTTCAATGCGTCATCAATGAGGAAGCCGCGATCTGCCATCACTGCATCGCCGGGTTCAAGCTGCGCCAGTAGCTGCTCAGAAGAAAGGATGATGCAGTTGTCACTGGCACGGCCGCTCCAGATATCCGACACGAAAGACACGTATCCACTGGGTGCAACACCGACCAAAAACTTGAACGTTTGATGGTGCTTATAGTTGCTGTACATTTGTTTGCGAGCCGCCAAAGAAGAAGCTTGCTCGCAGTATACCTCTGTACAGTCGATGACTATACGTGTCGTCGGAAATGCAGAAAAGCATGGCGGTAGAGTGTCTGCAATTGATTCCTTGGATGGAAATTTGCACACATCGTGCAGGACATCGTCCATGAGGCACTGGCATATCCAGGTGTTAAATATACGCGAAAACTTTGTAGGAGACAGTCCCAAAAATTTCGCTACATCTCTATTCCTGTAGCCACACCGCACACGAACTATCACAGCAAGAAATTCTTCTTCTAGTTCCAGCTTTCTCTCACGGCGATTGCTGCGAGCTGAAAGTGAAGGTCGCCGGGAAGGCGCATCACCCCAGTACTTCATTCTACATGCCAGAGGCTCCAAATACTCAAACACACACTTGAACGTAGCATAGGTTTCGAAACCTGTGAAGTGCCGAGTGTCATCATCGCTTCTCCTCAGCATGTCCAGACCAGACATTTCCTCCTCAGAATCTCGTTTTCTTGCTCAAGCTCACGAATGTACGCCTCTCTGGAATCTGGAGCACTACTCACCAGAACCTTGGCATAACCCCCATGATCATTCTGAGCTCCGCAGGCAGATTTGTTGGGCTCTGGTGGCTCTGGTATCGCTTCTCCGGCACTATCGTTCACGCCACCATCGCCACTGCCGTCGTCGTGATTAGAGAGATCACACGTGTTGTCAACGTCCGCTTCATCCAAGTCACAGTCAGCTCCGTTACGCTTCAGGACACGGCGAGACGACTGAACACTAGCAGGGGGCTGAAGATGTGTTGGCCAATCCGGAAACAGGGACAGTACTGCAGTCGGAACCAGACGACGCTTTCCAGTGAGCCCCTTGAAAACAAAATCTTCCAGTCGGAAATGCTTTCCACAAATTTTGTTGTGACTGCGCCGTAAATTTCTCACGCTTTATTGCTTGAACCTAACTTTTATACAAGCCCACCTGTTGCTCTGGGTTCGGAAACCTGTGAAAGGACACTTTGTCTCGGGTATTTCGACTGTGGCACTTGGGAACGCAACAAAAATTCACCATCACGGCTAGATCGCTAAACAACTAAAAAAAGTAAGAGTCCTGCAACAAAAAGTGAAAATGCAGCGGTCTGAGTCTCGAGTGGTTGTCCTCCAAGCACTTCATATCCGCAAGGCCCCGCGCGCCGGCTCCCGTTTGCGCAACTGGTCTATAGGGTACCCCGTAAGAAGGCCTTAGGCCTGGGGAATACCCTAGTCAAACTTCTTTTAAAGAAAAGAAAAATGGATCATCAGAGCAGAAGTTATGCCCAACAACAAGTGTGTAAAGTTTAAAGGGTTGAGAGAAGAAACACACCAGTGAGAAGAACTTACTTTCACGCCACACGACGACAAGCCTGAGAGCTTCCGCCGAGGACCTGTTGGGGACAACTGTGCGCAGGAACTGCTGCAGCTCCGTGGAGAGAGACTTGAGCGAGGAATGCAGATAGACGGCGGTGGTTACGGGCAGCTTGTGAGCGAGAGCGCGGAGCAGGTAGAGTACGGCCGTTGGTGGGTTGTTGGGAGAGGCATGCACCACAATCTGCTGGTCGCTGCTTGTACCCTATACCAATAGCAATATGATGTGAGAAGAATGCAGCGTTACAACAATAATCTAGCCGATTGCCTCCATTTTCTTCTGCCTTTGTGGTATTGCTCCGTCTTAGTCCGGGGTTACCAATAGTTTTTGCAAAACAAAAAGTTTTAGTATTTTTCAGCACCCAGTACCCACCCACCCACCAACCTTTTCTGCAGGTAAAACGAATTCCAATAAAATATTGATATCAATTTTCGACACTCAGAAGTATAAACTGGGCATTCTCCATCGTCATTCAATAATTATTTTCAAAACGAAACTCCTTCAAACCCACCCACCCCCAAACGACAACTTTTCATTTTGAAAATACTATTGGTAACCTTGGAATGGACGGCCCCTTAGTGGTGTTCAGCACTCTAGGCTATCTGGGAATTCTCGCTACTGTGATGTGAGAAGATAAACACGTCAACGGAAGTTCTGAAAATCAGCGCACAGCACTGAGCAGCAAACAGACTAGTAAATCTCGCCTGGCTTGTGTAGTGCATCAAGCTACCCACGCATAACTTAGAGTGTCTGCAGTCATTGCCTGCACTATCTACCCTGTCCGTGAAATAGCAATTCTGATTTCCATTGAATTCCAACGATGAGATAAGAAGACTTTATTCCAGTGGCATTGAAAACTGTCTACATATACATCAGGCATGTACACATTCTTACAGTTGAAAGTTAAACGTTTATTCACATTACGTACGGGTAGCGGCGGAATAGCGACATTCAAGCGCAATGCCAGCGAGTCAACCTGTACTTGGAGCTCCTCAAGGTCAGCAATGACTGCGACTTGCCGCTGCTCCAGTGAAGCCAGGGAAGCGCTGGATGAGGCCTCTGCTGAGGTGGATGCCTGCCAGCAGCAGCAACATCAAGAATACAAGCAAGGAAATCAGTGTTCACACTGCTCAATACATGTACTAGTATCTTGCGTCACTGCGTGTGTGTGTGGGGGGGGGGGGGGGGCGGCACAGGACATGCAGATTACAGTAAAGTACCATTGATCTGCTCCCCACGCCGTGTCGCTTCCCAGCTGGTTTTCCCCAGGGGCAGGAATTAGGTCAAGTCGTTACAGTACAGTACGATGTACAACAAAGCAGAAGATCAGACATGGGATGCTGGATTATGCACATTTTCATCCTGCAATCACACATATTGTGTACAGCAGTACGTGCATCGGTATTTCGTTGCATACGCCGACGTCGCTTCACAGGCAGAAATTCGCCAGGGGGCGGGAATTAGAGCGGGGGCGGATCAACGGTACTTTACTGTACTTGAAGTACTATAATATTATGGGACAGGCAGTACATTATACGGGACATGTCAGTCAATTCTGTGCACGATATGCAGTACCGTACGCGGCGTTCGATTGCACTGGAGCTAATCACATGGAGCATCCAACAGTTCTCAGTACAATTCCCAGTACATGTATACGGACAGTGTACATGTGTAGCGCAGCCACTGGAGGCATAGCTTTCATGGAATGGTGTACCACAAGACCACAACCCCTCAAAAATGGCCAGGGTCACTACTTCTTACCCCCAACCCACAATTGGGCCATAAATAGAGCACATCACGAGAAAAAATTGGTGGCAAGCCTATCTCGGCATCACCCCGGGCACCAGTGGAAATCACGGATACCGTAAAATCAGGTAAAAGTAAAGTAAAGCTCGCACGTCCGTGTTACCACCGGCTATACAATTGCGTCGAGAAGCACAACCAGCTTAGGAAGTTTCGCTCGTGCCAGGCCACCACTATGCCTATGATACCAGGGTGGCAGATGCAGCGCCTAACGGCGAGGGTGAGGTGGTGACTCTCACAACCAATGCCCGACAAGGGGGCGAACCTCGTTAGCTGCATCCATGTCACCCTCACTCCGAGTAGTGAGTACCCAGTTGACCGTGGGTGTCGGTGCAGTTCCTTACATGTATAGTGGTTCATGCATGCATCACTGCATGTGTTAGCACAGTACACGCTCCCTACTCCCAGCGCGGGTCTCGAACTCGGGACCTTGTGATTCGCAGGCAAGCCTACCACTCGGCCAAAGCGCTGGTCAGCTACAACTGTATAAAGCCTGGTAGAAGACGATGGGAGGGCTAGTACTATATTCAAATCAGACCAGCGTAGGGAACTTTGGTGTGTACCTCGTCGTGTGTGCTGGGGCAGGGGGTTCAAGTTGTAATGTACGCATAACTACAAGCGCACTTGGGAAAGATGTGAATGGGGGGGGGGGGGGGGCAAAGCGAGGCATCACCAGACACCACCATGCCTCCTCGAGACGAGTGGCTTGGCTGGCTGGTGCAGTGTGGTGCAAGAGCCGTACGCGAGTCACCGATGTACAACATCAACACCCTCCATATCACGAAGAGTACATAACTCCCAAGAGTACAGTCAGACCTCGCTTATCCGGTCCTCTTTTATCCGGATCCCTCGCCATCCGGAAGAAAATCGTTGGTTACAGATTTACAGCATCTGCCATGCATATATACAGTATGTGTGTTCGATTATCCGGTTCCCTCGCCTATCCGGATATTTTTGTGGAAAACGGATGTGTGCGGTTATGCGAGGTCTGACTGTACATAACTCCCAAGAGTGTGCAATTGCCTGCACAACCTCTATACAGTGGTGCGACGGCAGAACTTCACATCACGTTACATGGTCCAAAAGGTTACGCTAACAAACAGTGCAAAGTGACCACACGAGAGTTGAACCCAAAGCAGGGTTGCGTACAACCCTGTATCGATCATGGACAGGGTGCACATAATGTGTATGGGTTCGTCACGTGATGTGAAGTTCTGCTGTCGCAGACCCCAGAGCTGGAGTTGCACACTCTTGGGGTATGTTCTCTTGACGTTACCAGCACAGCAACAACTGTGCTACAAAGATCAGCATTTCATCACGGCAGCACAAGTTAAGCAGCTACACAACACGGTTTGCCTGTGCTCTTTATAATTCAGTTACGTCTGCAGGCATGGCGGTGGCCTGGCACAAATAAGAACTTCCTAAGCTGGTTGTGTCTCTCAACACAAATGTACAGCCGGTGGCAACGCAGATGCACAAACAATACTTTTTTTACGTCTGCAGTTTAACAATAGATAGAAAACTACACACTGCTTTCGCCACACCTGCATGCAGATCTGTCGATCACCAGTAATATTTTTCTAACCTCTGTAAACCCTTCTTCAATTTTTACTTGTAGAATGTACATCATACATTGTACATGCACCAGCAAGTGAAAAGTTGCATGCTTTGTATGCTTCTGTGATGACATACAGAGATGATTTAAAAAAAATACATTCCGCGAGAGTAAAACCAATCAGTTCCGTGATAACTGGAAGAGGCATAGAGGATGGAATGGTGCTTAGAATTCCACTTACTGCTAGCACTAACCTGAGAAGAGCTTTGTTCGGCTCCGCAGGGGCCGCCCTGCAGCGGTGGCATGCGATACATGCACGACGGCAGGTCCATTTTTCCATCAATTGGAGCCGAAGGAGGAATACTGTACATGGTACCGGTACTGGCCATCTTCAATTCAAAGCAGGTAAGCTGATATACAATGGCAATGCAAATCAGATTGATATGCAACACGCTCGAACACAACACTGGAAAGAAAGCTTGTAAACTTCAAAATAATTTTGTGCCACAACAAAAAGACTTTTTTTCGATGTTTCTTGCGCGTGATTGCATGCATTGTTCGTTGACATGGTAACTCAAACATGTGTCCAACGAGTCTGTGCACGCCTGCACGGCGCGGTTGACAGTGGTTGAAGACTCAGAAGAGTCCGAAACAGTTTATGCCAGGGAGTCGTAAAATACCACCGGTATTTTACGACTCCCTGGTTTATGCACTCTTGTTGATGATAGAAGCTCTCGGCCCGGGGCTTATCTACTCTTGATGGTCACAGTCTTTAAAAACAGGGAGAGTAGAAGTGGGGGGGGGGGGTCACGTATAATTATGTACTACAGTCTCTGCTTGAAACCACCAGGACCGGCAAGAGTTCGTCTTGCCAAGACTACGCTAAGATTGGGTGCGGAAGAACACTTCCGGCCAAAGTCGAAGCCGTGAAAGTTTAGGCTGGAACTTGGCCAGATCATCATTATGGCCCGCTAAGTTTCCACGTGGTGCCGGTAATCCGGCACATTGTATGGTGCTTCCATGATCACGTGGAATAAGAACAAAACAACTGTCATTTCAACATTTTAGAACAGTGATAGGCTGTGCCTTGAGCCCCTGCGTTCTTCGGCGCCCGATCCAAGCTTACAGTGGCTGTACTAAAGAGTCAAACTGTGATCACTAAAAAAAGCTGGGATACCACCAATATTATGTGCTGGCCGTCAGCACTTGAAGAATATAAACATCATGGTATATTCACATACAAACATCATGGTATATTCACATACAAGTACGCTGATTGGACCAGACCCGACCGTTTCCTGGCAGACCGGTAGAAATCATCGCCTGCCAGATCCGGCAGGCCTAACCAGCATACATGTACATGAACATGCCTGTCTCGGAACCCAGTGCTTCACCGGCTTAGCCTGGCATGCATGCGGGAGTACAGACCAGGGGTTTAATTCTGTAAAATACGGTATTGCACTGCTCCCTGGTCCAGACGCTCCACTGTATCGTACTGTCTGGTTCAGAGTCCCAGCCGGCTAGGACTCGGACTCCGACTGAGCCGGGGCCGTTTACATCATCGGAGAAAAATAAACCCGGGCTTATTCGGCCTCGGGCAAATTAAATTTTTCAACCGGTTACATGACGGCTGTACGGGGCTGAGTTCAGGTGGTTGACTGCGAGTTCTGCGCACATTTTATTCTTCAAATCACACATGAAGGCAGAGGTAAATGTTCATTTGCCCGGCGGCGCCGTAGGATCATACACAAGCTACACCCCCCCCCCCCCCCCCGAATTTGCTATCTTCACATTGTTATCAGATTGATCAACAGAACAGTCGAGTTGACAGTTGACTCCTAGTAGTGTACAGTTGAACATCGACTATCCGACCATTCGATTATCCGTAACAGTTTTTTGGGCGCACGTGCCGTAGAGTACGCACTGTGCATGTAGTGAGCCATTCAAAAAATACGAAAATTTTGAAAAGTAAAAAGGTCGTGCGGCTAGTAATAACCACTGAAAGTGTGCGAGTGACAGTTTTTTCTTATCCGGAACATTTGCCTTATCTGAACACCGCCTGACAGTTGTCTGCCCAGAGGTGGTCGGATAATCGATGTTCAACTGTATTTAAATGAAAAAAATGATGATGATGACCGTGGTCCCCCCCCCCCCCCCCCCCCTCATCACCACAATAACCAAATTACTCTGACATGTCTCCCATAGATGCACAGTGAAGCCTGATACAAAACGACCCATATCCAATATCCGCTTGTACGAAACTATGAAATTAGATGTGCATGTAATGCATAAAGCACAAACACTAGGTAATACCAGTCATCGCATACGCATTTTCATTATGTAAGGAATTGTGTTGTAGAGCACTCCACTCCCTCTCCCGTTTAGGACATGACGGTCGTCTATATATGCCATGTGTACTTGCCCTATGCTAGGCAAGAAAATTATTTTGAAATGGCAATGAACACATCTTTTCAACGAATTGTCTTGTGAGACATACCGGCAGTTGGCTATTTTGCATTCACACCATTTTCTAATTATATTAATTTTTACATTTCACAGAATGACTTCCAAAGACCATATCTACACATCTGCAGAATAACAGAATATTACCTTTGGAAACAAAGAACCTCGTGACTTTGATCGACTTGTCTGTTCTGCATGGTGATAGAACTGTGAGGAGTTGAGCTGTGGTGACTCTCAGTGAAACTCAATAGGTGCAACTCCTTTCGTATACTAGTGTACATACTTCAAAGAAGTTTTTAGACTCACTGCTGTCAACTGTTTCTGTTTCAAGGAATCAAGTTTCTTGAGCACAATAACACTTTAGAATGTGCATAGAAAGTCACACGCTTTTGTTTCCAGATGAAGTACATAAATGAAATGTTGGCGCAAACCGCCCCCAACCTCCTTGACTAGACTGAAGCCAGGCCAAAACAACGGGAGCACTCAACGGTGAATATACATATTTGTTTCCTGCACATGTGCCATGTCTGTACATTAAGTCCTTAGTGTGTACGTGTGGGTTACTGTTGCTAAGGTACACACATTGACCAATCGGTATCTTAGAACTGCAAATGCTAACCATGTCAATGCAGAATCACAACGTTATAGATAGGACAACTGTTGAAAAATAACCTGAAAGGTAAAATGCTCACCATGTCCAATACTATCTCCAACAACTCGTTACATTGATTTTTGGAAGCTGATTTTGGAAATGTTTTGAATCTACATGTACGTCATTTGAAAAATGCATCTATAGTATAAGATGCCTAATACTAATACCAGAAACACACCAGTGCAGGACATATTCTGTGGTTGACGCACAAGTAAGAGTTGCCAAGGAGTGCATGAAACAATACATTACCATCACGGCGAGGTAAAGACTGTCCTTACTCGGCCTGAGGAAGCCGCTCATTGCAGCTGTCCAGTTCCTTGGCTTGTTCAAAGTTGAGCTCGGCAGACAGCCCACCCTGCTTGCTCATTGCAGCCTGCACGTCATCGATAGAACCACGGCGAGTGAGAGAACCGAGCTTGATGGCAACTTCTTGTGATTCTCTCTGGTCGGAGAAGGCACGCGCCAGCTTGCCAACGGAGCGGATCTTGTTCTTCATCATCTCGTGCCGTGCCGACTTAGCATCTACTTCTCCTAGCTCATCATCTGTGCAAATCTTGAGTACGTTGACGAGGACGTTTGTGACCTTCTCTGCGACAAACGGAGCAGACCACGTAAAGACATTGAGGAAGTTCGGTAGCCAGTATGGATGCTGTGTGCAGTTGAACTGGCGAATATTCATGACGTCATTCTCGTACTTCAGAACCGCCGCCTTGTTATTGTAGACATCGCAGTAGTTTGGCGCCGAGAATAAAGTGATCACTGACGGAAAGCCGGTCTTTGGGTTGCGCTTGTACGTTCGGTAGCCATTATCCTGTGCCTCGTGTCCGCGCATTAACGACAGCAGGTTGTTCGCCTGCAGGAAACTGTCCACGGCCTGGTATGTGTAGAAGTAGGAGCAACCCCTGGTGTTGTTGTGCACAAAGCGCTCATCGGTACGTTCTCTGCCGTAGCTCTCGATGGGGTCGGACCAGAGCAGGTCACACATTGGGCCACTGGATGGTGGCTCCTGGAAACGATCAATCTCATCAATATCAGCCAGAGTGAGGATCTCTGGCGACAGGCCCGCATGCACGCACAGGAACTGCTCGTTCATCAGGGCGGCGAGAGGCAGGCAGTCGAACGAGGTCATCATAGCGTCGTACACTGCCAAACTGTATTTCACCTGACACTCAGTTTTAAAAGTGAAATAGCTTGTCAGATGTCTGCACTCGTGGTTTCCGCGCAGCAAGAACAGCTTGTTCGGGTAGACGATCTTCATTGCCCACAGGTAAAGCACGCATTCCACGGAGAAGTAACCTCTATCCACATAGTCACCCATGAACAAGTAATTCGTTTTCTCGATCGGTCCGCCGACCTCGAACAGTTTCAACAAGTCGTAGTATTGTCCGTGAATGTCTCCACACACAGTTACGGGAGAAGGAACAATCAGTAGGTTTTTCTCCGTCCGGAGAAGAGCAGATCCCTCTTCCAAAAGCCTCATAACAACTTTCTCATCGACTCGGCCCTCCTCGAAGAAATGCTGTTTGAGCAGGGCGAGGCGGGGGTGGCCATTCGCCTCGAACACTTCATCCTCGGTTAGAACTTTAGGAGCCGGGGGAAGGCAGTCCTTCACTTGTCTGTTTACAGTATCCAATGGAGGAGGTGGAGGTGATGACTTGGCCTCCGATGGCGGAGCTGAAGTTGGAGGCGAAGCCTCCGCCATTCTGGACTTCCTGTTGTCTGAAGAGGAAAGTTACAACTTTCGCTGCTGAAAACAACGAAGATCAAAAGAGGACCGCGCCTTGCGTGATTCTGATGCAGGAAAGTGACAAAAAATTAGTTGGTACAACTCAGATGGGCTTGCATTCCCTCCAGCATGCAGACTGATAGACTCTACTGGTCCGCGATCCGCCTACTGCATACACCAGGTCCAGCAGGTAGAATCTACACCTCTTCCTGCGGCCTGATCTGGACTGGAGGACTCCCGTAGCTACGACAACGACGGTTACGTAGTCTAGCGAGTGCATGCAGTGTACGCAAGTGTCGTGGGTGCGGCATGCATGCATGCAGTTAGCTGCATGTCCATATGGCTACTGTAGCTATCGATCATATGCATCCGCGATAGCACGTGCACTTGAACCAGGTCTGCACATTTTTGGTAGCTTTTCTTCCGAAGCACGCTTGCGGACAGGGCGCAAGGGCGGTACGCGGTGCGTGCGCATGCGGTGCAGCGCAGGCCGGTACGGTCGCTGGTAGATCTACCGGTGTATACCATGCATGGTCGTGCTTTATATTATTTTACAATTTTTTTTGTAGACTCTACGATCGTACCTACTCCCGGGCCCAGTGACCACTGACCTGGTCTGTTCCCCAGCTATCCACAGTATAATTATAGTATCCGGAGGCTGGGGTACGGGGTATCCCCAAGATGCAAGGCTTTCTTCACAATCAGTTCTTGACTTGGTGGAGTTGGACCAAGGCCGCTTTGTTGAGGCTGAGGATATCACACTATCAGTATAACAATAGTATATAATCCCTTGGTATTATTATTATTACATGTTATGCCATGGCAGGCGTTCAGCACAGAGCACTGAATGGAGTACATGTACGTGTATCTTGACTCTTTAACTGGCAGGCTTGCTCTCAATTGAAGGACAATAGTCATTCCGGTTGAGGTACATGTTCTGAGTACTTTAAAGTGACAAACTTTCGCTTAAATTTCACTATTTTCACGACCATCACAAAATCGCGAATATAAATCGCCGCAAACCCTATGAAAAATTTAATAAATAATAATAATAATAATAATAAACCTCTCCGTACATTGATTGTAGACAGTACAAAATCCGACTGAAGAGATAGAATCGCAAACGTTTCTCATCGTGATCCAGCCCGATTTAGAAAAAAGGCTTAATTTGCAAGCCGCGAAAGTTTGTTGCTTTACAGTATGGCTACAGACACTGCCATGGGAATACTATGGGAATGTGTACCGGTACATAGTATCCAAGGTACTAACTTAGCAAGTGTGCGCCTTAGCAGAGTAACTGCTATGTACTAGTACGTACTCTCTACCAGTGTAGGTGAGTTTCACAGTAGGAAAACCCATATACACCACTACGTGTACCTAACTACTGCAAGTACAGGTATGTATTTACCGACCATGATTTCGCCATGCCAGGTGTGTCTTTAACCACCACTTCTCTTCTATCGTGCAACTACAGTTCTCCCCTTTATTACCTATCGTGTGATTCATGATCGTGACTTTGATTCCATTCATCTCGGATCCCTTTCAGTGTACTGTATAAATTATGTGTGAACAGTATTGACCAATGCAAACTAGTCTTGGCCGAACACCAGTCTACCACCGGGCCATACTTCTTGGCCCATGTGACCATGCCAGCCACCCGTTACCACACTGTGATGACCGGCAAGAAACTGGACTTAACTGGGTGCCACATTCTGTCAATGCCACACTAAGCAAGTGACTATTCCGCAAGTGATTCAGATCATCTACTCGGACCAGATCATTGGAATGGTCATCAAATGCATACACAGTCTGCAGGCGATTGCATACAGCAGGATATTGGTACCGGTACATGTACTCTCAGACGGGCCTTTGCGCCAAGTCCTTTGGACATCCTAATCGTCACCGATTTGGGCCAAATTTGTAGGCAGTTTCGCATATGTTCCCCTACAACATGATGATAATACACCGTTAGTACTGTTCCGGTGATGAAATCTGATTGTGTGAGTCAAGCTAGCGCCATACACCAGTGTACACTGTACATACAGTCACACACACACACACACACACACACACACACACACACACACACACACATACACACACACACACACACACACACATACACACACACACACACGGCCCAGTGTTCACAAGCCCAGAGGCAGGGGGGTGCACAGTGCCTGGCACACACTTGACTAGTGTGATCGGATTTCATTGAGCAGCACTGCAGTAGACGGCAGAATGAACTTAATGCTACCGGTCTCTATTTTCCATCGCATGGACCCTCTCGTAACCATGGTGACCTGAGCACCATGTAGCTTTCTCCGGCCTTACTCCTGTCACAGCACCCATCAGTCACAGGCATGTGATGCCCCCATCCCAAACACGGCAACTGCAATTACTACTCCGACTGGTACTTCTTGTGCCACCGCCGCACAGTGGCCAAAACACTGCTAGTGTGAGTGGTGACTGCTGAACCAGACTCATGGCCAACATCTCTGCGGCCTATCGGCGGCGCTACCATTGCCTGAATCTAGACTGACACTAGCTTGACTATAATGTCATACTGTAAGACCAGATAATATGTTAATTTAACGTCAATTTAAGTTAACGATCTCCCGATTTTTGTGGGTTAGCGAGGTGAAATTCTAACGAATTCTGTCTCAAAAGCAGCAAATGACTGTACATGTACATATCGTTTTGCACATAACAACTTCAAATCAGTGTTTTAATGATTCTTTCAAATTCGTTAACTCGTTAGAATTAAATGTTCGTTAACATTACTGGTCTTACAGTATAGGGTTTCGTACCCTGTGAGAAAGTGGGCCTATGCCGGATTGCCGCGTGTGAATGCAACCTCAAATGAGGACCGGGCTAGTGTACAGTACCTGGCGCCATCCTTACAGCCATGTGTCACGGCTGCAGAACATATCTCATTGCCGCAGTGTGCCAGGTTGGTCTCAATAGTTTCATTACACAGGACTATAACATCACACGGAAGTATCGGCATCACCAGCAAGAGCCCACATACAAATACATGTACGCACTGAATGCCGACATTCCTTGTGAGATCTTTTTGCCTTGGTTTGCATGCATGTATTCTTCATTACTAACTCCACTGCAGGCTTGCTCGTATTGGTGTGACGAGATTGCACACGTGAAAGGGTACATTCAATCGACTGTTGGCTGTACCAAAACTGAATCAAACTGCGTAAAGCCCGGTCAGACTGAGTTTCCCCGGCGCCAGTTCTTGGTTTTCCCAAATAGGGAAGTAATACTACACACACGCCATGAATCATGATGTACCAGACTACAATTGTACGTACTCGGCCAGCCGAGTGAGCGCCCTACTCGCCAGCAGGGAGTTCTGTTATACTACTCCCTGCTCGCGAGTTTATGCCCAGTGAACCTGTCTTGCTATCAGTTCAGTATCACTGGGGCAGGCACATTGCAGGGCCTACTATTGTAGGGGTGTCGCACACGGTACGGTCACTACGGTATTGACCGTACCACTTTTTGCCCCAGATACCCCGTGAATCAACAAAATACACTGATTTGGGATCTAAAATTCCAAAATCTTCGGCTCAGCCACCACTCCCCCACGAGTAAATTGTACTTCAGATGGCTGACCGTACCACACTAGAATACCTTCCGACGCCCCTGCATGATGCAACAAAGAAACACCATACCTGCCAAGTACTTAGAGTGCTTTTCTGGATCGCCATGGAAAATCGCGGGATTTGCCTTGGTTTTTCGGGATATGTCATATCAAGAGTACATAACTACACTGTGTAGTTATGTACTCTTGGTCATATTTTTACCAAAAAAATCCTTTTTCAACGTTTGATATGGCACCAACATTTCGATAATAGAAAAAACTGATGATTGATGGTGATCATCGGATCACACTTACACATGTTCAAGACTCACTAACAAAAACGGAGGTTTTTCAGAGACTGCTCATGGGAGGAGCACTAGTAGATCCACTAGTACTGCAGGCTATGGCGGTCCGGAATCAGTAAGGACAACTACTGGCCTGTGACAAGTCATTTGAAGTGCTCCAAGTACAATATCAAGCTTGTTTCTTGTACAGTGAATTTCGGGATAATCGACAGGAATTTCGGGATCGCGGGAGTTCATCCAAAATTGCGGGATAATCCCGAAAAAATCTGGATACTTGGCAGGTATGAAACACATTGGTGTACTCACCTGCTAGTGGTTGTAGAGCAGGCAGAGCATCTCATGATGACTGTAGGCTCTAGACTACAGTCATGTAGCCAGGCCATCGCGTCTGAGTGTCCCACAGAAGCTGGAAGCCAGGTGTGATCATGGTAATGACGATTCAAGCAATCAAGGTGCGTTGCTCAGTATGCCACAACCACCGCTAGTACAGTACAACCACAACTTCGGCCTACGGCCGTACGGGTCCGGGTGATCATCATCTACACTGGCTGCGGCCTGTCATTGCCAAATACTGGCCCGTACGTCAAGGTGTGGCAGCACTGAGCAACGGGCTCCACAAGAATAGCACTCCGTCTCCGGATGGTTAGCTGTCTCGACTTTCTTACAGCGGAGCTCAGAGGCTGGCCGATTGCCATGGCCGAACCCGGATCGCAAGACTGAACTTACTTCACGGTCAAGTGAACAGTGACTATTAGTGAAGTCGGAATAGCTGCTAAAAACTTCCCTTCCTGGGCTGAGCAGTTTCCGTCCTGCTGCGTTGGCGGAGACGAGTAACAGGAAGGACGTTCATGTAAAGAGCTCACTGTCAGTTTGCTTATTCACCTGAAGTACACTTCTGCTCGACCACAACTTAGAAGTCCTCGATTCATAGAGTCTTACCCAATGTAACTGGTACTCGGAACAGTAAGCAAAATTTGTCATCATCAAACTGCAATCGTTCTGCGAGTGTAAAACACAACACTGCTGTATAAATAACAGGGAGTGGTACAATGCGTACTAGTCCTTGGTAAATAGGCACAACTCGACTGTGAGCACAGGTGATGGAGCGGCTCGATATTCCATCGCAGTTCACTGGTCACAACTACTTACACAAGTCAGATCCCAGGTGTGGATCTGATCCGTATACAATAGTGTTTACTATTGCCTACTCGTACTACAGTACCAGTATATCTGTGGATTTGTCGTACACTACAAGGTCTCGTCATACGACGTACATAATGACTGCACTCGATCGAGAGAGTACTCGGTTCCTGGCCCCCTAGGACCACAAAGCAACGCTGAAAGAGTGATGACAAATCACCACCATACTGTACATTGCGTTGTTTGCTGACCGATGTTGCTTTTGCTATCGCAGTCCCACACCTGTCACTGTGTGAGTGACGGTGTCAGCTTTGGTGGTGTCTTTCTGCAGCGAGAAAGTCACATTGAAAAGGAAGTCACCTTTATGACACGAAAGAAGTAAAAGACGAGGCCCAAAGCAGCCGAAGACTGCTATTTGCAGCAGCAAGTCGTGTAGCTACATGTAGATCTACCATGATCACAGACACAGGTACTGAGCCTGAGGTAGCTATGATGTACCGGTACGTATACTTCAATGCGAAGTAGTCAACATTTGTAACAGATCGTAGCGTGACGGTGACCAACATACAAAGGAGGTGCTCACGGATGCAATGTCTGAGTACCAGTTTTCGGATTGCTTGGACGACCTTCCCAGGCTACAGCGAAGCAAGGTTAGTAATCATGGTTCTCCTTCAAACTAACTACTTACTTACTTCAAAGAAGCTGTTTACTTTGGAGCTACAACTGTAGTCACCGCCGATCATATCAGGCGTAGGACTCTCCTCTAAAAGGCAACATACGCTCCCAACTCCCAGGCAGCAAATGTTGCAAATGGCATGTTTAGCCTGATTTTAGGTATGCCTCGCCTAGTATGTACTCTGCCCCGTACAGTACACCAATAGCGGACGGGCGCGGGCATGGGTACTATCAAGAGTACATAACCCATGGTTATGTACTCTTGGTACTATGGTCGCCGATTGGTACATACCAGGTAACATGGTCGGGAGGCGCCCGGGCGCGGGGCCGCATGGGCCATGGGGTACGGGTGCTTTGTACCGTATCCCTAGGCCCTTGCAAGACTGTGCACGTGCAAATGGAAAGGAGTCGTAGATTTACAACTCTCAGCATCAGATCTGCAGCCACACCCACATCCACACTACAGCAGTTTCTATCCGCCTGCTTCCCTGCATATGCCATGGCCATGCATGCCTGGTCGTAGAGATGGTAGACCGCGTCCCTCCGGGTTTGGCTGGTGTCCGTGCTGCCAGGCCAGAGTGATCATCAGTTTGACCGCGACCTGATTTTGTTGGAGAAGTTCTCCAAAGCTGAAACGTGCCCAACCTTCGTCTGCTTTGTGTGGAAGTGGAGGACTCCGGCCGCGAGAGCAGTCTTGGCGTGTGTAGAGGCCTGTGGCTGGTCTGGACTGCCAACTGCTCGGTTCGTGCTGTTTGGTTTCTCCCATCAATCTTGAACACTCACCTCATGGAGGCCCGCGTAGAGTGACCAGTTTTCAAACTCTCTTTGCGTCCTATCTCCTTCACTTTTGGAGCCTCTGGCTTGTGAGAGGCCGTGGCTCTTTCATTGGTTGTTGGAGTGGTAGTAGACTTTGGGACGGCATGGCGCTGAAAGGGGATCAGGCGAAGAAAGACACACCCGTATCAACAAGTTTCACGGAGCATTTTGTGCGTTCACACACAATTTCTTCGACATCGGTAAGATACTGTTTGTGGATCAACCAGTGGAGCTTTTCATATCAGTACTGTCTCTGCCTCAGGCTCAGGTCTGTCTGTACGTGCGTTGAATGAAAGTTGTCCCGCTCCTCTAAGCATGCCATGTTTGCTTTGGCACACCCGTGTTTTGATGGGACTCGGATGATTGTATACTGATTACTGAAGGAATACTAGCGCAGACTGCTGAGAGACTCACTATGAGAGTACCGGTATTCCAATGTTCAGGTGTTGGTGGTATTGCATTGTGCACAACACGTATATGTAGATCACACGAAGATCCATAGCAGTGATTATGCTCTAGCACAATGTAGTTTCAATCGGTGGTTTTCGGATCGTGATCCAACCGCAGAAAGTACATATTTGATCATGCATGTTCTATTTTTGGCTAAGGCCAACTATTGCACATGGAAAAGTCAGTGTCGTTGGGTGTTGTTTAATACGTCCAAAGCAGTTTTGGACTGAGGTTTCCTGGATGACTCAAATGGCTGCTCATTGATTGGATTTCCCCTTTGAGACATTTTACCCTGCGTGGAAGAACCTTAGGTTTTCGGATAAGTTGCGGCTGCAAGCACATACGAATGCACCGGACACCGACAGGATATCATAGAGACCTGATGCTGTGTTATCTTGCATGCGCTGAGGAGGCATCGGGGTATGCCCTTTTCAACTCAAATTTTTCAGAACACCCATAGCATTGCACTGTTGCAAGTCCACTTGCGACAATCATATCATTGGTCAGGCACGACATCGTGCGACTAGAGGCATGACCTCATCCTCTCAGCCTGTCACACAGCATTAGAAACATTCTGGCGTACCTGGACTGCGCACAGCGGTTGCGTCTCTCTCACCAAAATATCTAGACTACGGGCAGTGAGTTTGGTGAGTGCAAACAAGCTAGCTGCCAGTTTTTGAGTGATTAGTCTCCTCTCAGAATCTAGGATATTGTTTTCGCAATGGCCTCTGGTTTGAATTTGTCATAAAAAAAACCGGGACCTGTGTATCAGCGTATAAGCCGACGTTCACTATTCGACCAGGCCTGGACATAACAGTTTTTAACTATATACAGAAAGCGGTACACTCAAACGCCTCTTATCCGGACACCTCAGACACGGGCACGTCTCTCTACCGGGCACCTTCAGCTTGAGTTCCTATAGCACAAATGCGTCGAATTTGGGTTTTTTGAACTTTTTCCGTATGTGGAAGTGCTTATGTTTCACTGCCAACCTATGTAATCCACACATTTTTATCAATGGGTTCCCTTTGTATCCTCAACATGTGCAATACGTGCCAAATAAACTTCTTCAAAAAATGATACATGGTAGATGAGTTATCCTGAGATACGGGCAAATCTGAGATACGGGCAGTGCCCGGTCCCAAGGTGCCCGGATAAGAGACGTCCGAGTGTATCTCCTTGTGGTACAAACTCTCAGTGATGTCAGTGTCGAACAATAAAATAATAATAATAATAAATGAAAGTACTGTAAGAAGAAAGCAAACATCACTGCATCCAAATGGCTATATGCTTCGAGCCCGGATTGCCTTCGTGTTCGGTGGTCTATGCAATCTATACAAATGCGATTGAGGCCGAACCTGTGGGTCCTGGCCTGGACTAGTGATGGCACAAAGCGCATGCATAAATTGGCCTTGCTCCAAACACCATTAGAATGGGCAGCCAGAGAGCAAGACCCACGTTTCTCGATACACCTGCCTATGTCATCTCCCCAGATGCTTCTACTCCCTGGTTTAGACATACAAGAAAGGTACCCTTTTCTGTTAAGTGCATGTAATGTTAACGGAAGTTAGTTTTTTTATTTGCCTGTCCACAGCCTCTTGTTGCTGCCAATTCTCGGCCCTCGTATCTCCGCACCAATAATCTTGAAGCTGACCAATCGAAGCTCAAGTCACTCGACCTCGATGTATACTGGAAGGAGTTTGAAGTTGTTCGAGAGTCTACGGCTGAGGCATCAGCATCAGAGGAGACAGATGAAGCACACAATGAGCCACCACCAGGTACGTACAGTGCTTTTGCAGTGTAGTGTAGCCGCCTGTTTTACACACCTTTATGTTGCCTCGAATTTAGAAGCACTGCAGATGTTCTTTTCCAGTGATTTGGCGTCAGGAATAGGCCACCTTGGTAATAGAGTCCAGACTGTTTTAGAATGTTTCGTGATGGTACTTCACGTACGTTATTTAGCAGTTTTGCTGTAAATTCTATTGACATGTGTGCACGTTGCAGACTATATTAGCTGACACGTGTCTTGTTATCCCCACTATACGAGTCTACTGGCTAGGGGGCAGCAATCTAATTTCACGTTGATAAATGGCAAGTCAGATCTTCGCCCGTTAGCCAGTAATTTGTTGTCGTTGTTTCAGAGTCTTTATTGTTGCATTCCAATACGATAATGCTGCTGGTTTTGTTGTTGCTGGTGGTGATGGTGATGGTGGTGGTGCTGCTGCTGTTGCTGGTGGTGGTGCTGCTGCTGCTGTTGCTGGTGGTGGTGGTGGTGCTGCTGCTGCTGCTGTTGGTGGTGGTGGTGGTGGTGGTGCTGGTGATGGCCATCCTGTTCGTGCTAGTGCTGGTGGTGCTGGTGTTGCCGGGCTTCTTGTTCTTGCTATCATTGAGTGTGATGTTGATGGTCGTATCTCTGCTGCTCTTTTCTCCAGGTGGTGTAGATAGCTGCGATGAGGAGAAAGCATGGCTCATGCAAGCTGGCCTTGGTGAAGTTGCCTCCCAACTGCAAGGTACTGCTTGTGCCAGCATGATCTGTACAATGGCCTGTGCTGTAGATCTCTCCAGCAAGATACTGTAATTTTACAAATTTTCGGCGTGCTTTTATTTTCGGTACTTTCGGTGCATCTGTTTCATACTTAAAATTTCAATACACCGAACAATAGGGAACTGCTTCTCTGTACCTAAAATTTCTGTTCACCTAACCTGGCCTTTTGCCCTCATACCGAAAATATTGAGCACTGAAAATTTCTGAAATTAGAGTACACAAAGCAATAGACACTGAGCCTTAGGAAAAGCTCTCACTTTTGTAGTTACCGTACTTGCAGATGACTCCCTTCACTATTATTGTTCAGTTGCAAATTGGCAACGTACATTGTTTTTTTTCTCCATAAATCGTCTTGGATATAAATGGAAGATATCCACGCTCACATGTAGACCCCATGACCCATACATGGCACCGACGTAGATGGCAAACGGCCTGTATAAGGAGGGTGCGTGTGCTTAAGTAGTGCACCTGTACGATTTGTGACGTCGCCCGCATTAGCTTACACATGTGGCTGGCCTCATTGTAATGTAACCTCTAGATGACTGTACTGTACCACATAAAGTCTTGTCCCTGCTATGTGCTTCGGCTATTTACTAGTGTTGCCCCACTACACGTACGATAGCATGATGATGCTTTCCTGCTCATGTCTGCAGATAATCAAATTGTCGATATTGACAACGTCAAGAAAGAAACAAGCAAGCTCAATTTCACTAACCAACAGACAGCGGCTGTAGTGCGTCGAGTGACGCGTGCCAATACAGCGATCCAGAAGTGGAAGGCGAAAACGACGGGCCTGCAGGACAGCGGCAATTCTCGGAGTAATTCTCGGCTGACGCCTGGAGAGTAAGTGAGATGAAATTGAAAACCCAAAGAATGAGTGAATGCTTTTCAAGTTTTCAAACTTGTTACAGGCTGTAACATACTCTCCAAGATAAATGCCACACTTATATTATTTCACTAAAAGTGAACTGGAATCTGCCCTGCGGCTCATACCCCCGACATACATTTCAATACAAATACAAACTGGAATGCGACATTCACCTCCAAGAGGGGTGGCGGTGTGCGTTGGGGGGGGGGGGGGGGACTAAATACGGTATTTGGGTTTTAGCAAGAGTTTGTCACTGCCAAGACTGTGCAACTTCACACCAGGTAGGACTTGTTTTTCGGAATTATGTCATTTTTCACAATATAACCGACTTGACTGCGTATAGAACTTGCTTTGCATGTGTTCAATCTCACATCTCCTCTGCGTACATTGAGCTGGTTACATCCTGGTACGTGACCTGATTCTTTTACTCCTAAAAAAACAGAGTTGTGGCAGCAACCCATCAGGAGTTACGCACTCTTGGTGGGAGTTATGTGCTCTTGGTGTTGGGTGTGAATAAGCAGCATTATATTTGATCTACACGTCCTTTGTGTGTGTCCGTGCATGCGTGCATGTGTGTGTTGGTTTGTTGGTTAGACCTGGTAGTCCGGAAGGAGGTGGGGCCGAGCTTGTCCTTACGCCGTCGGGTGATAACTTAATGGACGAAGACGGCGACTTCCTCATCTACGGATACGAGACGGAATCAGCACGAGACGTAAGCTACTCGTGAGAATTCCGCAACTATTGTCGTGCTCACCTCTCATGACCACGTGTGATGAATTGATGATGGCATATGGTGCACTGGGGTCGTATTGTTCGGTTGGTGCTCGTTTTGGTTCCTCATCAGTGTATTTAAAGACTGTCAAAAAATATGATATGCCGGGATTTGTCAGACCTCTACAGTAAGCAACCAGTTTGGGGAAAGGGAAAGTCTTTGTCAATTGCGTTGCCCGGCTCCGAGAGAGTGACATCGTAAGGGGTGATTATATGTGCAGCTCCAGCCCGGGCTGGTCGACAGGCGGGCCAGCCCGCCTGCAACGGGATCTCGGGGTTGTACACAAATCCACACAAAACCTGTGGTGCGTTTACATGGCAAGCGGGCTGGCCCGGCGAGGCGGGATCCCGCCTCGAGGCACCCGGGATCCCGGCTAGGCGGGCCAGAAAAAGCACATATAAACAGACCAGCCCGGGCCAGAGTTGTATTATTATGGTGTCGACACTGCGTTCATACCGTAGTAATGCACATAATAAAGGCGCATGCGCCTGTATTCGGATATAAGCACACTCTCACTTATAATATAAGCGCATGCTCTTATAAGCGAAGCACTACCAAAATTATCACTTTGACACAATCACGGATAAAAGTCTGTAAACAGCATACAGGAACCATGAAACTGACACTACAAGACCTAGTCAAACACACAGATTCTGGCAAACGAACTCTGATCGCGCATGCGCGTTTAGGTGAAAATATTTCATTTTTGAAAATTGGATTCGTAGCAAAAATTCACTTATAAGCGCATGTGCTTATATGTACGTTAATGCGGTACTACAAAATAGGTACTTTACCTTTTGGGGGAAGTTATAAAGAGGATTCCCGATATTGTCTTGAAAATCTATGAAGCTTTTTGTACAGCAACAAGAAGGACGTGCCGTGAGCACTGTTTATTTTTGTCGACATGCATGATTGTATTTTACAATGGAAGGGGAACTACTTGCAAAATACTTTGATATGGACAGCTAAAATGTGAAAAACAGGAAAAGAAACGAGGTGATACAACACACCAAGCATGTGGCATAGCGCAAAAAGAAATCAGCAGAAGAATACATTGTGTGGGAAAAAAGTTTTTAGGTTTAAAACATGAGTATGGCTTGCAGCCCTGCGTTTCAGCCCGGGACAGCACACTACAGTCGTAGTGTGTTTGTTGCATACTCACAACGGGCTGGTGTGTGCTCAGCGCATATAAACTCACTGCAGGCTGGCGACCAGCCCGGCCGTGCACATGTAAACACCCTTGGCGGGCTGGCCCTCTCGCTCCAGCCCGGGCTGGAGTTGCACATATAATAGGCCCCTTAGAGCGGTGTGAATGTGTATGCACAGCAGCTGGGCAGGGCACAGCTGCGGAGGCTGCGTAAACCATAGTGCGGCAGCTGGGCAGGACACCCCTGCATATATGTCTTGACAGGTAGAGAGGTTTGTTTTCTCGGAGACAAAAATGCAGTGAAACTCAAGAAAAGAAAATGAAATGACTGTATTAGTGGAAGATCTTTGAGGATGTGTTGATTGTGTGGATCCTGAAGCTTGCTATTTTCTGAGTTTTACGGAAACTTTTCAATTATAATAGTAGTGAATCGGTTTCGTCTCAACTTCTTTTCGTTCTCCTTTTCTTGCATGTGCATAGTTTGTGACTCTGCGAGCGGACCCGGCAGGCATATCCATGATTGAGGACTTCAGCGCGGATGATTGTACGAACCTGCGGCGCATTGCACTGATTGAGCTGACTGCTGTACTGGACAAGTTCAACATTTCCGTCCGGCCACTGCGGCATCGGAAAGTGAAAAAGAACGTCTCATCAAATGGTGAGTGGGAATGTCACTGGCTTTGAATCTTGCCTTTAATTTTCGTTGCATCCTGTATCCATTGCTTTGGAGATCTTTTGATTGAAAGGACCAAGTTCATGTATTTGAATTAGTCTTGTCACTGCATACTCTAAACTGGATTTTATCATGCTTGTGACCAGAAGTCTAAGCTGGCTCACCCCTTTCTTTTACCTGATGTGGTTTGATAATTATATTTTTTATTGTGGAAGGTTTCATCTTAAGTCATGTTAGCACCGTTGATCCACCAGCCGTGGCCTTTCTACCTGTGAAGCGACTTCAGAGCATACGTCAAAATACGGTGTTGAACCGAAGCGTGCACTTCTGTACACAATCTGTGCGAGTGCAGGCATGCCTGTGGATGAAACGGTGGGAGTGGAGGGGATCCGCGGTATTTAGCAGTAGTATCTGAAATAGTGTACAGTATAAGAAAGAGTACTAGTGTCTGATTAAAAAATAAAATTCCATTCAAGAGAGCCCAAGTTTAACACCATCGTTTTTGTCTTTTACAGGTTTTGTCTTTCAGTCAGGACTTAGTTTCATTTCCGGTCGATTCATGTTGATAAATGCTCCTGCCCTCTGCTCCGAGCACACAGTGCAAATGAAAATATTCTTCATTTCCAGTCCAGTCTGGGTAAGTTAAAGTAGTCCCGTGGGTGGCTGGTTGTGGTAATGATGATCGTGATGATGTTCCCTTTTTTCTCTACAGAACATGCCATACTAGGTGTACCGCTCACGACGCTACTGGAACGAGATCAACTCGTGGATCCGAGCGCAAGGATCCCGTTCTTCGTAACGCAGGTGCGTACCCGACCGGACCCTTCCCGGAGCTTCTCACTTCCTCTTGTATTGCTTGTCGTTTACAGTGTCTTATCCTCTTTGCTGAACTATTCTTCCTTCCACTGGAATGTCTTATTCTTCTTTTTTCTTTCTTTTTTAGATCTGTGAATTTATGGAGGAGAATGGCTTGGAGAAGGAGGGAATCTTCCGCGTACCAGGGAACTCTGCAAAGCTCAAGGTACTTAGTATGCTCATGTTGTAGTCTGGTTAGAGGTAGAAATAACGAAAAGCCAACTAGTTGTGTTCCATTGTACTATCGCAGAGTGTGACAATTGATCCATGATCCGCCAAGGCTGCTCTGCCACTAACAGCCATTTACACTGTCCTTCTATGCGTATTACAACTGAAGTATAATGCAGCTAGCTCTCTTGCTTCATAGTCTGGAGATCTATGTATGGTGGACATGAGTTGACTGTCACTTCCTGACTTCTGCAAGTGCTACCTCAACCATGTGATTCTGTGCGCAGAGATTACGAGAGGAGATGGAATCGGGCCCGATCCGCTCGTTTTCCTGGGAAGGTCGGGGAGTGAATGACGCTGCCACTTTCCTCAAGCAGTTTTTGCGGTGAGTTAGCTGAGTCAGTGGTCCCACACAAGCCGTGGCATCAGAGTCTTCAAATGTGATCTTGAAAGCAGGCTACGTCTTGCTAAGCCCCTGGTAACCATGGTAACCAGACATGTGCTGTGTAGACTACTTAGTTGAGTGTTACTATTCCAACCGTGACAGTATTCTGTTTTTATTGATTTTGATTTGCACTTTTTGGTGGGTCTAATCCACCGGCCCCACCGCTTTATAAGCTGAATCTGGCACCATGAGAGTGATGGCATTCCTGCGACTGTGCCACGGTCAGTCTGGCTCTTGCATGAGTGATGAACATATCCTTGTGACCAGGCAGGGTAAAAAGGCAAGGTGCTTCTACACATGAAGTGGATATTTGATAACTTGCGTTTCTCAAAAATCTGGAAAAAGGTAAAACGCACCTTTTATGGTTTACCCTGCCCGCTCGCATTTGTACTTTCGTCCTTGAGATACCGGATTTGTGCTGATATCACTACATGACTGTACCTTTCCACTTGTTTCCATTTTCAGGGAGCTGCCCATTCCTCTTCTAACGTTTGAGTACCTTAGTCTATTCACAGTTGCCGAGAGTGAGTACCTACTCAATGCATACACATACAACCAAGAGTACATAACCCCCCAGAGTGTGCAACGCCTGATCCAGCTCTGCATAGGGTCTTGGTCGAGCGGAATCAGATCTTTGCGTCATAATACCGTACACATCTGAGGGGAACCCGGGGAGTCGCGGGTACTCTTGGATCAAAAACAATGGTGCCCTGCCTTGAGACCGGCCTTGCACTGGTGTGGAGTGTACGCATGACATCAGAAGATCCGATTCCACTCGACCAAGACCCTATGCAGTGCTGGATCGGCGTTGCACACTCTGGGGGGTTATGTACTCTTGATACTACCTACTCAATGCATACACATATATACCTACTCAATGCATACACACATTATGTATACCTGGTCACTGCACACACCCATGGTGACAACATTTTGCTCAGGCCATTATCCGTGTGCTAATTTTGCCATGTAAGACACAATACAATACGATAATACCCGAGAGCGTTGTGAGCTCGCAGAGCATCGTTCAACTCACAAACTGGGTTGTTGTGCATCCTGCGCATTCGCCACATTGCCTATGTATGTATTGGAGTCCAGTACTGTCGGTTCCGAAGAACTGGGGGGGGGGGGGGGGGCAGCCTCCTAGCCTAGACCGTTCTTATTTTCATGTACTATGGTCTATGCACAGTTGAGTCACCGTGTATACATTAGTATGTTGTGCTTGGGGGAATTCTAGCCTGTTCGTTCTTCGGTACCCAACAGTACTGTCGGGGAAGTATAGTACTCGGCTTGCTTGGAACAGAAACGAGGCATTTCTGCGATGTCCAGCCCTGAAGCATGTATCATCTTTATTGGCGTCACCGTGCATAAGTTATAGGCATACGATGTATGCATGTCATGTACAACAGGCTCAGAAACACATTGTTGTTTGGTTGCTGTCTGTAGCTGATCAGGAGCAGTGAGCCCGGGTGCACTGTGTATGCGTGAGAGAGGTCGGCCCACAGTGAGGGCGACACTGAATTGAACGGTTTTGGCCTGGTGAGACTGTGTTGCATGTGTGGAATGTTCACAATTGTGTGCGTGCTACATTTGAACTTTGAGCTACAAGTAGTGGCGTCATCGTGCATACTCCAAAGGATGCTATGAAAGCGTACAGTTCGAGGTGAAAATGGACACTAGGCGCCGAAAGTATTTTGTTCCAAGGAAGCTGTGACATAGTGTTCCCCAATTCAGTGTCTGTGTGTGTTATGGGGTTTGAAAACACGGTGCGTGCGGTCCATTGGCGTTTGTTTTGCATTTTACTGTTTATCTTCGTTTCTATTGTGTCTTTTCTGCAGATCTGAAATCCAGAAAACTTCAGCTCAAGGCATTCAACTTGTTACTGATTCTTATACCCGATGTTCACCGCGAGGTTTTAAAGGTGTGTGTTGTATCTTTGCTATTGATGACTATTGTATCTATTAAATGTCTGGACAGCTACAAAATGTAGCTAGATTGCTGCTACTGTATTGAAGTATTAGCTTTTCCTGGTGGGGTTCCATGAGTAAGTCTATAGCTTTCATATGGCTGTCCGCAAAACTGGCCTTCTGTGGTGTCTGTATGTTGCTTTAGCGGCTCCTCGAGCTATTCAATAAGGTAATAGATCACGAGGAGAGGAACAAGATGGGTGTCAACAACGTTGCCATGATCGTCGCCCCCAATTTGTTCTGCAAGCTGGAGCAGATGACTGGAAACGCCGAGGCAGAAGTCAGATTTGCCGCCGGCTCTTCGCATGCGGTCCGCTTCCTGATCACGTTTGCGCCGATTCTGTTTGCGGTGAGTTGCTATTCAGCTTCAGTACGACCTTTACTGGTGTGTACATGTACCTCCAATTCACTTTTACCGCACTGCCAGGCAGTGTCTTATGTGAGTTACTGAGGCCAATTACTGTGCCTAGCGGGTCTATTTCTGAGTGGATACTCTATCTATTATATCTTTGCCTGATGAACGTGCAAACGTAAAATTCGGAGTTGCAATACAATTGTGTTCCACCTTACTTGTGGCCAGTACTTCTTCTAATCTATTCTGTTACACTCTGTGCAATGGGCGCAGGTTCCCAGTTACATGGTGAGGCAGCTGCGGCAGCTAACAGACGTAGAAGGCATCAAGGGGAGAAAGCCCAAATCAACCAAAGAGGTGAGGCAGACGCTGCCATTTTCTTCACTGTGTCCGTCTTGGTTTGCTGTGAGGTTTGCTGTGAAGTTTGGCTTGTCAGTTTACTTTCATGCTCCACTTCTCCTCACTGAGCATCGGAGGAGGCTTTGTAAGGGTTGGTTCACATATCGCCGGTACGCGCCGGGAGTCACCGGCGGTAGGCTTCTTGCAACCTCTCCCGGCGCATTGCGATTGTGTGAACCCGTGCAGTCGTAACAAAATCATACGGTAAAATATCGCAAGGGACCGCCGGCAAAGTTGGACAGTGCCCAACTCTTGCGATCTGCCCCGGCGCCGATCCCGTACAATTTTGACCAAAAGTGGTTTGTGAACCGTTCGCGCCCGTGATCGCCGGCTGCCGGGAGCCAGACTTTGTCAAAATATCAAACCAAACTTGTCCTAAATTTTCCTAAATTGAAGCTAGAGAGGAGGTCCGTTCGCCATTCTTGTAGTCGCTTCAAGCTGGCAAATAAGTCAGCATACCAGCCCGTCCTTCTCGGATGATCTGCTTGACCATTGTGCAACTTATGAGACAAATACAATTGAAACAAATAAAAAATAAGATGGATACATTGGCAAGTTCTTGTGACTTCCCCAACGTTTGCAAGCATAATTTCGACACCATCGCTTACTAGACTGCAATAAAATGTGTAGAAGTATTTTCATGATCTCCAGTAAAAGGTAGCACCGAGTGGCCATCACCGAAAGACCTTGAACTACTGAAGAAACATAGAATTCAAGCTTCAATTGGCAAACCTGTCGTAGCATTTGGGCACATTCTGTACTACTTTGTAGTAGATTTGGTACTCGAACCGTATGCGCAACGGATCGGGAGCTGGCTCACCGCCGATGTCTTGCGGCGCCGATTTTGCTTATGTGAACCAACCCTAAAGTTTGTGTAAGGTAGTATGATGTAGGCCAGTCTTGAACCTAAGACATGTACACAAAGCAGAAGTTAGTCTTCTACTTAAAAAAAAAAAAAAACTAGCTTGGTCTACCGCCATCCTTGTCCCTTTTCTTGTCCCTGATGCAACTTCCATGTGATGTGTACTTCTCAGGTACAGCGGCTCTTGAAGAAGGAGGCGAAGCGAGAGAAAAGTTATTCAGGCAACTCCCTAACTGAATATCGATCTTCGTTTGATGGCATTGATGGACCTTCTAACGAATCCGCAGTAAGGCCTGCAGATACCTATCTATAACTTTCTTGTCCAGATCTCAATGACTTGCTTTTTTTGTGTGTTGCTGGATCAGTGAAAACACTTAGCCTTCTGCTGTATATTAGTAATGCATTCTTCTTTGGACCAGACGAGACCACACGGTGCTTGCACACATGAGCACTGACAGCAGTGTGCGGTCACTGGTCACGTCTGGTCCAAATGAAAATGGCATCAGCGAATCATGACTTCTGACGTATGCTGTACACACGTGGACTGGGTTTTGGTCTGGTACACTTCCTTGTTGCCTGTACCAATATACAACTATATCGTTTTACTCTGATAGTGTGTGTAGCTGTGTGTGTGTGTGTGTGTGTGTGTGTGTGTGTGTGTGTGTGTGTAGCTGTGTGTGTACGTGTAGCTGTGTGTGTACGTGTAGCTGTGTGTGTACGTGTAGCTGTGTGTGCACGTGTAGCTGTGTGTAGCTGTGTGTGCACGTGTAGCTGTGTGTAGCTGTGTGTGCAATCCCAGCACAAGTTGCTACGGCTTCTGCTGTAGCATTGCTATCATCGCCTCTGGTGATGGGCGTCAAATGGTGTGTGTGCTTTCATGTTATAATCTGCTTGTGCTCAGACAAGTTGTGTAATCAAGGTCTTATCGCCAGAGTACCTGAAGGTCAGTATGGCTATGGAGATCCATGACGGCATGACGGCCAGTGGAGTGCTGGACCTCTTCAAGAAGAGACAGACAGGTGCGGGGAGTGACACAGAATGTGACAACAATTCAGGTACGTGATCACTGTTACCGTGAAAGTACACACATCAATCTATCAAGTGTCTTTCCCTGCTTTCCAAGAGCAGTTCAGTTGCTTTGCCTGGTTGATTTCGTCTTCTCATTTCAGCTTCAACGGTATGTAGCTTCCCGTGCTGTGTTCCACAACTTGTCAACTGTTATTCTCTGCTAATGTGTGACATGCCACAGGTTCGGAAGAGCCATTGGATCGGTTGCAACAGCATCTCTTCCCGGTATGTAATGAATAGAATACTAATAATGTTGCTTTGGCGCAGTACTCCAAATATTTGCAGGCCTGGAAAGGACATAAGCTGTCAAAGTGTAGGTAGTCCTGAATGGATAATACTAAATTCAGGAGCATGCCAAGATGGACTATTCAATCATACCGTACTTCCACGCACAGAAGCACGTGTGGTAAATTGGTAATATAATTATGAACAAACCGATCACGCAATTTCAGCTAGCACTGTACAGCTTGTTACCTAATTTGCCAGTTGACACATTGACATTGCTAGGCACAACTGATGCCAGAGTCTCTTTTCACCCAAGTCTAGCATGAAGGAATTGTCCATGGAAACTGCACCAGCACACATAATGGTGTGTGAAGGCTGGCCTCTGCATCCATAAAGGGCCATGTTTATTTTACAGCCCGGTGTACATGATGCATATTATACACATGTGCTTACATGCAAGCAAAAATGACCTCTCCTTTCTACCAAAAACAGTGACTTTTTCTACACATAAGCGTGCTTTTGTGCGGGGAAGTAAGGCCTTTTGTAACACTCTTTAAAAAGACTTTTGAGATAACAGTATACAATGATCCGTCTCTGATTTCTTTATGGGTAGTACACGAAATGGTGGCCTGCCAATGTGAACGTCTTTGCTTGATTCGTTCCTCAACATGTCCGGTGATGTGGTCACGAATCCGGCTAACTTTACGCCTTTTTTAGTGCTCACTATGACCAAGAGGTTTATGTACTCTTGCCATGACGTGTCTACAAAAGCATTATCTGACATGAGCTTTCCAGCTCTCCAGCTTAACGACCCAAACAATCCCGCTGCTTGCTAGTGTTCACCGTGTCTCATGTACACTCTGCTGTGTCTCTGATCGCTTTCTGGTAGACTTCGCCATTAGGATCAAGACAGCACTCACCGCGCTCATCCGTCTCGTTGCAGTGCGACCCAAGACAGTATCGGTCACGTACGGGCAGTGTTTCACTCGCCGAGACAGTCACGGGACTCTGCGATCAGCTAGCCGATGCAGACCTTTACGAGTCTGGCGGCAATGTCCGTAAGTATTCACACGCCGAGGTTGTGGGCTGTCAGCAGACCACTGACGGGGAAACACGGCTCTTGAACTGTGCCCTGGTGGGGTATTAGTGAGTGAGGGGGGGGGGGGTAGCTCTTGAACTGTGTTCTGGTGGGTTGTTAGCTGAAGGGAAAGTTAACTCTTGAACTGTGTCCTGTATGGGATAGTCGTATGTACTGAGATATTAGCTCATATCCTAGTGTTCATGTGAAGTTCTGGCACAGGAAGTTTAGACCCTGGTGTTCATGTTGTTTAGCATGAGCACGGCCTGCATAGTGGACAGCATGCACAGAGCACAGGGCACGTCTGCGCTTGCACTGAACCACATGAAGCGAGCAGGCAAGGGCCCGATCTCATTTACCACCACTGTACCAGTGCAGTAAACTGTTATGATGGTGCCATTCAGCTCTCTCATTTTCACCACTGTTCTTTCCGTGTCTGCTACAGATGAGCGCAAGCTTCGGGCAGACTTCGACATCATGGCCATACGTCGTATCAACCCCAGCGCCCAGTGGGTGATCAGAAAGCGGCAGCGATCTCCCGTCAACACGTGACATGCTGCTGAGACCCGAACAACAGAGCCAGGTGCTTTGCATTGATATTTTCTTTTCTTATAGACCAATTGCACATACTATTGCTGAGCACAATGAGATTTAGGTAAGTCACTACGTTGCTGTCTGTCTCCTATCATTTTGTTTTGTCTCTCATACGCAAAACTCTTTTATCTCTGGCTTTTCGACCCCATCATAAAACTGTAGTCGTCTATTCATGAGAAACCTTGACATCTGCTATATGGAGAAGTACAGAGCTAGGCGAAGCCATCTTATTTCGACTTATTTGAGCTCCGGTGAGTGTGAGCCCTGCCGCTGCGGGTGCTCGTGCTCCACTCCTAGCTATGGCTCCCATCAACTTTTAATTTATTCTGTAGCACGTAAATTCCCCTCCCAGCACGGACCGGACACCGTATTAGAATTTGGAAAATTCATCGCCCGCCTAGTTCCGACTGTTGAGTGTGTTATACAGTTCTATTATTACTACTTTGACGTACCTCTTATTAATAAATCAAACTAATTATTAAATTTATCGCTAGGATTTCTCCAGTGGACAGACCACTCCTTTCCTCTTACTATTTCCTCTTCTGGAAGCCCTGTTGATTCGCCATGTTATAGTCTGTTAGATACTTTATCATCCTGTTTGCCTCTCACTCAAGACTTATGAGTGGAGCTCCAAACCGGCAACTATAGTATATTGTTATTCGAGTGAGGCGCGTCTCGCGGATACGTGTGCAGACACGCTGTGATGACAGTGGGCGGTGTCCACAACGATTTGCAAGCCACGTCCCCAATGATTTTTTTCGGGGTAACAGCCTCTTTTACGGGCAAAATAAAGTCATGTAGACGTGAAAAAAATTCGTCCCCAATGATGCAAGTAGACACTGCAGCAGAAAAGTCCTATGTTTGTACACCAGGGAGCAAGGCGAGATAACAATAGTCATACATGTAGTACCGAAACGATGTGCGCTTCACCCCTGGATTTAGAAGGTCAACACTGTCTGGGGTCTATGCGACTAACTCGGACGGTGATCGTGGTCATGACTTGCAGACCGCAGGCCAGCGATTGCCAGTATGTCCTTTGCAAGCGTGTAAATCGACCCTGCTCCAAAAGCGACTGTAATGGGCAGCCCGGGGTCGAAACACACATGATAATTAGCTTTTCAGTCGCCCATGCCGACTACCTGATGGATATGTAGGTCTTAATAGTGATGGTGGCCAGCATGATGGGACAGAAATGATTTCATGTATTAAAGATCACTGCATCTGTCCCTTTCGGAAATTGTGAACAAAAATTTTAAATTCCGTGGGGAAATGGGTTATTCTGTGTCACTTTCTGCGAGCCTTTCACCGTCCTCATAGAGAACAACCTTGTTCTATGTAGGAATGCTCTTCACACTATCCTTCTCCACCGCAAACTGAAGGGTCTTCAGCTCTTGGAGAGAACTGCACTCACCTACACTGGCAAGAGCAACATGCTCAAATCCATCGCAAGCTGTTCTGCTGCTTTCTGCACAGTAATTTTAATAATTACGGTATTGGCAAAAAAAACGCAGATTTCACGTAATTTCCGTGGGTTATGGCGATTTCTGCCGAAGGGGACAGCTACATGTACTGTACTTCAAAATACCGCACTCTTCGATAGTCTTTGTATGTGGTGAACTGGTGATTCAGTGCAAGACCTCATGTTGCAGTGTATGCTCAGGCGATTTTTTCTTTGTCAGCAGTGCCCCCCCAATTATTATTATTATTATTAGACACAATCTCATAGCATGTGACAAGCATAGCTAATGCAGGGACAGAATCCCCTGAGACAAGGGCGTTGAGCCAGCCACAGCAATAGTAAGTTAACCTCTAGCGCCCACAGGTCAAGTCATTCGCGAGGATGTGTCAAATTACTGTGAAGCAGACAGTCTGCTTCAAGCGTGCATGGATGCATACGAAACCAGATCCAGAAACCAGCTTTACCATCGCAGTTACGTAGCTATTGGGATGTGGATAATAGCTGTTGTCTGATCACCGCCTCATGCGTGTCGGAAACTCGGAGTTACACTGCACATCTTCACCCTATTCTTCTGGAACTAGTGTGTAGTATACGCATGTTATTATTATTTTTTATTATTATTTAAATTTTGAATAGGGCAATCCCCACAGGCCTAAGGCCTTTTTTCCAGGGTACCCTCTAATGTATCAAAGTTATCTCGCACAACCAGCCAAGAAGACACAATTATCTGCATTGAACGTTTTCGTTCCCTTCTTATCATAATCTCTTCTTGTTGTAATTATTATCGCTAATACGAAGTCTGTGTGATCCTAACAATATAGTGCTGCACACCATACGCATATGCATCGTATGGACGTACATAGAATTTAAAAGAAAAAGAAAAAAAGTGCTGCTATTAACCCTTTCAAGCCGCATATTTAAGTGCTTGAGAATGTCGGCCGTTCACTAAGGGTGAAAGTTTGCGACATATCAACACATTACATGTATTAAATTTGTTCTCCCCAGTGCTGCATTTCTTGCTCAATTCCATAATAGCCATACAAAAATAGAATAAAAATGTCCATAAACAAAGAGGAAGCTTGTGCCAGCACAAGACCCCAGCCCTCTCTTCAAACGTGAATCTCTCAAAGTACTTGAATCATCGAATAAAGATATTAGAGGTCTTAAAAAGGTAGGTGATTACTCCCAACACTGTTTTAAAGGAAGTAGATCAATTGGTCACTGCCAAGGACAATACACATATAATGACAGGCTCATTGCTGTCAGCAGTCCTGCATGAGGTTGGTGAGAGAGACACGCGCATACCTTCCCTTCTAACCCGGTCCTGTCATTTACTTGTAACAAAGATGATATTGGACGAGTAGCGGGTTGAATGCTGTGTCAAGCTTTCGGTGAGCCATCATTGATCTACAACACAAAAAAGAAGTTGCACAAGCACAAACAGAACAGTAAGACACAGTTTCTGCAGAGGTTACCATATGATACCCATTTATATTTATTATATTTTTAATTTTTATCTATACAACACCGCCTGGCTCCCCGTTAGACTGGCAAGAGTGAGAGTGAGATGAAGGGTGGTCCATGCCATGTGCAGTTCTCTCTGCTGAGGTCTGCACTAGTCCCATGCTGCATTTGTCGACTTAAAGGGGCACTCCGGGAATTTTTTCGGTGGTGTGTTCTCTTCATGGGGGCCTTATATGGCCCCCAAGGAATGGGGAATCGCGAAAACTAGACCTAAAAAGTCGATATACGAAGCCAGGGAGGGCCAAGTTTGTCTCCTCTTTTGATGGTTTTGATGACGTCACGTGTGCTTAGTATTCAAATTCTCTGCATTTGAAGATCTTAGTTGTTTGAATTTTCTGGCGATGAAGAACGATGTTTGGTCGACATTCCCAAGCTTCACAACTGCGGACATACTGAAGGACCCCCTGAGGTGCCCCTGGTAGAAGCGCAGCCTGATGAGGGCCAGGAAATGGGAGCGGACGACTTCACTGGTCGAAAAGGAAATAACGATTGGTGTTCCTGCCAGAAATGTGGGGTGATGCAGAGGGCAGTCGATTACCTTCGCTGTCGAGAGAGCGCTGCAGCTGTTAGCATTGACAGCCCTTTGACATGCGTTTACACATCACCCCGACTTCGCGTCAGCTTGTCTAAACAAAACTGTTCTGACCATATGCCTCACGGCGTATAGAGAATTGCGGGTTCCTCGTACTCGGACCAGTGAAGTCGTCCGCTCCAATCTCCTGGCCCTCATCAGGCTGCGCTTCTACCAGGGGCACCTCAGGGGGTCCTTCAGGTTCCTTAGAGTATGTCCGCAGTTGTGAAGCTTGGGAATGTCGACCAAACATCGTTCTTCATCACCAGAAAATTCAAACAACTAAGATCTTCAAGTGCAGAGAATTAGAATACTAATCACACGTGACGTCATCAAAACCATCAAAAGAGGAGACAAACTTGGCCCTCCCTGGCTTCATATATCGACTTTTTGGGTCTAGTTTTCGCGATTCCCCATTCCTTGGGGGCCATATAAGGCCCCCATGAAGAGAACACACCACCGAAAAAATTCCCGGAGTGCCCCTGTGAAGAGCGTGCCTCAAGAATCTATCAACGTCGGCAATAGGACACAGTCAAGAGTACACAATGATGACCGAGAATGTACATGAAAATAAGAACGGTCTAGGCTACCCCTCCCCCCCCCCCCCCCCCCCCCCCCCCAGCTCTTCGGCAACCGACAGTAATGTATCAGGTGGGACGGTTTGCTTTGCTCAGTCCCTGCACCTCGAACAAAGAATGATTGTTTGGTGTAAATGATTTCGCTTGAACCCCAATCAAGTAAGTAGTTCAGTCTTTACAGACCAGGTCATCATTACTAGCACTCTTACCCACTGGACAGTCCAGCACACATTCACCATGCACAAGTGCCAATACATGTACGACTGTATTGACTGCACACGGTAAGCTTGACTAGATGCTCACGCAATCACTACAGCTGCTACCGTCAAGTCGAGGATGCATCATGGGACATGTGCATGTAGCCACACTGCGGCAGCATGCACATACATTGTAAGGAGTCCTGTACTTCCAAGCAAGCACTGCAATAAGAGACTCAGTGACCTGTTTTGAGAGACCAGTCATATCAAACCCATGCAGGCAATGCTTCCACATGCATACACTTTGACCTGTGTAGAAAGACCACCTGTTTTGAGATACCAGTCATCTCAAACACCATGCCTCCAAATACACATGTTGAACTGTTGTTGGTTGACAGCATGTACACGGCGGAGGAACACCGTGTTCGGAAACAGTGCCCCTTACTACAAGCATCCGCGGTTGGCAGAGCCCCGGTCCGTTGGGATCATCTGAACCGTATGGGTGTCAGCCTTGGTTGTAACATGCTGTCAACTACAGTCCATTCAGAAAAAGATGGACTTCTAGCTTTTGGCCATAAATGGGTCAAACGTTGAGTTTTTTTAGAATTTGTTTCTGCAATCCCCTATGGAATCCTCTTCCAATTATGTTTCTGAAGTCTATTTGTCCAAAAAGCAAGCCATAGCAAGAATAGGATTTCGGCCAGGTTTCGCCCCAAGAGCACTGAATTGGGAAAATCAATCAAAATCCAGGCCGTTTGACCCTGCCTGCAACAGTGCATTGTACGGTTTGAACCCCAGTTCAGGTACCCTTTTTCAAATTTCAAATTTCGCAGCACTGCACTGTGTACGATAAAATCTTGAAAATCGCCTAATGCGGGAGCTCGCCAGAGCCAGGGCCCATCTTTTTGTGAATGGATTGTAGTAGTTTTTTTTTTGTGTTTTTAAAACAATGCAACACAATATTGTGGAAAGGTCACAACAACATGCTGTCAACCAACAACATGTTTTCAACACAACATGGTTTATCTAATAACACTTTGACCTGCGTAGAATGACCACCTGTTTTGAGAGGCCGGTTTTCTTTGGACCGTGCCGGGGGGGGGGGGGGGGGGTGTCACCAAATGTGTAGGTGCCATTGCGGTGTGTGTGTGTGTGTGCGCGCGCGCGTGCGTGTCTGTATGCGTGTGTGTGTGTGTGTGTGTGTGTGTGTGTGTGTGTGTGTGTGTGTGTGTGTGTGTGTGTGTGTGTGTGTGTGTGTGTGTGTGTGTGTGTGTGACAAGCTTGACTTACCGGCGGAATCATCAACCGGTGCTTGCACATTGCCCTGCACGAGTTGGACGTACTTCGTCTGGCCGCTTTTTTCTTGCACACGGTTAGCGAGGACGACGAACAGCAGACCGAGGATGATGAGTCCACAGAACACGTATTGCTGCCAGTTCAGTCGGTCCTCCAACACAAAATACGCCATTACAATCGCAACAGGTACCTGCATCCGTGCCGGGCGTACACCATTCAAACATGCACATACACACACAGATGCATATGCACACACAGATGCACATGCACACACAGATGCACATACACACACACACACACACACACACACAGAAAGAGGAGTGTTTAAGCCAAGGGGTATTCCACTACTCCCTGGTTTAACAAAAGGACAAAGGAACCGGCAAACAGCCATTTTCTTGAACTTCCAAAGACTAGTTTCTGTCATATATCTTATTCTTAGAAAGGTGAATCCACTTGAATCCAGTCGGCTGTCCACAGAGTGCTCAATGTGAAACAAACACAGAGCATCTGAGTACCCGTATTCTTCTTCTTTGCAAACTAGCAAGCATTGGCACCAGTCCTATTTGAATGTACCAAAGCACTATGTCATTGTGATGTCATGTGCACACATTTTTTAAAGCTAATTTATAATACAATGTAGGTGCTTCACAGATCTGTGAACCATGCAGCACCCGTTTCGTCACGTTGGCATGATGTTGCACATACTTTGTGCACCTGCAAACACAACAGTGACAAGATTGGAGTAGTTGTGGTTGACAGCGTCAACATACCTGCAGAGGCCAGAACGCTGTGACGAGCGTGGCAGATATCTGCATAGTGCTCCACGTGATGAGAAGGTAGCAGAGCGCCGAGGCTATGAAGATGGCGTACTCGATGGGGTACGTGACCTCCAGTGGGATATGCCAGGGGTCCGACTTGACACCGCACACCGGCTGTTGGACTGTCTTGGCCAGTGGCGAGGCAAGCGCCATAAACACGGCGCCGAAGAAGTAGCACCAGGCGGTCACGTTCACGGGCATGTCGGAGAAGCGCTGCTCCGTCTTCATGAATATCAGCTTCTTCTGGGCGAGGACGTAGAACGACATCGCCACCGTGTTGCCGAGCAGCATAATACAGCCGATGACTGTGTCGTGCGAGTTGTGCTTTGTCGCATCCTGAGCACACGCAGTCGTGACTGTGTCCGGACTTTCAGTGGTGTTGCCTGACGATGACGACGACGAGCCTACCGGCTTGAAGACGGTCATGCCAATGGCACCCGCAGCCGCACACAGGATGCCCAGCAGCTTGGCCCAGGTGTAGAGCTTGCGCAGAGACGGCAGCTTCTCCACGCGGAACAGGATGGCGAAGAACGCGGCCCACACCGGGATGGCCGGCTGGAATGCCGACGCTATGTCCGGCCCTGCCCAGTACACGCCCAATATGTACAGTAGCTGATTGCAGAACATACCCAGAAACCCCAGCAGGATGAAGATGGGAAATTCACGCAGGGTTGGCAGCATGATTTTCTTCTCAGCAACGAACGCCGCCAGCATCAGCACCGGAAAGCAGCACAGATCCCTAAACAAAGAGAATACCAGCGGGTTGGCCTTGTTCTTCTGTGCAAATTTGGTCACCACGATCCCGTAGGCACCGAACCCGACCTGCACCACAACCAGCGCGCATAGCACCACCCACGTTGGAACTCCTCCCGCACCTCCAGCTCCGGCCATTTTACAAAGCCGCTATGCTCGCATGCAATTACCGGTATTGTTGCTGTCCCGGTATCCCCTCGACGTACCGAACACAGCACAACTAGCGCTACGCCGTTTTACTCAGCTGCCGTAGAGCTCTGAGCTGAATTGAATCGAATCGGTAAAACAGTGTCGAATGCCCTAAACTAATAATACATGTTGTACATCTACTACATGTATTTTGTAAAGTCTGACACTTGCTCAGTGCATGCAGTGACTGCGCTGACATCTGATTTTTTTATTTTAGCATGCAGCCAGAGAAGCTCTTCAGTCAGTCAGTGACAGTAGAGGGCGCCGATCGAGCTATCACACTTGCTGTACTGACTGTATGTGACAGCTAGCGCTAGCTGCCTCGGTAGGTCAAAAATACTCAAAATGGTCGCACTGGTTGCTTCCAATCCGGTCCCCTCGAAACTCTTCAGTCTTGGCCAAATAATTGCAACTACACTACAGTAACTTGAAGACAAGACAGTAGAGCTCAGCGTTACCGTATGTCATGGGCCTATGGCATAGCCCGGACATCTACTATTGTACTTGTTGTAGCTGTTGAGGCCTGTACACCATGGTACACACTACGGGATATTTTGCGCGGCCAGGTCGCAGTGTGCGTGCAGTGCGTGTGTGAGCGTGTGTATGCGTGCGTGTGTGTTACCATGTGCGTGTTTGTGTGTGTGTGTGTTGCTCGCGCGCGCGCGCGCGTGTGTATGTGTGTGCCAGCTAGGTCGGTTGGTGGGTACACTTATGCCGATGAGATAGTGTTGAGTCTGTTGCCAACGCCGCGGGCTCGGCTGCTTGAAGGTGTGATTATGTTGTACCTACTGTAACAGTATAGACTTGATTGATTGGAGAATTCCCCGAATGATGTTCAAACCAGAGGTTATAAAGCAAAAGAAAGGCGAGAACCGCAGGAGTGATAATAGTAGGAACACAAGGTGTTACCATAAGACAAGCAAGAAGTGTCAAGGTAAAACTATTACACTCTCCCGGCCCCATAGGAAGCCCAAGGTTCTATTAGATAACACAATCCAGTTAGGAGATGCAATTGTGGAAAGGGGAATATTAAATAATCACTCATGCACATGCATAACCACATTGAAGTGTAATCAAACTCAACTTCATCACTCTCACAAGGAGATGACGCAAAACTATATCAGTCTATAACATATTATTAACTATCTCAGTCAGAGATGCATATGGCTCAGCCCAGTTAGATCAAGGCTGCTGTCGTTGTGAGGCTAGATAGGTCTGCAGCGGTTTAATATTCCGACCAGACTCATCACATAGGTTGCCAGCGGGCTCCCACGTAGCTTCGCTGCTGGGGTAACCCTTCCAATGCACCAGGAAGTGTTGCTCACCACTGCGGTGTCGGTGATTCAAAACGGCTTCGACAACATAGCGTGTGTGTCCATCTAGATCTGTGAAGGGCGGAGGCGGGGGTTGGTGTCTTCCAGGAATCGTGTTTTCTTCGTAGCGTTTAAGAGCAGTGACATTAAACACGGGATGGCAGCGAAGTTCACGGGGTAGTTCCAAGCGAAAAGCATTCGCTCCAATCTTAGCCTGGATACGATACGGACCAAACCACTTGGGTTGCAACTTCCGAGAGGGCTGGCCACGAGCTTCCGGGGTCAGTAGAAAGTCTCTGTAGACAAGAACGCTATCACCAACCTTCAAATCACTGGGCGTTCTCGTCTGGTCTGCGTATAGAGCTTGCCTTGCCTGGGCGTCGAGCATTGCATCTCGAGCTATCCTTAGTGCAGCTTCCTGCTCATGAAGCCAATCGACCGAATCACTCCTTTCCCCTCCCGTAAGAATGAATTCGGGCGGGGACTTAGGGTCAAACCCATAGTTCAGATAGAACGGTGTATTAGCTACAGATGACTGTTGTGAACTATTTATTGCAAACTCGCAGAGTGGTAGAAGCGAATCCCAATTGTCCTGTCTCAAGTTCACAAATGCTCTTAGAACATCTCTCACTTGCCGGTTAACTCTCTCTGTCAAACCATCCGTTTGAGGGTGGTTAGCAGTGCTGAATGCCAATTTAGTTCCTAGCTGAGAGAATACTTCTTTGAAAAAAGCTGCAGTGAATCGTGGATCGCGATCGGAAACAATGGTCGAGCTCAGCCCGTGCAGACGAAACACGTTTTGAATGTACAGTTGAGCGCTGCCCTTAGCATCAATCTTCGAGTTTGTTGGAACAAGATGTACGCATTTCGTAAGTCGGTCCACAAGCATTTCGTAAGTCGGTCCACAAAGGTGTAAATTGCGTCGAAGCCACGAGAAGTAAGGGGCAATCCAACAATAAAATCCATTGAGATATCCTGCCAAGGACTATTAGGTATTGGAAGCGACTGGAGAAGCCCTGTTCGTGGCTGACCTCCCTTCGTTCGCTGGCAGAGATCACAGGTTTTGACAAATCTCTTGATATCGAGACCCATTCGGGGCCAGTAGAAAAAACGTGCTAGGCGGAAGTACGTTCGATCACGACCCGGGTGGCCAGCCGTTGCACACTCATGGTGTTCTTGAATGAGCTTTAACCGGACACCGCACTGTGGTATGCACAACCGGTTATTGGGGGATGCCTTGAGGTACAAGCGATCAGTGGATTCGTCCCAATAATAGCGATCATGCAAATTATCTCGGGGAGAATGCTTCAATCTTTCTATGATGGGAGTTAGCTCTTTGTCTCTCTGGTAGGCATCTGATATTGTATTGGACACGTCATCATTCATTGCTAAAGCATACTCAATAGCATTCAAACGTGGTACTGCATTCTCCACGAGGTTACTCTCATGGAGATCTGGGCGACGCGAAAGGGGATCTGCAGGGTTCTCTCTGCCGGGTCTGTGACGAACTGTGTAGTCATAGTCAGCTAGGAATTCAACCCATCGCGCCTCTCTCTTTGTAATGCTTGGTTTTGTTTTCAGATAAACTACCGCCATGTTGTCTGTAATGACCTCAAAGTGTTGAAAGAGGTAGATGCGCCAGGTCTTTAGCGCAAACACTACGGCCAATGTTTCTCTTTCTGTAGCTGTATAATTCTGTTCAGCAGCAGACAATTTTCGGCTAGCATAAGCCACTGGATGCCAGGCATCTTCCTCTAGTTCTTGGAGAAGAACACATCCCAAGGCGAAATCGCTTGCATCTGTTACCACTCTGAATGGTCGGTTCACATCAGCCAGCCGCAATAGGGGCGCATTCAACAAGGCATGCTTTAGCGATTCAAAGGCATGTTGCCGAGAGCTGTTCCACTCGAATCGTGCATGTTTTCCCGTTATCTCCTCTAAGTTCTTAGAGAGCGATGAGTATTGATCTATGAATCGCCTAAAATAATTCGTAAATCCAAGAAATTGCCTCACCTCTGTGACGGAAGTCGGAGCGGGCCAGACCTTTACTGCGGCAATCTTGTCTGGGTCAGGGGCGATGTGCAGTCCATCGATGCAATGTCCCAGGAACCGCACACTCTCCACGCCAAATTCACATTTTGACCGTTTGCAAAATAACTGGTTGTCCCGGAGCACGCTCAATACCGACCGGACATGCTGCATATGCTCCGACCACGTTTTGCTGAAGATGAGTATGTCATCTAGGAACACGACTACGAACTCCCTCAGATATGGTTGAAGAATCGTATTCATCATGGATTGAAATGTTGCCGGTGCATTGGTGAGACCAAATCCCATGACCCTAAATTGGTAATGCCCAAAGGGAGTGTTAATCGCGGTTTTGGGCACGTCCTCAGCTTGAATGCGAATCTGATTATACCCTGATCGGAGGTCTAGTTTCGTGAAGTACCTAGCGCCCTGTACGGTATCGAATAAATCATTGGGCAAGCACGCCTTGTTCTTAACAGTTATCTTGTTTAGCTCCCTCCAATCGCAGACCATGCGTAACGAACCATCAGCTTTCTTGACAAAAAACACCGGTGCACCAAAGGGGGACTTACTTGGTTCTACGAAACCCTTTTTCAATAGTTCTGTGAGCTGTTTCTTCAATTCCTCCATTTCTGGCCTGGGCAGGCGATAGGCAGGTCGCGATGGGGGTGATGAGCCTTCCTCCAGGCGGATTTCGTGGTCTACAGACCTCTCTGGTGGGAGTCTAGCTGGCAGATCATCCGGGAAAAGATCGTCATAGTCACGGAACATGGCCTTGAGATCTGGGTGCTCGTTCTGAGTGGATTTGTCGGGAGGTTCCTTGCCAATGCCGTCTTCTACGCTGACCCACGCCAGAACACCTTCGTCTCCACTCCTAAGAGCATGCCTAGCCTGACGACCAGATATGAACATCGCCTCCACAGGAGCGGTCGGTTCGCTTTGACTGGGCGACGCACAAGGCAAACCATTCGAGTTCAACCTGACTTCATTCGTCCGGAAGTTTATGTCTGGATTGTTACGCGTTAACCAAGGTTTCCCCAATATAGCGTCATAGCGATGAAGGGGGAACACCGTGAAGGTTTGGTTATCGCTGAAGTCGCCTACGATAACCTTCAATTCATGGGTCGTCTCCATGGGAAACGAGCTTGATGCTCCATCAGCCAGCGTGACATTCAGGTTTTCCGAGCCAATTTCGGTTGGCAGGTTAACTCTCCTGGCAAACTGTTCGGCAATGAAATCATGGGTCGAGCCCGAATCTATTAACATAAGCGCGCGACGACCGTTGATTTTGCCTTCTACACGCAGGAGCTCATGTTCCGTTTCCACATTGACGCTGGTAACCTGGGCCTCAATAGTTGGTGTAACATCTCGCTTGAAATTGGCTTCGGAGCATTCAGCATCATCGTCAACATCCTCCACAGCGAGGCTACTGAATCGGTTACGGGTAGAGACGGAGCACACACTACACGCAGGTGATGCCTTTTCTTGATGCGTCAGTAATCGCATCGGCCTTACTGACGTCCACCGTTTGGGTGATCTCGATGCTGCGGGCAATTCTGGGCCATATGGCCTGGTCGACGACATGCGAAGCAGACCCCCGGGCTCGTAATGTCTCACGTTCCTCGGGGCTTAGTTTTGTTAGCTTTCTGCTACCTGATGGTGGTGCGAATCCCGGCGCGGTCGCCAGTGGTGGTCTGCGCTGAAATCGGCTGTCTGAGGCGACTGCTAGCGCTGACTGAACGGCGGCTGACAGTGTAGTGGGGTATTCCTTCACTACCAAGGTCCGCATGTTACCGTGCAGGCCGTTGGCAAATAGCAAGGCTCTGGAGAGTTCGTCAAGTTCCGGCACCTGTAAACTTAGCCGAGAAAACTCCGTTACGTACGATTCAATTGACCCACGCTGTTGGATAGAGAACATATCCAACCGCACTCTTTCCCCGTCATAGTGCGGGCCATACACTCGCGCTAGGGCGCTTTTCAAAGAATGCCAACCCGAAAATTGCTCACCTGCTTCCATGGAAGAAATTAGCCAAAGACGCGCATTCCCAGCGAGGTAGCTAGCCGCAAAGTTAACTTGGCTCTCCGGGTAACCTTGAGGTGAGCACTTCAAGGCTAACTCGACCGTAAATACCCACTCTTTGAACTCGGAAGGGTTGCCATGGAAAACATTCGGTTCTCTGGTAACGCGTTTGACGCTCGGGCTTGTCTGGGAGAGAGAACGCGATCGACACGGGGCTAGATCCGGAGGACTTGAGCTTGATGTAGCAGGTAATTGATGTCGTCCAACTGTAGCAGCCACGTTGTCCCGAGCGCGGCGGATCTCACGGAAAGCGGCGTATAGCAGAGCAGTAGCGGCCAGGAGCACAAGGCACGTCAAAGGGCAAACGATGATCTCAACCATCCTCAAGCTACCAGTGTAACAGTATAGACTTGATTGATTGGAGAATTCCCCGAATGATGTTCAAACCAGAGGTTATAAAGCAAAAGAAAGGCGAGAACCGCAGGAGTGATAATAGTAGGAACACAAGGTGTTACCATAAGACAAGCAAGAAGTGTCAAGGTAAAACTATTACACCTACCACCTTTGTTGGTTTCAGGGTTCATAATTATGCTTTTGAGGTATACATACCTGTTAACCATGAACTACTTCTGGCTAGATAAGATTAACTCTTGTGTAATTACGGTGCTAGTGAAGCTTATAATCAGACCCACTCTGATCTAGCCACCCACACTAGTAGTACTAGTAGCAACTAACTAGCAAGACAGTTAGTATTACCTTCACTGGGGGCAGGGGTAAATGCAGTTGGATCCCGGGACGGATACCCTGATGCTGTCAATCGTTTTTCTGCACCTTGTCCTCACCCACTTACTGTGGTGTGGTGAGCCCATAAGTGGGATCATTTCCAAGTCCACCCAAAGTTTGAGGATTTCAGGGGGTGTCGGACGTTGGGTGGTTCAGTAGCCATCCTGGACGGCTTGGGGTGGCCTAAGGTTACCCCAGCCGTCCAGGTGAGTGTACTGAGGTAGAGGGCTCCACAGGAGACTTGGTTGGATACCTTCTGATGCCGACACTCTCCTCGTTCAGTCGTTGTTCCTCTAACATTTCTCTGATGCCCCCGCGAGGTGTTGCGAACCCACGGGTGGTGACAACTACCGGACATGTGGACGACAACGACGTGTGTGTGTGTGTGTGTGTGTGGCAACGTATGCACCTTCACTTCAGGCCACTGCCACCAGCACACACTGTGTGCTGGTGGCAGTGGCCTGAAGTGAAGGTGCATACGTTCTCTCCGGCAGGATCATCCCAACATCCGTCGGATACTAGTACGTCGACCCTGTTACTGTCACGGGAGGCTGTGTATATGTAGGCTGCACCTACTACTGCGGCCGCAGTTTGAGCTTCAATGTCATTGTACGCTGCACCCGATCTGATGGTGGATTTCAATGGCACAATTGTAAGCGCGGCAAGCAACCAACACTGTTGGCAATTGCGAGGGAATGTCTCCAGTTCAAGCTCTGCTGTGCCGCACGGTGTGGCGAGAGACTTCGCCTTTACTTAGGAGGTCGCTAAAAGCAGGAGTTGCAACGACATAACATAAGACCGGATGTCACAGTCCGCGGAAGCAAAGGTTCAATGGTGGGTGCACTTCAACTGTCTCATACGTCATACTAGCCTCCATCAGCTTGCCCTGCAGTTGCACACAGAGTCACCATGGTCACGGGAGACGGCTAGCCGCCGGCGCCAGTCCCGCCACACGAGAACATGGCGTCACGCGCATATAAAAGCCAGCTCGGTATCTTGCTACGAAGTCTCTCGCCAGAGTTTCCAGCATACTCTCCTCCCCTGTAGTGTTCCGTGCAATCTTGCAACTGTATCCGGCAACTGTGAGGTGAACCAGCAATTCACTCTCAGAAACGATTACCGGTATTTAGGTAGAGTACTAACGATGCAACAGCATTCCGCTCATGGCACCGATAGCTGATGAGGATGAGGCAAGAAAGTCAACATGCGCCGCATATGCTTGGGCTGCATAATGAGTGGCCACTAGTCTTGCCTTTCCTGGCGTTTGTGGCTCGCTATTCTCTCCACGGAGCTCAGCTCACACACCGGGCCGCCCAGTTTCATTTTCAATCATCGAGCTTCACCTACAACTAAGTCCTTGATCTGATCCGTGAGTCAGAGTGCAGACGAAGTAGACCGGGTACTTGTGACAACGAAGGCCGGATAGGTCTGCGAAACCAGGACTGTTTATGCCACAATAATGTAGTTGTTCAAAACAAACCTGGGCCTGGGGTGCCAGCGGAAGTTCCGAACCGTCCCGGCAGTAGATCTACACCATAATACTATGCGGTCCATGGTACCAAGACTCAACTGTCTCAAGTCCGAGCACGAAGCGGCAAGCCTCCAACTCCAAGGCAATGCGGCAAGGGGTTATGAACTGGTAGACTTCTGACTACGAGGTCGAGGGCCTCTTGATGATGAGTGGGGAGCTCCATGTCGGATCGAGACTGATGTCAGTAGTGACTTTACTCCCTCGCACCCAGACGGTGATTTTTTGGAAACAAGTTTCTATACTTCCGATGGGAGAATCCGACATGGCAGTGCATTTTGGCGTGGCCAGGTCAAATTGTAGAATATCGCATCGAGTGAATTGCTTTATCTGAGAGAGGAGATGTTCGTGCCCTTGAGACCCGAAGTCCCGTTTCCATACGACAAAATTTAGGAGCTCTGCGCTCAGCGCTTTTTCAGGGTATGAATTTCGGGTTGTTCTGGTCGGGTCGCAGCGTCGCGGATTATTCCATCGTCTTCAGCGTCGAAAAACTACTGGCCATGTGAAATTACAAGGCGGTGAGACGCTTTCGTCTTCCTCTACGAGCGAATTTGTTCTGCGCCAGCATACCTAAGTATGCAATTTCGTACGCGCAGTTCGAGTGACGAGGCGGGTGCACTGTACACTGTACTGCATGCACAGACTGTGCGGTCGTTCTCGATTCTCCCATCGCTCCCATTCATTTCTGTTTCCAGCAAAAGTCCAACTAGTTACTTGGCGCACTTCAAATCACTATAACTCAAGAATGGCTGGGCCGATTCGAATAATACTTACAGATTTCCTATGTACTACGCCTGGGAGAATCGAATGAGACCAAAATCGAAGCGATCGGAGCAAGTTTTGGAAATTGGGTGTAGTCACTAATGTCAGAGGAGTCTGTGTCAATATCTGTGATGCGTGCATTGTTTTTGCGTCTGTGCATAAGGATCATGTGATCGAGAATGTGAAATGAAGATGACGACCAACTCGCTGATCAGACGTCATCGTTTCCAAGCTTGAAACGCTTGTGACGTATTTTTTCAAACAAGCTTTTCGCGTTTTGTTGTCATCTTCGTTCTTCTCCCCTCAAAGTTCCGCCTCACTCTCAGCTCACTTCGACTCTTGCTCGGTTGTACCAAGGCCAAGAGCATTTTCAGAACATTCTCCTCTTCGTGTCCTACCTATTTTGTACCTGTGTGTGTGTGTGGCTGTAATTTTTTCTATTCACGGGCAAGCGTTTTTTTGGCGTGAAAACATCGAGATCAGAAAAACAGATCCTAATAGCTTTCCTTCTGGAACTCCAGCTGCTCCCCGTAGATCTATCCTCTGGCCCGTAGGGTAGAATTTGGTTGATTCCAGTGTGTTCCATTCTGTATTCGCGTCTCCAAGTCCAGCAGCCACATAAGGTAAGTGCTATGTCCCAGTCTCAGATTTTGAAAAGCCTGGCGATTTGTGCTACCCACAGTTCATCGCGTGGGATCAATGAGCATTGGAATTGTCAGGGCTGATTTGAGGGCAAGCCAGGCGGTGCATTTCCAGATAATTGTACAATGTCATGTACTGTAGTACACAGTCACGTACTGCAGATAGCATGTTTGCCCATGATGTGATTGAATGGCCGACCAAAGTCAAAGATACACAGGGCTAAGAACACAGTTGTACAACAGTCCAAATCTCTGTGACACCTTGCCAGTCCTAACACATCAGGCAACAGTAGAATCAGAGGTGCACATGCTGAGCATCTAGCCTACATACATAGTACACAGCCAGGCTCAGAACAGCCTGCCTTTGCAGTGTACATGATGCAAGTCAGCTTTCGAAGATCTGAACTACATACTTGCGTGATTGTATTGGAAGTATCAGTCCAGGGGTGTTGGACACGGTACGGTCACTACGGTGTTGACCGTACCACTTGTTACCTCGGGTACCCCGCGAATCAATAAAATCCACTAATCCGGGCTCCAAATTTCCAGATTGTTCGGCTCAGCTACCCCTCCCCCGCGAGTAAATAATTGATTGTACTTCAGATGGCTGACCGTACCACACTAAAATGCCTTCCGATGTCTCTGCAGTCGCTCAAGAACAACATGTTGAACAAGGCCTCGGCCTTCTTTTATGAAAAATAATGGAACCTACCTGGCTCAAGTTTTTTTCTTTTTTTTGTGCCCCCCTCACACCCTACCACATCACCACACACCCACACACACACACGGACACACACTTGTACATGTACTTGCTAACTACCAAAATTGGTCACGCGGGTCTCCCCAGGAGAGGGGAGAGAGACTCACTTATGGGCTCACCACACCTCAGTAAGTGGGTGAGGACAAGGTGCAGAAAGGGATTGACGGCATCTGGGTATCCGTCCCGGGATCCAACTGCAGTTACTCCTGTCCCCCCCCCCCCCCCCCCCACACACACACATTTACACACAAACGTACACACCCGCACACACCCACGTAACAACTTCCTTGTGCGGCAGTGCCGTACCTGTGAATAAGAGTAGATGGGAATACGACCATTATTCCCACACCAGTGTCCGTGACTCTAGTAGCTGGGAGGCTTTCTGAGGTTTCATTCACATGTGAAGTGCAGAGCAGACCTGTTGTCTATTTCCAACCTATCCTAAGTCCATGGCATAGTCTGGTACACATTCGTGGCTGTTCTTCTGGTTGAGGAGACCCTGCTGCTTTCCTGACCCGATATTGCTGCATTATCGCCTGTGACTTGGTGTGTTTGTGCATGTTAGCTTCAATCAGTGCATTTCCTTTCCTTCTTCCCTGTAGACGTGGACAAGACTCCCAACAGGTCGTGTTGTTGCACTCGGCTGGAGATGGCAGGCAACACTTCGTTTCCCGAGCTCCAACGATTACCGTAAGTGGATTGTTTCTGGAGAATGCATTTGAAGACTTCACCGCGGCTGTATTTTGCTTGAATACTATGGTGGTAAAGACATACCTGGCTGAATGGCCGTGATACACTCCTGTCCACGCACACTCTTTAAAAGCTGCAAAATTACAATGGGGCCGAGGCTATGGAATACTATGGATGTGCATGCGCTCAATAAGGGAGTTGTACGAGTGCGAGGAGATGCTCTGCACACCGAGCGAGCTGCACACAGCCGAACAAGCTATTGAGGTGCTTTATCACGCAAGGTCCCGAATCCGGAAAGTCGGCAAGAACTTGATGAAACACTCCGTGAACGCCAGTGGTCACCAATTTAGGGTACTAGTACCTGGCTTGGCAGAGGCCGTATCTGTGGCGACAGATATTTCCACGGACATGGCACATCGGTGCCTGAGAGATACAACTCCAATGGAAAGGGCTACATTGTCTACAAGTTGTTGTCGTTGATTGAGAACAAAGAGGGAGAGAATTTGTTGTGCATACGTATATGTGAGTGAGGGAGACTGACATCATGGCAGTGAAGGCCACGTCATGTGCACGGTCTACAATAGTTGCAATAGTGATACGCCATGCGAGTATACGCGTGCAATTGTTGCACCTGTCCCTGTCTGATTGGCAAAGCTTTTGATTCTCTGCCCTTTTTAGAATTGATGAAATTCAGCGTCTGTTGGACGATGATACTGCGCTGTTGAACTTCTTCTCAACTTTACCCCAGGTAAGTTCCTATGAGTTGCCTGACACTTGCATTTCAAGGTGCATTCCGGTACCATGTATTTTAACTTTTTAAACTAAAATGTTTGAATGGGCGTCTGTGGCCGAAATAGCTACCGTAAAGTCTTGTATAAAAGCCGCACTAGAATAGAAGCCGCCCTCGAATAGAAGCCGCAATTTTGGGCCCATCAAATCACGCATAAGCCTGGTTTTAGTGTTGACAGACATAGAAATACCTGTCTTGTATAGAAGCCTGTCTCATATAGGAGCCTGCAAAATTTCACCAAGAAAGTCATAGAAGCCGCGGCTTTTATACAAGACTTTACAGGGTACATTGTACTGTACGCATGATCTGGTGCAGTGTAGTGAGACGTGCCATACGTACACGCATGTTTGTTCTACGCCTTGCCGGAGTGTCTGTGTGTGTAAGTTTGTCTGCGTGCGTGCATTCATGTATGTATGTGCATACTGTATCCGTATATTGGCCTTCTTCTTGCCTGCACACAGGTGAAGGCCATTCAGGATCGCCGTGAAGCACTGGCCAAGGAAGTCGAGGAGCAAGCACGTATGTACTGTACACATGCTAGTCGTTTACAATGTACTGTAAAAGCCATATAGATAACGAAGTGCTAACTCTAACGAGTTAACGAGGAGAAATCTGTCGCTAAAATAGAAATCGTTATACAGAAATCGATACATATACTGTCCTATTGAACGTTGAAAATGAGTGAGAATCGTTACCTTTGGTACGCGTAAACTAGTCAATTTTGGGAAATCGTTACATATGCGCCGCGTTAGAATAATGGCTGGTTTACAGTAGTCATCGTGCAGTACATGTACATCATGTACTACTGGTAATAAGCCATGGCCCTGTTAGTGTTGCATACCGTGCAGTCGATACACTGGCATGTTTTGCTCTGTGTGTGTGTATGTGTGTGCGTGTGTCTGTGTGTCTGTAAGCTTCGGCATCGTCGGCTAGAGTGGCTAGGTTACCTGGCGCGCATGGATGACACCCGCATGCCGAAGTGCCTTCTGTTTGGCCAGCTCCCACCTGTCAGACCTGCCCATGGACCAAGGAAACGGTGGAAGGACTGCGTGTCGGTCGATCTTCGCCACAACCGAATTGTGAACTGGTACCAGACCGCTAACACATCTCGCATGGAATGGCAATGTAGATACCAAGACCAGGATAAGGAACTGGCCGCAGCAGCCCCCGTTGAGTGCCCCATCTGTGGAAAGGTCTGCTCTAGACCAAGCGATCTTAAGCGCCACAAGTGCACAGCGGAGCGTCGCAAGCCAGTCCAACAGCAGCGTGGTGCATGTCAATGCGCAGATGGTGGGAAATGGTATCGTAGCAGGGGTGGACTTGCTGTGCACAGGTGTCAGCCTACCTCAATCGCTAGCCAGCCCGCTCCCGCTCCTTGTAGACCTCGCCAGAACCGCCCAACAACGGATGAACGTGCCAAGTTTCCACTACTGTGTCAGCACTGCTCTCGGAGATTTCAGCAGTCCTGGGACCTGACCTGGCACCGGCGTGTTTGCTCCTCTCCCTCCTCCCGCAATGGGACCACGTAACCTTTACGGCAGTGGGTCAGCAGGACAGGTGTGTGTGTGTGCATGTGCGTGTGTGTGTGCATGTGCGTGTGTGTGTGTGGTGGTGATGATGATGGTGGGGGTAGATCATCGGACCTCATGAGAGGAGCAGGTCGTGATCATGGTGATACTGAGCCACTAACACTTCAACAATCCATGAACTTGTCTTCTTCAGTATGCTGATTGTAGGCAGGACATCAATTGAGCTTTGTCTGTTTATTGCTATGTGTAGGAAAGAACATGGAGAGGAAGCCGGAATATGAAGAAAAGCGACAACAACTCTCCGATACGGTACGTTCTCAGTGACGCTGTTAGTAGCTATTTGGCTGTGCTTTGTAACGACGTTTGCCTCTGGACTATCTGTTGTTGATGGGTGTACGCCGAAACTGATGCAGCTGTTCGTTAACGTGACGTTTTCACCCGTAATGCACTGTTTGTGATGTTTACTTTCAATTAATTATTAGTTTCTATTACCATACGGTCGTCACAAGTAACTTTTGATCCATTAGCATTGCTCTTGTCTTGCCTTCACTTTGAACCGAGGTAGCCAGCAAGTGGTAGTTGTGTTGTTACGTCCTAAATAGCAGCACATGTACTGATAGTTGGGTCATACGCCGGAACACCAGTGGATGCAGATGGTGTTCATTGCTTGACTTACATGTTTGTGTAACTACATGCATGTCTATTTGCACAGTAGTCGACTTCCACCGTTACCCGATACCCGGGGGTAAAGCCCTCTTATGTTGCCTGACGATCGCTTGGCGTGAAACTCTGAGTTGCAACTGATGATCCTGACTTCTGTGTGTGTGTTTGTGTTTGTGTGTGTGTGTGTGTGTGCGCGCGCGTGTGTGCGCGCGCGTGTGCACGCGTGTGTGTGTGTGTGGGGGGGGGGCACACGCATGCGTGGGGGGGGGGTGTGCGCATGCACGCGTGTGTGTGTTCTCTGTTTGTCCATTTTGTCCCATTTTCCTGCAGTATGATGAGCTCACAACGATGCGTCAGACGTACGACCAGTTAGTTCAGCGTCAGGCCGATCTCTCGGAGGTAAGGCTTGCACATGTGCGCTCGCACACACACATACACACGCACACAAACACACACACGCACGCTTGCACACATGCAGCAATGCTAGATGCGCTCGCACACACACATACACACACACACACACACACACAGACACAAACACACACACACACACACAAACACACACACAAACACACACACACACACAAACACACACACACACACACACACTTGCGCACATGCAGCAATGCTAGATGGCACGCTAGCAGTTGGAGTTGAGAAGAAAATGTTTCCAGATGTTGGATTGCCATGGTGACAGAGTTCTGTAACTGATCAGTGGAGTATTGGCTTTCATTGGCATGTTTAATAGAAAGCTTACGAGCTACTTGTATTACCCTTCAACTTTGTCTACTTATGTTTGTTTTAGAACAACATGATGGATGGTGTTGGTCAACACTGCCTTACCACCCTGTCGTGTTGTCTTTGCAAGGCCGTCACAGCTGGGGCGGCTGACTTTCTTGGCACACTGCAACTAAGCGCGAAGATTGCAGCTCAGCCCAGCCCAAACGTGGCAAATAATGAAGAATCCTTGTCCCCGATCGTGGTTTATTGCAGAATCAAAAAGTCTTTCATTTAGGGTTTTTCCCCAAATCAGCCGGCCGAAAATTCGCCGAAAACGAGACTTATCGAAAATCGCTAAGCCTTTTGGCGATTTTGGGGGTCCCTTTGAGAATCGCCTAAAATCTACCAAATATTGTTGCAAAGTGCGTTTACGAACGAATGATGTTGCTGCAAGCATGACCACTCGAGCTCTCTACTTCAGTACTTGTAGTACTAGTGTGTTGAGGTTGTGTGACTCGTGTCCTTTGACCTCCTCTCAAACAAACATTAGCCATTACCGCATTAGGAAGATCGTTACTAGTAAAATCCCCAAACCGGCCGGCCGAAGAATTCGCCGAAAACGAGACTTATCGAAAATCGCTAAGGTTTTCACCGATTTTGGAGTGCTTCTTTGAGAATCGCCGAAATCCACCAAATCTTCCAATATCTCACCAATTTTGAAGCCAATATGCCACCAATTCTTTTAGCCGATTTTCCAATATATTCCAATTTCGCAGCCGATTTTCAAACAATCAGCTGATTTTGCAGCCGAATCTGATGTATTTTTGAGCTTAGCGAAAAGCCGAATGGGCGAAAAACGGGCCGATTTGGGGAAAGCCTACTTTCATTGCACTAGTTACACTGAAATGGCACCAAATGCCTGAAAATGCTTGCAATGCTTCAATTTTTGAATTTTTTCCAGGGGGAGGAAAATGAAGAATTCTTGTCCCCAATCGTAGCGTCTTCTTGGCTTGTTGCAGAATCAAAAAGTCTTTCATTGTAGTTACACTGAAATGGCACCAAATGCCCGGAAATGCTTGCAATTTGCTTCAATTTTTGAATTTTCTCCCGGGGGACGGCCCCCCTTCCATGGCCACCCCACCTCCAAAGTCGGTGTGACGGGCCTGCTTTGTGTGGCTTTCTGGAATCCTTTTGCTGGCAGAAATACTCACCGCCGATGATCCTCACTCAGCTGCGTATTGATGCCAGTGCTGTAGATGAGGAGGCTGAGGTAAGTCGTGACATGTGCCGTGTGCAGTGTGTCGTGCCATACATACGCTGGTTGACTGCATTTGATGTGGCTACACAGGATGTTAGGTTGTGAGATGCTGCTTGTACAGGATGGGTGATGTATATCATTCTATAGTCTTCATGGATACTCTACATCTGCCATCTGGCTCTGCTGCTGTACTTCTGCGTTCTCTGTAAGATTTGGCATCTGTTGTAGTTCAGTCTTGAAAGAGAGTGTTCTCCGGTTGTTTGAGTGTTGTGTAAGCGGCTGAAGATCGTTGAGCAGAGTGGGATTATTCCTCTTAATTTGAAGGACCTCCATGCACTGTTCGAAAGTGAAGTTCTACTTACAGCTGTGTGTGTGTGTGTGTGTGTGTGTGTGTGTGTGTGTGTGTGTGTGTGTGTGTGTGTGTGTGTGTGTGTGTGTGTGTGTGTGTGTATGCACTCGCGTACACGTGCTGTTGTGTACATGCAGCAAGTGGCAGAATCCTTCCTGTCCGGTAAGTTGATGATACTACTGACTAGACTCGTCATGACAGGCTTGTGCGTGTGTGTGTGTGTGTGTGTGTGTGTGTGTGTGTGTGTGTGTGTGTGTGTGTGTGTGTGTGTGTGTGTGTGTGTGTGTGTGTGTGTCTAGTCCATGCACTTAGAATCGGCACACCCATAGATGTAAACATGTATTGTAAGATGGTTCGCAAGCTCTTTGGTACACTACTGCTGGATGACATGTCACACTTCAAAAATTAATAGTAATACCCTGTAAGCCAAGATGACAACGTACTACAGCCAGGGGCCTCGGACACACTATAGTCACTACGGTTTTGACTGTACCACTCTTTGCCCCTGGTACCCTGTGAATTAATAAAAGGCACTGATTTAGGCTCTAAATTTCGAAAGTTTCCTGGGGACACATCCCAACCCCACAAGTAAATTGTCCTTGAGGTGGGTGACCGTACCACCCTGAAAAGTGAACTACCTTCCGACGCCCCTGACCGCTGTATAAACTGCGCGTTGTTGTGCGGTCATGATGGAGCTTGCTGTGGACGCTTGTCTTGCTCTGACACTGCCATCTCCTTTGTCCCTGCCTTTGCTGGTCCTGCAGGGAGTTTATCAGTGGATGAGTTTGTATCACAGTTTATGGAGAAGAAAAAGGTTAGTCCACCTTAGCCTGTGCGTACACACTGTGTGAAGTGGTATTCTTTAGATTTGCTGTAAATCTTGTCTAAGCCGATCGCTCAAGGGACCTTACAACGTGGTCTGCGTGCACAGGTGGTCTCCTTATCCGGGGTCATCTGACTGGAAATAACATCCCTTGGTCCTGGATGTAATGATCCTCTAGAACAGGTGTTTGTCTTATCGAAGTGGTCATCCTGGCGGGTTTAACTGTGGTTCCGCAGGGAACGAGAGCAAGTTGATTACTTGTTGGCCCCATGCATCCACACCCTGATATAGATGGAGTAACAGCCGCAGCAGTGGCAGGTGCAATAGAAACTGCGATAATGTAGGCAGTGTCCTTTTAGTATCCATCTGCAGGACGCTTGGTCTTTTGTGGATTGACGTGTCTGTGTGTGTGCGTTGGGGGGGGGGGGGGGGTGGATCATGGGCTGCTCCATGGTTGCTGCCCAGGGAAATACCAGTATCCATAAACTGATACTTTTGTACTCGGATGGAAAGCCATGGATTACTTATAGCTATAATCTGATACTATTGTTGTGCTCAGTACCATCGAGGCAGAGTTGTGACACACTTCATGTTGTCAAAATAACAGTTGGACACCCACCTGATGTTATGGAGGATCACAAGGTCCGCCGAGTCCGCTTTCAGCAATCCACAACAGGGCCTCGGAGTGATGGAGAACGCCCCTTCTATTCACTTTCTAACTATATAAATAATGTCCATGTAGACACTCATCCAACACATGCCTTGCGATAGGTGCTGTTCTGCCGATCTTTTCACACAAGCCGCATAGACAAAGAAATAAACGTAAAACTGACTCTAGCACGAATTCAAGAACACCACGGAGTAATGAGCGATTCTTATGGTAGGACAGCACACAGCACTACAGGAGCCAAACATAGATAAAAGGAAACGATTGGAATGAACAACACAATGTAAAACAATTCCGTTGCACAGATTAACGGATACCACTGCATAGAAAACGGCAGATAATTGCCCAAACAATCACCGGGTGGTAACCATCTGAGGCAGATCAATGCACAAAGGAAACTGGCCAACATTTGCTGTAGTATTCAATACGGCAGGAAGCTGCTAGCCAACTGTCTGTCGGCGTCACACCACCTAGACTTAGAACCTACACAGAACCTACATCGATTACTGTGCGATACCAGAATACATACTAATGGCAATTCACCAGAAGCTCCTGAACCAGCAGGGTTCTCCTCAACATCTGATGATTGCCTGAGGTAGCATGAAACTGAAGTTGTGGACTATAATAATTATTGTAATCAGGCAAACCGTTTTTGACTATGTCACAGTGCACAATCATACTTATGGATGAAAGGGAGGCAACAACAAAAACCAAGCAAAGGTGCAACAATGGGTGTGTAGGCGCTACATGAGATGTGCTGGTCAGGTGCGGTGAATTCCTCCGACCAAGGGTCTCGGGACCAGTGTACACAGCATGCCCCATGGGGGGGGGGGGCGAGAGAGAAAGGGGAGAGAGAGAGAGAGAGAGAGAGAGAGAGAGAGAGAGAGAGAGAGAGAGAGAGAGAGAGAGAGAGAGTGAGAGAGAGAGAGAGTGAGAGAGAGAGAGAGAGAGAGAGAGAGAGAGAGAGAGAGAGAGAGAGAGAGAGAGAGAGAGAGAGAGAGAGAGAGGAACTAGTACCGATATGTATTGTGCAAGACCTAGTATACAGAGCTGTACCTACCTTGGTTTTGCTCCTGTGACTTTTGCAGCTGCTTCTAGTATTGCTGCTGGTGTGTCTGCTGCTTTGGCTGCTTCTAATGCTTCCAATGGGTCTGTTGATGTTGGTGCTGCTGTATTTGCTGCTATTCTTTCTCCTCTTCCTCTTCCTGTATCCTCTACAGTTGAGTCACACACGGCATGCAAAAGTTGAAAAGCTCAGTGCAAGAGTCGAGGGGCGCTGGTGAGGATTGCTGGTGGCGTGTCGAGTAGGTCGGTCGCCATTCACAACAACTCTACTGCAACTGGCCTGCACCGCGCAGCAGGTCTCCGCCTATGCATTCATTGTGATGGGGTGTCAGAGAGTATGCGTACATGTACTACCATACATACTATCCTTGAACGTGGTGTATAACCAGTGAAGTTATTGAACTGCTCATGAAATTGTCACTCAATACAAGCTTACCCATCAACCATAATAAGTCGTCCATCATCAGAAGCAGCATGAAACACTCAACACACAGTCATTGCAACTGCAACATATTTTCTGGAAATAAGTGTCAACGTGTTGCTCGTCTGCCGTGTTGCCCTACTCGCTATTATAATTATTTCCGTGCAGTTCTGAGATTTTCTGGCTCTGGTAACATTGTAGTTTAGCAGTTACCTGTCACATGATCACTCCCTGTAGTCACCTGTGTGTTTTGAGTTCATTTGAGACCTTTTTTTTATTTGGAGCATATTTTTTGAAGTACTAACACTGCGTTCCTTCAAAACTCTTGTTTGGAGGGAGGGAGTATTCGGGTGGCAAGTTTAGACGTTGGTTTAACAAAGTGAGTTTGTACTCTTGCTGGTGTACAGTTGCTTTGTACCGGTAGTTGCAGGCCTGAACATGACTTCCAGATCATGCTCCTGGCCATGGCCATGGGAACATTTTACTATACACCGTGTACTGCCGCGGCCGCGCTGTGTACTGTCGTGCCGGTGTAGCCAGGTGTTGTGTCAACGTGACCTCTGTTACGTCTGTAGCCATCACAACCTACAGTAGTAGTAAATTCTAATAATACCAAGAGTACATAACATTGGGGGTTATGTACTCTTGATAATACTTAATAATGGTACTCCGTGCCTTTGACCATGGTGACTGTGCCTACACTTTTTTGTAGCTGCAACGCTGACGCCGAGACCTCCAGTCGGTTGAGTTGTTCCCTGCACCTCGGCACGTCGTCCATATCCCGTAGATCTACGTTTCGTCCTTTTCCTTGTCAAGGTCTTTTTGTTCTTCACATGTTTTCCAGTAGGGCTGTAGTAAAAATAACAATAATTATAAGCAAGAGTAGATAAACAAATCTACTCTTGATATAAGACATGTTTGTATCAGGGAGTAGTAAAATACATTATTAGTATTTTTACTACTCCCCAGCCCTGGTTTGTATGCAACACAACCTACCTTTGGCCTTTTGACCTTTAGACACCCATCGATGATAGCGCGCGATCAGGGTCAGGGGGAGACTCCATGACATGTCGACAGCGATGCTGCAGCAGAAGTCATAGCATGCATATGTATGCCCTAGCCTATCGTGTATGTCATACTCATAGCCTACAAGTAGGCTCACATAAAATACTACATACTCATGATGGTAGACCTACTACAGTAGTAGTAGTAGTAGTGGTAGCTAGCATAGCCTAGGCGCTAGGCTAGGGCTGTATGGGGTCATGTTTCCTATCTGGGCGGTTTCTTGTGCACGGGACAGGCCATCGCAAGCAAGGTTGTACAATGTCATGTATGTCAAGACTGGTAGAACGAAAGTGTTGTTAGTTTGACAGCATGAAACAAGGTGGAGGACACTGTGTTCGGAAACAGTGACCTTCAAGTACTGTACTACAAGTAGTAGTAGTAGTAGTAGTATTCTTTTATTTTCCATCGGAAGCCTCAACAGTGATGAACACAACTCTTAAGAGGGCCGATAACAGGGTAGAGGGGTGTGGGGTGAGAAAAAAAAAAAAAATAATAATAATAATAATAATAATAAGAGATATTTAAACTAAACTAAACTGATACTTGGAACAATAAAGCAGCAGTAAGCAGTAAGCAGTAAACACAGGTATACAATACAAGCGATGCAGATCAATGAGGCCGTTTGCTGAAAAGAAGATCTAAATACTTCTGAAAAGACGCTGCGTCTTTAAGCATGGTCATAATGGGATAATGCAAGAATTAAAGAGATGTTTTTACAAACGAATTGAAACTAGGAACGCAGTAAACACAGTTATAATATACAGGCGGTGCAGATCAATGAGGGAGTTTGCTGAAAAGAAGATCAAAATACTTCTGAAAAGACGCTGCGTCTTTTAGCATGGTCTGAAGGTGCTTAGCAAATGTAGTGCGGTGCTGGGTGCGCCACTCCACAGGCAAAGAATTAAAGAACAGGGCAGCCCGATTTGAAAAGGAATTGACACCGTCAGTCGTCCGGAATTTAGATATTGCAATAGCAGCATTAAAAGAGCTTCTTGTTGTCCTAGGGCCGGTTGAAACTTGAGGGAAAAGGTCCGTCAGATTTGGGAGAGGGAAAACGACATGATTAACATGGATAAATTTAGCAATGCTACGAATAAGGTAATGTTCAAACGGATCAATCGACAATCTAGCTAACAGCGGCATGACGTCATCTTGTAGTTTCGAGCCACAAGCAGCGCGTACAGAACGACGATAAACGGACGAGAGTCGCTGTCGGTCCTTGGCGGATAGCTTCATTGCAAAGCAAGAGCAGCAGTATAATAAGTCAGGCAGGATAACCGAGAGGATAAACTGCCGTGTTGCCTTCAAACTTAGTTGCCGAAAACACCGTCGAAGAGCGCCAATTTTCGTGCAAGTCTTCCTAACGATAAAGTCTATGTGACCAGACCAAGAAACATCACTGTCTACAATGACTCCCAGAATTCTCGTGCTAGACACTTGAGTCAGAGGCTGTTGGTTAAAAACGATTGGAGTTGAGAGGGGTTGAGAAGACTTAGAAATCATCAAAGTTACAGTCTTTGTTGTATTAATGCGCAGCCCAAGCTCGTCTAGATCCACAGAAATTGCAGATAACGAATCAGCGGTAGCGACGGCCTCAGCTTGTGTACGTCTGCTGGCATACAACGTCATGTCGTCAGCGAACATCGGGAGCTTGCAAGAAAAGGCCTCTGCTGTCAATGTTAAATAGCACCGGACCCAGAATGGTGCCCTGTGGCACGCCACTAGTGATTGCCACCAACGGAGATGTTCCAGTGTGGGTAACCAACCGCTGTTGTCTGGCACAAAGGTATGATCGGAACCAGGCCAGGGCCACTCCCGAAATACCGACAGCTGCGAGAGCAAGAAGAAGCTGCTGATGCTTCACCATATCGAACGCTTTTTTCAAATCAATACAGACAACTGCCGTATGCAGTCCAGCGTCGCGCGAGACAAGCCAGTCGTTTGTAACCTTGGTGAGAAGCTGTCCGGTAGAACGGTGCTTCCGAAAGCCAAACTGGTCCACATGGAATGGGCAACGATCATTAAAAAAAAGATGTATACGAGAAAACACAAGCCCCTCCAGGAGCTTGGCTAGGATAGATGTTAAAGACACTGGGCGGTAGTTAGAAGGGCAGTCGCGGGGGCCTTGAGTTGACTTCAGAATTGGTGTAATGTTTGCAATTTTGAACAAGGATGGGAATTGACCAGACGAGAGGGAAGTGTTGAATAAGATAGCAAGTGATAGAGCAATTACGTCTTTTGATATTTTAAGTAGACACGGAAGAATGCCGTCCGGTCCAGGGGCTTTATTACTTTGGAGGTCACCGATCCGAAGCTTCACCTCTGCTACTGTAACGGCTGAAAACGTAGTAAGGTCGTCGGATTTCCCATTGGGAGCTTGTAATTCGCTTCCTTATCTGTGACAATCGAGTGAAAATAGTCGTTCAATCGCTCAGGTGGGATGGTAACCGTTTGCTTCGGAGAGGAACGCTTTGTGATCATATTCAAGGCTTTCCAGAACTGCCGAGGCTCCCGTTCATACCGCTGGCACTGGTCTGAAAAGTATAGATTCTGTAGGTGTCGATACAAGTTATTGCACTGGTTGCGCAGCCGCTTGAATTGTACAGATAGGCTCTCGTCTCGAAAGTTAGTAGCTTTTAGTTTCTTGAAGACCGATTTGCGCTTTCTAATCAAGGCAAGGAGGGGCGAGGTCATGAACGGGCAATTTTTCCGACGGGACTTAGTACAACCATCCACGGTTGGTACCAACCGTGGATCATGATGGTTGTAGTAAGGTCACTGTTTCGGAACACAGTGTCCTCCACCTTGTTTCATGCTGTCAAACTAACAACATGTGTGAACTATAAGAAGGTTTATATACTAGTATTGTACTAGTACCGTAAAGTCCGGAGCAAACGCCCACCCCATTTTTGCAAGATCTGCTGGCCTGTACACACTGACCCCATGCACTGTCACCCCTACTGTACGAAAGTGCATCTCACACCGTAGCGGGAAGAGCACTTTGCTACGGTAAACTATGTCCACTTTCCTGGTTTCAAAATCTCTTTGTGCACTAGCGCTATAGCCACGAGCTAGCTAGCTCGTAGTGATTTTATAATGATGGTTGTTTTATTTCGCAAATCCGAACGGGTTTTCTTCCGAATAACTATAGACCATTTAATGATCGATGCTAAGAGGGCTTTCTACATCTGTTCCATTCAGTCCATACTTGAGTATGGGTCTAATTCCTTTGCTCACTGCCTTTCTGCCTCCCTCCATGACCGTGTTGTCCGACTTAGTAATAGAGCGCTGCGTATTGTATTTTGCATGCCCCGCCTATCTGATGTCTCCCTTGTTTTTGCCCGCTACCATATCATTCCCTTGTCTGTCAGGTACCAATTCAAGCTGTACGTTCTAACGTACCGTGCGCTTCATGATCTGGCTAGTGTCTTTGTTGCTAACTGTTTCTGTCTCCGCTCTAATTCTACCTGCACTAGTTCTCGCACCCGCTCTCAAATGTCCTCTTCCCTTGCTCTTCCGACAGCCAAACGGCGCTATGGTTTATTTTCTGTCACTTTCCTTGGCTCTGACCGCTGGAATGCCCTCCCAGCGGAGGTCCGCTCAAGTTCTTCCTTGCATACCTTCCGTAATTCTGTTCTTCATTTTTTAGGGTACCCTGTCAAAAGGCCTTAGGCCTGTGGGGATTGCCCTATCAAAAATTTAATAATAATAATAATAATAATAATAACAAGGTACCGAAGAACAGAGTATTGAAGGAACCAAATACACTTCTGACGGTGTTTCAAGCCATCATTTCGAGATAACACAGCGCCCAAAGGCAAATGTTTTTCTTGGGCACTTCGGAGTTTTCAACAAGTTAGCAGCGACGTTGTAGGTGTAGCTTCTGTTACATACCCTGTTCGACTTGCAACTGCAATATTGGGACCAGTCAAGCCGTTGACTGACGCTTCATCAGAACAATTATTGTTCCTGACAGCGCAACATCGTGGCACTGCACAAATTTATGCGGCATAACTCGTACCACATGGAGAACGAACTAGCACATTTATTGAATGAAAGGAAATCTCGACAGAAGTTATTTCTTTGCAGGAAGATAATGACAATCGCTTTTGCACAGCCTCCTGGTAGGACATAGGCAGTTTGTAGGCATTACAGTCGTTCTCGTACGCATTCGACCTTTATGCCTGTTGTTTACAACTATATTGACCTAAAAAAGACGAAAATAGTATGGACCCGCTGGGGTGGGCGTTTGCTGCGAAGTGGGCGTTTGCTCCGGACTTTACGGTATAGGCCTTATATGCACATTGTACAGATGCACGAAATCCCGTATAATCTTGTAGAATCCCGTAGACCCGGTTGGGTGTTGAATGTGCAGGACCCTATTGTGTTTACTGCTATTTTCACTATGAAATGGGCCCTGAAGGCATTTCATATGAAAACTTTTTTCTGGCAGAGATCTAGCTAGTCGTTAGTTCAATCCCAAAGTGAAGAAGCTGGAAAAGCGATTGTTTGCCATGAATTATGAGGCTAAATGGGTCAAACGCGCATGTATAGCACACAATGAACACCCAACCGGGCATGTACACACCTACGGCCCTAGTCCAGAACTTCGTACATCTGAACAACGTGCATAAGGCCTATTGGGTTTAATATATAAAACGAAAGTGTTGTATAATATTATTTTGTTGCGTTTGAACCATAACTTCAGAGTATCTCCAAAACCCAATATAAAGGTACACAAGTATACTGCGTTCTAGGTCTGTACATTGAAACGCAATTGCCAAAGATTATCCTGACAGCTCGAAAAGTAACTGCTTGGTCAGCTTCTATGCAAGGGGGATAATACCTACTGGCAACCTACAATGTAGTTCTAAAATAATTAGTGAATGGTAGGCCGGGCCTAATTGCTCATCTGCGCCCTTTTGATTAGCCCTTAAGGCCTCAGGCCTACGGCCCTAGGGATAACCTGTTGGGCACTAACGAGCCATACGCCCCCACCTCCCATGCACTTAAACCTATAACTGGTACATGGTGTGGCCCATCATGGGCTGCTCCGTGGTTGCTGCTAAGGGAAATACATGTGCCAGTATCCATAAACTGATACTGTTGTAGTCGGATGGAAAGCCAAGGATTATTTATAGCAAAAAAAAGGATCAAGGAACTACAAGTTCATTGATATTCCACTGATGAATGTGACATGAAAATCGATTTTGGAAAACCTTCATGACTTTTTTCGATGTGCAGTGATGACCGCTGAATTCATCCTTTTAATCACATAGAAAACCGCAGATATTTGCCCACACAATCACTGGGTGGTCACCATCTGAGGCAGGTCAATCCACAAAGGTAACTGGCACTGCCGTAGTATTCAATACATCAGGAAACTGCTAGCGCATATAGCCGGCTCTCAATCGACGTCACTTAGAACCTACATAAAATACTGTGCGATATCAGAAAACATACTAATGACACACCTGCCAAGTATCCCGCATTTTTGGACTACCTCCCGAAATTCTGCAATTCTTCTCAAATATCTCGGAAAGTTGAAAGAATAATGAGAACTGCAGTTTAACGACTTCCTGGCATACTGCACACAGTCGAGCATGGATCTTGGCCACAACACTGTGTACTGAAAAGTAATGGTTACGCACAGTTTGTCCTGGAGGCGATATTGAAGTTTTTGTCTCTGAAAGGCTTATGGTACATGTACATGTGATTGTATAACATGTGTAAAATGGGTCTTTTACATCATTATCTGATCAACGGCGTCACCATAAAAAGTTGAAAATGAATGAATTACGGAAAAAAATGTCATCCCGAAAAAATGAGGCAAAAAAAGGACCGAGATTTTGGATTGACGATCCCGGAAAAGCACTGTTTGTACTTAACAGGTATGTAATGGAAATGCACCAGAAGCTGCGGAACCAGCAGTGTTCTCCTGAACACCTGATGATTACCTGAGGTAGCATGAAACTTGAAGTTGTGGACTATAATATAATCGGGCAAATCATTGTTTTGACTATTTCTATCACAGTGCACATATGGAAGATAGGGAAACAAAACAAAGCAAAGATGCAACAACGGGTGTGTAGGCGCTACATAAGGTGTGCTCTTGAGGTGCGGTGAACTCCTCCGACCAAGGGTCTCGGGTTCGGTGTACACAGTAGGCACCATGGGGAGAGAGGGCGAGAGGAAAGAGAGAGAGAGAGAGAGAGAGAGAGAGAGAGAGAGAGAGAGAGAGAGAGAGAGAGAGAGAGAGAGAGAGAGAGAGATAGAGAGAGAGAGAGAGAGGAGGCTGCCAGTGTGTATTGTGCAAGACCAAGTACACAGAGCTATACCTACTTTGTTGGCATGTAACTAAAATACTCATATTGGGTATGCACCATGCTGCTAGCGTGCGAATCGTTTTTATTCTAATCCAAATTAGCAACAGCAACCATCAAAAAGAAGGCACCCTGCTGCTGCTACTACTACTGCTGCGTCTTCTTTGCTTTTGCTCTTGCTTTTGCTTGTGCTGCTGCTTTCTCTTTTTGTAATCTCTCTGCAGTTAAGTCACACACGACATGCAAAAGTTGAAAAGCTCAGTGCAAAAGTCGAGGGGCGCTGGTGAGAATTGCTGGTGGTATGCCGAGGAGATCGGACGGCATTTACAACAATTCTACTGCAACTGGCCTACATCGCACAGCAGGTCTCTGCCAATGCATTCATTGTGATGGGGTGTCAGAGAGTATGCGTACATGTACTACCAAGAGTGTGCAACTCTGCATATGGGGTCTCCGACGGCGAAAACTCACATCACGTGTCTCAGGCAAGTTCGTACTACGTACAAACGGAGGATAGCGTGCGCGCAATCCGATTATCTGCCATGATCATGCTGGGGATTTGCATGCCCGCAGTGAGTTTCTGTCAGAGTGTTTTTTTACTACTCCGCTGCTCGCTAAAACGGGCTGGAAACGTACAACTGCGACACTGCACCACAAGGTGTGAGTTTCGCCGTCGGCGTACCCCATAGAAAGGGTATCAGGAGTTGCACACTCTTGGGGGTTATATGCTCTTGGTACTACCAAGAGTACATAACCAAGAGTGTGCAACTCAACGATCCCCCAGCCCACGGCGGATTTTTTTATGACATGCTTTCTCTCGCCGATACCATCATGTGTCATAGTAGTAGGGGAAAGTTCAAGAGTCCATTGGGGCTGTAGCGGTTGTACATCGCGTATGGATATCGTAAACCAAGAGTTCTTGGAGTTCACAGCGTGGTACATGCAGTCCGTGGACTTTTGTCCTGAACGTTCTCGTCCACATATTTGCATATCTTTGGATTGTTGCTCACTCAGCTCGACCATCAAGTTTTCCAGGCTTTCGATGCGATCATGGAGCTGACGAGGTATCTCACGAATGCTGGTTAGTCGCTTTGTCTTGCTCGCTGGAGACAAGACTTTTATTGGTATATTCGAATCTACGCTTACTCGTACCTTTGTATCTGCTTCAGATCGCTCTTCAGCACGGCTCTTGAGGACAAGCAGCTGCCGCCTCAAACGCTTGCAGCTGGTACACGCAACAATAGGCAAGGCCGTTTCTCCTATAGCGCTACGCTTAACTCTGTGCATGATCGTGCAACCATTAGAGTCCACTCGCTGAAAGGGGAAACTCCAGCGTCTCAACTGCTTGGAGTCAAATCTCACAGACGAGAAAATGGTCTTCTGGTCCTCAATCCCAGGGCAGAATTTCAGGCCTGACTCCGGCAACATGTCCTCGACGTGCGTGTCCAACAGCTGCAAATTTCTGAAGCAGTTGCCATTGTGCGCTGTTCCACCGAATAGACACTCGAAGGAGTAGTCACCGTCAGGTTTTACAACTAGTCTGCTGATTCGCACCGGGGTTCCGTTCGATGTCAGAACTACACTGGTTGGCGAAACGATCTCCGTGAATTCAGCTCCCGATATAACTGATAAACTTCTGCACTCTAGGGAAGAAAATCGCTGTCCGCGACTGACAAGGTATCGTCTCAAAAGGTCTGTTGATATTTGAGCACTTTCAATAAACTCAGAACCAACACCTTCCATATTTGCTAACCTAACCTAACCTAACCATAAAAAACAAAAAGAGAACAACGCCAGGAAAACTAATAATGGGGGCACAGCAATGATAATACAAGGAAGCCTATACTATAGTCAGTATATTCTTGTTTTCTGCAAAGACGTTTCTATCAAAATACTGTACTACTAGTACTACTACTAGTACTACGTGTAGTAGTTCTCCTACACTACAGTCAGTGCTGGCAACTGAAATCCGACCCCCCTTGCGGGGCGCTAGCCGCGTTAGCGATTCGTACGAGACGCTAGGGGGGTCGAATTTCAGTTGCCAGCACCAGGGAGTAGTACAATACCATGTATTGTACTACTCCCTGGCCAGCACTGTACATTAGTACAGGTCTGCTCTCGATATAACAACTCTCACTTGTACATAAACCTCGCTAGTAAGTAAAAATCAAATCCCACACAAGATCACACAAGATCCTACATAACGTAAACCTCGACATAACACATGTGCACGCTACGCGCGGTCCCCGACGTGCACACTCGACTCTCGATACAACGTAAATTCACCTGCACGGTACGATCAAGCAGTAGCTGTAGCCAGTAGCTAGCTACAGTTTGTAGGCAGTTTAGGCCAGTGTAGTCCTACATAACGTAAACCTCGGCATACGCACCCTATGCCTGGCGCGCTCCCCGACGTGCGCAATCTCGATACAACGTAGAATCAAGTGCGCGGTACGATCAAGCTGTAGCCGTAGCTAGCCAGTTTAGTCCGTGCATATTCTGCGGCATTGATGGTACATGTATCTGATGTCGATGGTGGTACAGTGCGTATATATTTGCACGTTATCCGGGATATCCCTGCCTGAGGTACATCTTGTATTTTTCTACATAACATAACTCTCGATATAACATAATTTTTGCGTGGTCCCAGCCGAAAAGCAGCCAAAATGTCGGAGATCATTACTTTCCTATGCAGAAGTCCTGTACTTTCACTTTTCAGCGCAACTGAACTGAAGGCACAAATCACTGTACATGATTTGCTAGCGCTTGGCTGTGGAAGTGCAAAGTAACATGCCTGGATCAGGCTGGATGGCATGTACACAGACAGTCTGTACAGTACAGAGTCAGTGTGCATGGTGTGGTCCCACACTCATCATTACAAAATTCATGACAACTCTGGGGTTACCATGGCAACGAAGCGAATTTTCATGGTGTTTTAGGCGATATTTTGATTTCACTGTAAAAAAATTGCCGAGGAGAAAAATTCGCACATGTGGCCAGCCTTGGTGGGGGAAGGGTGTCCGATTTTGGGCGAAAATTATTTGGCAGCACTGGAGTCAGTACCACGACTCCACGACTCGCACGAGGCACGATCGTAGATCTACGACTTCACCGTACCACCGTACCGGTGCACCGTCATGTCATCACCATGATCACTGCGTCTCGAGCTCGTGTTGGTGTTGCTTGTGGCTCAATGTAGCTGAACCATCGGACCTTATTTGTCAGCTTGGATCACGTGATCCATCCAGCTGCCGCGTGCGGCAAACAGCCCAAATAGCGCTAACTCTGGCCTGCGAGCGTTTGCTGCGACTAGCGCGCTAGCGCTCGTGACATACACAAACGCGCTAGCCAGAATGCTTTGACTTTGATGGCTTTCAGCTTCTATTTTTTGAAAAGTAGCGCGCTCAGACCAGCTCGCTCACTCTTTTCCTCTTCCATTTTTTAGGGCAATTGTTTTGTTTGATAGACGAAGCTTAGGGTCTCTTTGGGTTTGCAACCCTTACCCTCCTGGAAAAAATCATAGTTGCTAGACTGCGACACTTCAGACCAGGTACTATTAGAGCCGCTAATGGACGACGAGCTATTTTCCGCTATCCGGAGCTCAAGCATTTGAGCCGCTAAATGGACGAGACTCCTGCGGCAAAGGATGCAGAGAATGAGGAGAAAACACTCGTATGGAGCAGGGAGTAGGTATTGTACTACTTCCTGGTATGGAGCACTGAGAAGCGGTAAGTCTTTGGGCAATTCTTAGCCACTGCCCAGTAATTACTTTCTCGCCATAATTATGTTCTCGTTTTTCGTGTCTTCTGTAATGCCAGTACACTAGCAGTACGACTACACTGTAGGCGAGAGTCCATAAGCCAGAGTGTGCAGCTCTCCATCTATGCAGCATAAACAAATTCATGACAAATTTCCTTTGCCTAAGGGCTGGGTTCCACTGCCGCTCCGCCGCACATCATCCACGGCATGAAACGTCATCATTACGAGCTGGTCCAGCGAGGCCGCGGCTCATCACCAGCTTTCGCTTCGCTGCTTGATACAAAAAAATGCAAGCCGCGGTCACGGCTTGCATTGTTTCCCGCACTTAATTGTTTTATTCGGGGGAATTTTAATTCGTTGCACAGGCCAGAACACGAGGATTTTTTTGGATTTCACGCGTGCGCAGGCAGGCTAAATGTCATCAAAAAACGTCGAGCACGATCGCGGTATCGTGAATGGCGAGTGTCACTGGAACCACGCCGCTCTGCTGCATGCAGCCAAGTACCGTGGAGCAGCGGAGCTGCGGAGCCGCAGTGGAACCCGGCCCTAACCAAACTTATAGCAATTTGAAAATGTTTGACAATTTTTCATAAAAAAACTTGACAACATTGTTCTTCTGTAGAGTGCCGCTGGCAACTCCATCGATGAACTCCATCAATGAGCGCAGGGATAAAGTTTAGAAACCCTTCGAGCGAGAATGTGTTTTCAAAAAGGAAGCACAAATATAGTATGGCCCCATCAAAGCCACTCGCTGACTACTTACCAGTAAAATGGGGTTGGACGGTTGTCAGATTAGCTGACATGTTTTCTGCCAACACAACCATAAGCAGTTGTCAACTCTCAAGACTAAAAGAGCTTGCGAAGAAAGTGAGAAACCTTGGCTATGAAAGCACATGAAGCGTCAGAACATAATCGAGCAAACTTGGACCTAGATTACCAGTGTCTGCTCCAGGGCCAGGTCAGTGGCCCTGTTTGTGAGTACTTGGACCTTTTGGACAAAGAACACTGGGTTACCTGCGACCCGGTCGGAAGTCCTGTCGAGTACTATACTTTTTTATACTTGGAGGGTATACCGCCACTGACAGGCTGCATACGCGTGCAGATGCGTGCGGCCAGAGTGCCCAGTGCGAGTACGTTCATACATGTACATGTACAATCATGTACATCAGGAAGTCGAAAGTAAGTTTACGACTCCCTGACACACAGTAGCCGCACTTGAACGCATCTGGCTCTGGCCCAGTGTTGCAGGAGTTGTGCCAGGTAGACGTGTACCCGGTTTGTGTTAAATCTTAGAGCAGGTACTGCATACCCTATCATATCTGTGTACATGGGTATACAGAGTCAGTGTTGTTGCGTCCCACTCAGCACCCTTCTGGTTCATTTCGGCACCAGCACTCTTTGCATATGCAGAGCTGAGTAGAGTGCAAGTTCGGACCACAAGTACACTGTAGCAGCTAGTTGCGAACCTAACCTGTGCCGTGATGCACGGTACTTGTGTGCATCTACTTCATCCCTGAGTAACCCACCAGGTATATGGTGCACAATAGGGCACAGTAAATAATCAGCATGCATCGCAGTTTTCTGCAACATATTCCTGAAGTCACTTTACACCTCAGAAGAATTGCGTCGCTGACTGGAATTCGATACCGGCTTAGTTTCTCTCTGGGTCATTATGAATCATAGAAAACCCGTCATGCAATAGGTTCAAGCTAAAGTACCGTATCACCATGGTAATTCCTGGAAATTCGGTGTGTTTTCTGCCTTTTGTTAAACAAGCAGCAATGTGCCACAGAAATTACCATGGTGATACAGTAGATTACCGTGTGAAGCGGTGTGAGATGCAGCAAAGGTGAGCCTGTTACTGTGAGTCTATGCCCTAAACAATAAACTTTGCCGTGGGATGATTATCCTTGGGCTGCACACTCTGCACACTTATTGCTAGGTATATCATTGGTCTTGTTCGGATCGTCCATTACGTTTGCAGCTGTTCAAACTTGTTTTGTTGTGTATTACTTTATTGATTTATTTATTCTACTTGCCTTTCCTATCTTCTTGTGTTTTAGCATTAGGCGATTTGATCGCAGGACAAGAGAGGAGCTGATGGACGATCTCTCCAGTGTCCCTCTTGGTTCGGAGCAGCGCCGAGTGCTGACGTTGGGACTTGGGTAAGGATGAGTGTTCCCTCATGTTTACAAGTTATCCGTTTTGTCCAACACTAACGGTTATATGCAGAATACTGCCGAGTCAAAAATGTGCAACAATTAGCACAAAAACTGACTGATGAGATCCTGACATTCAACGACCTGATGCTTAGCTGCATCACGTTTATATCCGTGAGTGTTGGACAAAACGGATAACTCGTAAACTGAGTGTCCTCTTTTTCAATTTTAATCCTTGGCTCTCCATCCGAGTTCCCTCGTATGTGTAGCTATTATTATTTTTTTGGTGACAGTCAATTTTTTCTTCAGACTTTTCCCGTTTGTGTCTTTCCCTAAAACTAGTCAATATTTTTATTTACTTATTTTTTTGCCCAGGCTCTACATTCTACCTTTATTTTACTTAGACTAGGGTTAGCTGTCCGTTTACCAGTACTCATCCACACATATCTGCACATAGGGTCTACACAGAACTCTATCAGTAGATATTTTGTATAGGAGGTTGTCTATCCACCGAGATAGCACTATATACTCGCATTCTGTGTGTTCTCTGGTAGCTATGTCCCTTGGAGACTATACGGTGTCAGTGTGGTGACCGAGGTCAGGCCGTGTCTGCACTGGCATCGTCAACTTTGCCTACTGCTACGTGCTCCCCAGTGCTCCATCTGTGTCCTGTAATTTGTTTGGGGAGGGGGGGGGCAATACCGGTACTTCAGGTGCAGGGGACAAGGGGGAGATGGGGTGGGGGGACATCATGCCCCCAATGAACCTCTCCAGGCGTTGTTCTGGAGTAGACTAACCATAGGCGGAGTGTACACATGCAGCACATAGTTTGGGAGCTAGAACGCGATCGGACTCAGGCATATGCAAAGGCAGTCTATTGTGATAGTAGTCCTGGACTGATCTCACTATGATGATATAGGTCGTGCCCAGCATCACAATGCCAAACATTATAAATGACTGTTTTTTTTGCCTGAGGGGCTAGATGAGCATGCGGCTAGACTGCCGATGGCAACCAACAGGCTCAAGGCTGTGTTGAGACTTCGTGTGAGCGACCCGAGTCAATTGTTTACTCGCCATGACTAGGCATCGCATTGAGCATCGTATGCCCACTAATATTATGTCACTGTTCTTAGTCGCGCCGGGGGCGCATGCCCGTTTTCAGGAGACTTCTCAAAACACATAAGCCCTGGGTCCTGAAGGTTAGGCCTATTGTTAATCTAAATAGTCCTGGCTACTATCCCGCTGAGTTCACTGACTTTCTACTGAACCCGTATGTATGTGAGGAAAGTACTGTTCTGACCTCAATTGCGGATTTCATCAACTTGGTAGAAGGTTTGCCTGTGCGGGACGATGATTTATAATTGAGTATAGATGTGACCAGCCTTTACTACACCAACATCCCCAACGAGCTCGGTTGTCGTGGTATATCACACACAGGTGTACAAGGTGGATGCCCCTCGCCCTTCGTACATGGTTAATAACAGCAGTGACTTCCTTGATGTCAGTCATTCGGAAGAAAAATGAGTTCGTGTATGGTAACGATGTGTTTCGGCAGATCCAAGGGACTGCCATGGGTTCGCCTGCAGCAGTGGTCTATGCCGACATTGTTATGCTGTATTTGGAGAAGCGGTACGTTTTGCCGATCTTAGAGGGGGAAAGTTTAGAGGTTCAGGTTTATAGACGCTTTATCATTGCATGGTTGCGAAGGTCAAGTTCAGCGCACTTTAGATTGGATTAATAAGTGTTCGGCCCTCAAGTTTTCTCATGAACTGGCACATGATGGCATTGATTTCCTGGACACCACAGTTTTCCGTAGTAAGGGATACATGGCGGTGAAGCCTCATTTCAAGTTCACCAATCGTTTCCTGTATCTGCTTGTCGGTAGTAACCACCCCTGTAGTATGGGCAAAGGTGTGTTCACTGGGGAGTTGATCCGTATCCGTCGGTCTTCGACCCTTGACCACCACTACGAAGCTGCTGCCGAGCGGCCGAAGCAGGCTTTCCGGGCCCGTGTATACAAGCGCTCCATCTTTCATCTTTCAGACCCGTACACTAGGAATGGATGCGCAGGGAAGGTATGTTGGTCAAATTGGCATGGGTTTGGGTTATTTCTGTAGTTGTATACAGTGCTCCTCATTGTATTTACCTGGGCCCGGCCTGCTGTCCTTCGCCCGTTGGTCTTGAGGTCCAGGTGTAATACCCCTACCATACAGTCCGGTGGCCAGCGCGGTTGTTGTTACACGGTGGAACATCGGCAAGAGGTTGCTTGCTCGTTTGCCTCATGCTCAGTGTCCTCAGGGAGTTAGTATTTTCCTCCTGTTTGGATTTTGCAGTGTCTATGGTGTCGGTAATTGAGTTTTTGTTCTGTATGCTTTTCTGTGGTGTGTGGCCGTTGTTCACACATCTTTATTTGACTTGCTTCCTGGTGTGGTGTACCCTTTTGTTTTATATTGGTGTTGGTCTGGCTGTAGAGTTCTAGCATCCGTAGCTGCCTCAGGGGGTGCCACTTCTCCCATCAGCGTCGACTAGTCCGCCGGTACGTGGTGCTATATTACGTTTAGTTGTCTGTTCCATCCTGTACGGGCTGTGTCCTGCTGACCACACAGTCTGGGTCTCCATACTTTGCATGTTCTCATCGTGTGTAGTGTTCACACGTACATATATGGACTGTCACACCCATATGTTGTACATGTGGCTGCACGTGTTGTCTCTTTGTCGTACCTGCTGCTGTATTTGTGTCTCTGTGCTGCTGACCCGTACATGCTGCTGCGCTGCTTTGTTGTATTGCTGCCACGTGCACCTTTTTGTGCTGATATGATATCGAGTACGCCACTTTTTGTGCTGATGAGGGCACCACTTTCCGATATCATGTTTCCTTTCGCCATGTCAGTTGTCAGTTCTCCCGTCGTCTCCTGAAGTGTAGTAATGAATAGCTCTCTCTCTAGCTCTAGAGAAAAACCACTTGACTAGTCCGTTTGATGTGTGGCGTGGCGAGGGTATAGTAGAGGCAGCTCGTTCTCCAACCGAGACGACATTTGGCGCCCAACGTGGGGCTCAAACCCACGACCCTGAGATTAAGAGTCTCATGCTCTACCGACACATATATGCACGCGGCACCGTTTGTGCTCCTATCCATTTACATATGCTGCTTTCCACACCTGTGCTGACAGTCGGTACGCACCGACTCTGTACGCATGCACGCACACCATTACATTCTGTTGGCATCATATTAGTGAGGTTTTGCATTCCGAAATTCGGCAAAAGATTCGGCACGCGGGAGCGAGGTCGAAAATGCACAAGCGGGCCATGCTGGGGCTCTGCTTCGACTGAAAGTAGTCGGCGGCGGCGGTTATGAGGCCGTCGAGATCGTTGCCAGTGTTGGCTAACGTAGGGACGAGCTGCTGGATGTACTTGCCGGCCACATACTGGAAAGTGTCTCTTTGGCGAGTGTCATCCGAGATGCCGGCTGCTGCGACATAGATTTGGAAACACCGTTCCCAGGCAGGAAAATGGGCAGCAGCGTCGTAGAGACTGCTGTAGATCGGGAATGGCTCCGGAGGTGGTAGTGACAGTAGGGACATGGCGAGGATCAGGCGTTTGCTCGCAGCGCCAATGTAATGTTGTTCTCTTGCTGTATTCCAAACAACAACTAACTCGGAGCTCCGGAAAGCTCCGCAATAGTGAGGTTTTGCATTCCGAATTTCGGCTCGGCGTTCTTTGGTCATTTGTCGAACATCAAAATGTCGAATTTTCGCACCGACGTTTGTTTTGCAAGTCGAAAATGATGTGTTTTGATTTCGTGAGCCCCAGCATCAGCAATGTCCTGTCCCGTGCTCCTTTTCTTGCTGATTCCGACAAACTTTGATCGCGCCCAAAGAGTCGAGGGCCAAACCTGCCTCCTCAGTCGCCTCAGAAAAACCAACTCCATGGCTAAGTCAAATTTTATGGGTATCGCCATAGTCTTTTCAGCCACACAGATGACGGTGAGGACACTCCAGGCGAAAGAGAGTAGACAGGCAGTGGAAAGGAGCAATCAGAGGTAGCTGACGATGCTGATGTCGTCAAAGACGCCTGCGAAGCCATGCCAAGATAAGAAACCTCTTTGAATAAATCACGCGCTAGCGCTCTTCCACAAGAAAATTCATCCGAAAAATATGTTCGGCAAAGTGAGCTTTTTCCGAACAAACATGCCGCATCTTCGTGTGCATTTTCGACCTCGCTCCCGCGTGCCGAATCTTTTGCCGAATTTCGGAATGCAAAACCTCACTAATATGATGCCAACAGAATGTAATGGTGTGCGTGCATGCGTACAGAGTCGGTGCGTACCGACTGTCAGCACAGGTGTGGAAAGCAGCATATGTAAATGGATAGGAGCACAAACGGTGCCGCGTGCATATATGTGTCGGTAGAGCATGAGACTCTTAATCTCAGGGTCGTGGGTTTGAGCCCCACGTTGGGCGCCAAATGTCGTCTCGGTTGGAGAACGAGCTGCCTCTACTATACCCTCGCCACGCCACACATCAAACGGACTAGTCAAGTGGTTTTTCTCTAGAGCTAGAGAGAGAGCTATTCATTACTACACTTCAGGAGACGACGGGAGAACTGACAACTGACATGGCGAAAGGAAACATGATATCGGAAAGTGGTGCCCTCATCAGCACAAAAAGTGGCGTACTCGATATCATATCAGCACAAAAAGGTGCACGTGGCAGCAATACAACAAAGCAGCGCAGCAGCATGTACGGGTCAGCAGCACAGAGACACAAATACAGCAGCAGGTACGACAAAGAGACAACACGTGCAGCCACATGTACAACATATGGGTGTGACAGTCCATATATGTACGTGTGAACACTACACACGATGAGAACATGCAAAGTATGGAGACCCAGACTGTGTGGTCAGCAGGACACAGCCCGTACAGGATGGAACAGACAACTAAACGTAATATAGCACCACGTACCGGCGGACTAGTCGACGCTGATGGGAGAAGTGGCACCCCCTGAGGCAGCTACGGATGCTAGAACTCTACAGCCAGACCAACACCAATATAAAACAAAAGGGTACACCACACCAGGAAGCAAGTCAAATAAAGATGTGTGAACAACGGCCACACACCACAGAAAAGCATACAGAACAAAAACTCAATTACCGACACCATAGACACTGCAAAATCCAAACAGGAGGAAAATACTAACTCCCTGAGGACACTGAGCATGAGGCAAACGAGCAAGCAACCTCTTGCCGATGTTCCACCGTGTAACAACAACCGCGCTGGCCACCGGACTGTATGGTAGGGGTATTACACCTGGACCTCAAGACCAACGGGCGAAGGACAGCAGGCCGGGCCCAGGTAAATACAATGAGGAGCACTGTATACAACTACAGAAATAACCCAAACCCATGCCAATTTGACCAACATACCTTCCCTGCGCATCCATTCCTAGTGTACGGGTCTGAAAGATGAAAGATGGAGCGCTTGTATACACGGGCCCGGAAAGCCTGCTTCGGCCGCTCGGCAGCAGCTTCGTAGTGGTGGTCAAGGGTCGAAGACCGACGGATACGGATCAACTCCCCAGTGAACACACCTTTGCCCATACTACAGGGGTGGTTACTACCGACAAGCAGATACAGGAAACGATTGGTGAACTTGAAATGAGGCTTCACCGCCATGTATCCCTTACTACAGAAAACTGTGGTGTCCAGGAAATCAATGCCATCATGTGCCAGTTCATGAGAAAACTTGAGGGCCGAACACTTATTAATCCAATCTAAAGTGCGCTGAACTTGACCTTCGCAACCATGCAATGATAAAGCGTCTATAAACCTGAACCTCTAAACTTTCCCCCTCTAAGATCGGCAAAACGTACCGCTTCTCCAAATACAGCATAACAATGTCGGCATAGACCACTGCTGCAGGCGAACCCATGGCAGTCCCTTGGATCTGCCGAAACACATCGTTACCATACACGAACTCATTTTTCTTCCGAATGACTGACATCAAGGAAGTCACTGCTGTTATTAACCATGTACGAAGGGCGAGGGGCATCCACCTTGTACACCTGTGTGTGATATACCACGACAACCGAGCTCGTTGGGGATGTTGGTGTAGTAAAGGCTGGTCACATCTATACTCAATTATAAATCATCGTCCCGCACAGGCAAACCTTCTACCAAGTTGATGAAATCCGCAATTGAGGTCAGAACAGTACTTTCCTCACATACATACGGGTTCAGTAGAAAGTCAGTGAACTCAGCGGGATAGTAGCCAGGACTATTTAGATTAACAATAGGCCTAACCTTCAGGACCCAGGGCTTATGTGTTTTGAGAAGTCTCCTGAAAACGGGCATGCGCCCCCGGCGCGACTAAGAACAGTGACATAATATTAGTGGGCATACGATGCTCAATGCGATGCCTAGTCATGGCGAGTAAACAATTGACTCGGGTCGCTCACACGAAGTCTCAACACAGCCTTGAGCCTGTTGGTTGCCATCGGCAGTCTAGCCGCATGCTCATCTAGCCCCTCAGGCAAAAAAAACAGTCATTTATAATGTTTGGCATTGTGATGCTGGGCACGACCTATATCATCATAGTGAGATCAGTCCAGGACTACTATCACAATAGACTGCCTTTGCATATGCCTGAGTCCGATCGCGTTCTAGCTCCCAAACTATGTGCTGCATGTGTACACTCCGCCTATGGTTAGTCTACTCCAGAACAACGCCTGGAGAGGTTCATTGGGGGCATGATGTCCCCCCACCCCATCTCCCCCTTGTCCCCTGCACCTGAAGTACCGGTATTGCCCCCCCCCTCCCCAAACAAATTACAGGACACAGATGGAGCACTGGGGAGCACGTAGCAGTAGGCAAAGTTGACGATGCCAGTGCAGACACGGCCTGACCTCGGTCACCACACTGACACCGTATAGTCTCCAAGGGACATAGCTACCAGAGAACACACAGAATGCGAGTATATAGTGCTATCTCGGTGGATAGACAACCTCCTATACAAAATATCTACTGATAGAGTTCTGTGTAGACCCTATGTGCAGATATGTGTGGATGAGTACTGGTAAACGGACAGCTAACCCTAGTCTAAGTAAAATAAAGGTAGAATGTAGAGCCTGGGCAAAAAAATAAGTAAATAAAAATATTGACTAGTTTTAGGGAAAGACACAAACGGGAAAAGTCTGAAGAAAAAATTGACTGTCACCAAAAAAATAATAATAGCTACACATACGAGGGAACTCGGATGGAGAGCCAAGGATTAAAATTGAAAAAGAGGACACTCAGTTTACGAGTTATCCGTTTTGTCCAACACTCACGGATATAAACGTGATGCAGCTAAGCATCAGGTCGTTGAATGTCAGGATCTCATCAGTCAGTTTTTGTGCTAATTGTTGCACATTTTTGACTCGGCAGTATTCTGCATATAACCGTTAGTGTTGGACAAAACGGATAACTTGTAAACATGAGGGAACACTCATCCTTACCCAAGTCCCAACGTCAGCACTCGGCGCTGCTCCGAACCAAGAGGGACACTGGAGAGATCGTCCATCAGCTCCTCTCTTGTCCTGCGATCAAATCGCCTAATGCTAAAACACAAGAAGATAGGAAAGGCAAGTAGAATAAATAAATCAATAAAGTAATACACAACAAAACAAGTTTGAACAGCTGCAAACGTAATGGACGATCCGAACAAGACCAATGATATACCTAGCAATAAGTGTGCAGAGTGTGCAGCCCAAGGATAATCATCCCACGGCAAAGTTTATTGTTTAGGGCATAGACTCACAGTAACAGGCTCACCTTTGCTGCATCTCACACCGCTTCACACGGTAATCTACTGTATCACCATGGTAATTTCTGTGGCACATTGCTGCTTGTTTAACAAAAGGCAGAAAACACACCGAATTTCCAGGAATTACCATGGTGATACGGTACTTTAGCTTGAACCTATTGCATGACGGGTTTTCTATGATTCATAATGACCCAGAGAGAAACTAAGCCGGTATCGAATTCCAGTCAGCGACGCAATTCTTCTGAGGTGTAAAGTGACTTCAGGAATATGTTGCAGAAAACTGCGATGCATGCTGATTATTTACTGTGCCCTATTGTGCACCATATACCTGGTGGGTTACTCAGGGATGAAGTAGATGCACACAAGTACCGTGCATCACGGCACAGGTTAGGTTCGCAACTAGCTGCTACAGTGTACTTGTGGTCCGAACTTGCACTCTACTCAGCTCTGCATATGCAAAGAGTGCTGGTGCCGAAATGAACCAGAAGGGTGCTGAGTGGGACGCAACAACACTGACTCTGTATACCCATGTACACAGATATGATAGGGTATGCAGTACCTGCTCTAAGATTTAACACAAACCGGGTACACGTCTACCTGGCACAACTCCTGCAACACTGGGCCAGAGCCAGATGCGTTCAAGTGCGGCTACTGTGTGTCAGGGAGTCGTAAACTTACTTTCGACTTCCTGATGTACATGATTGTACATGTACATGTATGAACGTACTCGCACTGGGCACTCTGGCCGCACGCATCTGCACGCGTATGCAGCCTGTCAGTGGCGGTATACCCTCCAAGTATAAAAAAGTATAGTACTCGACAGGACTTCCGACCGGGTCGCAGGTAACCCAGTGTTCTTTGTCCAAAAGGTCCAAGTACTCACAAACAGGGCCACTGACCTGGCCCTGGAGCAGACACTGGTAATCTAGGTCCAAGTTTGCTCGATTATGTTCTGACGCTTCATGTGCTTTCATAGCCAAGGTTTCTCACTTTCTTCGCAAGCTCTTTTAGTCTTGAGAGTTGACAACTGCTTATGGTTGTGTTGGCAGAAAACATGTCAGCTAATCTGACAACCGTCCAACCCCATTTTACTGGTAAGTAGTCAGCGAGTGGCTTTGATGGGGCCATACTATATTTGTGCTTCCTTTTTGAAAACACATTCTCGCTCGAAGGGTTTCTAAACTTTATCCCTGCGCTCATTGATGGAGTTCATCGATGGAGTTGCCAGCGGCACTCTACAGAAGAACAATGTTGTCAAGTTTTTTTATGAAAAATTGTCAAACATTTTCAAATTGCTATAAGTTTGGTTAGGGCCGGGTTCCACTGCGGCTCCGCAGCTCCGCTGCTCCACGGTACTTGGCTGCATGCAGCAGAGCGGCGTGGTTCCAGTGACACTCGCCATTCACGATACCGCGATCGTGCTCGACGTTTTTTGATGACATTTAGCCTGCCTGCGCACGCGTGAAATCCAAAAAAATCCTCGTGTTCTGGCCTGTGCAACGAATTAAAATTCCCCCGAATAAAACAATTAAGTGCGGGAAACAATGCAAGCCGTGACCGCGGCTTGCATTTTTTTGTATCAAGCAGCGAAGCGAAAGCTGGTGATGAGCCGCGGCCTCGCTGGACCAGCTCGTAATGATGACGTTTCATGCCGTGGATGATGTGCGGCGGAGCGGCAGTGGAACCCAGCCCTTAGGCAAAGGAAATTTGTCATGAATTTGTTTATGCTGCATAGATGGAGAGCTGCACACTCTGGCTTATGGACTCTCGCCTACAGTGTAGTCGTACTGCTAGTGTACTGGCATTACAGAAGACACGAAAAACGAGAACATAATTATGGCGAGAAAGTAATTACTGGGCAGTGGCTAAGAATTGCCCAAAGACTTACCGCTTCTCAGTGCTCCATACCAGGAAGTAGTACAATACCTACTCCCTGCTCCATACGAGTGTTTTCTCCTCATTCTCTGCATCCTTTGCCGCAGGAGTCTCGTCCATTTAGCGGCTCAAATGCTTGAGCTCCGGATAGCGGAAAATAGCTCGTCGTCCATTAGCGGCTCTAATAGTACCTGGTCTGAAGTGTCGCAGTCTAGCAACTATGATTTTTTCCAGGAGGGTAAGGGTTGCAAACCCAAAGAGACCCTAAGCTTCGTCTATCAAACAAAACAATTGCCCTAAAAAATGGAAGAGGAAAAGAGTGAGCGAGCTGGTCTGAGCGCGCTACTTTTCAAAAAATAGAAGCTGAAAGCCATCAAAGTCAAAGCATTCTGGCTAGCGCGTTTGTGTATGTCACGAGCGCTAGCGCGCTAGTCGCAGCAAACGCTCGCAGGCCAGAGTTAGCGCTATTTGGGCTGTTTGCCGCACGCGGCAGCTGGATGGATCACGTGATCCAAGCTGACAAATAAGGTCCGATGGTTCAGCTACATTGAGCCACAAGCGTTGGTGTTGGCGTTGAGAAGAACAAAAAAATACTTTTCGCCTGTACTTGCATGCTCTTCTGCCTGCTGCAAGAAATCCAGATCATTGTTCGTGTTTTGTCGTCCTGGACATGCACGCTAGACTAGGGACCATGCGCTAGTTGGTCCTAAGCTGGCCTTATGGCTTATCTTAGCAAAGTAAATAATAAATTCCCGCTCGAAGAGAAACCATCGCTAGATCACGGGTTCTGCCCTCGTGCAGTTATCTTCTTTTCGTGTATTCCGCTTAACGTCACTAGCACTCGCAACAGCATGACTTGAAGACTTTGAAAGTTCAGGCGCGAGAGGATGTAGTTTGCTTGGTTCCTCGTTGCTTGGTGGACGAGTTGTGTGTTGAACCTAGCCTGAGGTTATTGAGTGAATGGCTGACCGAGCGGACGACTCGTACGCTCGCCAGCATGGCTTTGAACCGGCCACTAGGAGAAATCCGGACAAAGACAAGCGCCAGCAGGCTGGCAGAGTCTGGGAGGCAACCAAGTCCTCGATTGGCCGCGCTGGCGAGAGGCATAACGCTGGCCGCATTCAAAGCACGCTAGGCAGCAAGAAATGCGTGGCGTTCGTTTTTCCCGGGCGTGTTCCGGACGGCGTAGTGCGGGCAAAGCAAACCCTCTCAGCGTCACAGCTATCGCACCTGGTCAGTGTGCTGCAGAGTGAGAATAGCAAGCAGGGGGCCACGGCAGTTTTGTTGGAGTTCGATGAGGAGAAGGTGGGATCACGTGTGGCGCGTGGGTATGGCCAGCAGATTTACATGGGCACTGTCGGAAAGGTCAGGGTTGTGTGGCCGGCGTCGAGGCAGGACTACGACCAGTACAAACCCGCCGAAAACCCTAGTCCGCCAGCATCGGCAGCAGCAGCAGCTGATACAGTGGGAAAGCAGCCGAAGAATTCTCAGGCTGCTACACCAGCGCCGTCATCTCGGCCAGCTCCGAATGGCAAGACACCGCTAGCAGCAGCAGCACTGCCAACTGCAAGCGCTGCACGCAAAGACCCACCGTGCGTGTTCCTAGGCGGACTGGAGCAAACATGCAGAGAGGCGGACTTACGCTCAGTTCTCAAGGCGTTCAGCACGTCCATCACTGGCGTTTCTGTCAGATGCACACAAGCTAAGATGAAGGCACCGGGACAAATGGTGACGTTCGCCTACGTCAAGTTTTCATCCGAGGACAGCAGTCAAAGTGCACTTGCGTTCTTGAAGGCGCGTAGGCCGATGAGGTTCAGCGAGTGTCGCCTGTACAATGTTGCATCCACACCACTGCCTCTGGCACAGGCTAGGAATCCTGCTGAAGCAGAGAAAGATGCCAAGCCCAGTGCTACCGGTGCTGCTGCTGCGGCGACTGGCCCGGGTTCTCTGCCTGGCAGGTCGTCAGTAAAGCCTGCGAGTAAGTCACCGTCGTCGCTTCATTCGAACGAAGGCATGGATGCACCAGCAGATTTGGCAGGGCAGCGCGCAACCTCTTCGAACGTCCGTGTAGCTGATGCGGCCAAGCACGACGCTCAGCAGAACATATCCGCACTTCATACTGAAGTCAGCGCACTGAGGCCACCCACCACACACAAGGCTTCCAGGCCAAACGGAAATGGTTTGACTGGCTTGCCTGCAAATCCAATGCCAGAAAAAGCAGTTGGCAGACAAGAGTAAGTTCTGTTCTAGAGTATCTGTACGATACTGTCGGTCGCCGAAGAACTAGGGGGCCAGCCTCCTAGCCTAGACCGTTCCTATTTTCATCAAGAGTCCATAAACAAGAGTATGCAACTGTGATCTATTTTCTATGGGCCAGATGCGCGGCGCGCTGCCTTCATTACATCATTCAGCTGCAGTCCGCACACTGCGGAAAATCAAACACCGCACTTTCCCTCTGGTTTGAAATGAACTTTCGTACAGAACTGGAGTTCACACGAGAATTTAGAGATCGCGTAGGTACTGGAACGAATCGAACAAAAACGGATGGGCTTGTGTAAATTGTGAGTTTGAATGCATGCTTTCAGAGCGTGATGAAGGCAAGTTACGTAATGAAGGCAGCGCTCCGCGCACTGACCCATAACCACAGTTGCATACTCTTGTTTATGCACTCTTGTTTTCATTTATTACAGTCTATGCGCAGTTGAGTCACCGTGTATACATTGGTATGCTGTGGTTGATGAAATTCTAGCCCGATCGTTCTTCGGCGCTCCGTTCTTCGGCGCCCGGCAGTACTGTATGCTGTGAGATGCATGTGGGGATGCCGGCACGGTGCCAGTCTGTCTGTCTTGTTAACTGTGCATATCTACCTGGCACTGGCCACCACCTCTACTTCACATGTGTCAGGCGCTGTGCAGCCCTAGACCTGCAAACACTGGCATGCGTCCACTTGTTTCCTCGCCTCAGGATGGTGGTGGTACAAGTACTTCTGTGTAATTGAACGTGAAGTTTGACAGGTGTGCTCGCTACAGTTCGAAAGGGCACTGTTTCACAGCCATGCTAAAATGAGATGAGTAAGTGCGTCTCTTTGCGAGGAGGGCACACCGCTGCTGTTCAATACCGTTCTTGCTGCCATTACTATGTCTCTGCTGTGCTATAGGACAGCAACTGCTAACAACAACAACAATAGAATTCAGCCACTGTCGTGTGTGCCCGGAGAAGCAAAGCTTGCCGCACCACTCAACATCCTGGCAAGCAAGGCTGCGTTTGAATTCGTGAACGAGCGGTTCCGTACAGAGCTTGCTGTCTGCAAAAGCCGACATGCCTTGCAGATGCACTGGCAGGCCGGGAGAGTATCCCTAGCCGCAAATCAGCGCCCGCAATGCTACGATATCGACATGAACATGTTCCGGCGCGTTACGGAGAAGTTCATTCAGCTCACGGCACGAGAGTACACACATTTCTCCAACACACCCGCTGACCTGTCCATGGCTATAGGTGAATCAGTGCTCGACTGCCAGGGCCGACTTGTCGACGATAGCAAGCAGCTGATGCTGGTAGGTTTGGACAGTGCTGTCACATCCTCATGGAAGAATGCTGTGGATTTTCTGCGACGCAGTGTCTGGCTAAGTGTGTAAGTTTTCTTCTGTGTGTGTGTGTGTGTGTGTGTGTGTGTGTGTGTGTGTGTGTGTGTGTGTGTGTGTGTGTGTGTGTGTACCTAAAGTTGGGGTTGCCTGAATGTGCACATCCTGTTGAACTGGGTCAGTGCTGGCTTCATGGTTGGTGATTTTTGCACTGCACCCTGATCAGCACGGCATTGGTGTCATATACTAGTTGTTGATGTCCTGCTGCTCATTGGCTCTTACTTGTACGGGTACACAGTCATACCTCGGTTATCCGGACCCCGAAGTTATGGGCACTGCGGTCTACCGGGCACCCTTTGGGCGGGTTTCAGTGGAAATATTACTACTTTTTGTCACTTTTTGTGGAAATAGTGACGTCACATGCCATACCTATGGCCTTTCCCCATTAATATGTATGTGATTTGGAGTTACAGGCATTATTTCGAAGTTACGGTCCCGAACCGCCCGGATAAACGAGGTATGGGTGTGTATGACATAGTTGTGTTTTTGTTTTGTTTTGTAGGCTGCAGGTTGAGTTCCTTCAGCGGTTCAGCAATGTGGAGAAGGAGCTGTTGAAAACGTTTGGCGTGAGCGTGGAGGGGTTTAAGCCGGGATCAAAGCGCTTGCTGCTGGTAGCCACCGACGTACCTACTGGCAGCACGGCCGGCTCAGCCATTCGCAAAGGAAAGGAGTATGTGGAGAAATTGCTGAGCGATTGGATGCTAGAAAAGATTGATGTTGAGCACATCCTGTCGCGGACAGCTTCTCGCTTGATAAAGCAACGCAAGCTGCCCGTAGTCCTGGCCATGTTCAGTGAGAATCCCAAGACACGGTCGTACCTGCTGGGAGGTGCTCCCTCTGAGCCGGTGATGCGGGCACTGACGCTACTGCTTGACGGTCCAAGCTGTGACACGGTGCAGCTGCCGTCACCTCCGTTCACTGCCGCCTACATTGGCAAGTTACAGAAGCAAGATGCCAGCATCAAACTGCCACAAGACATGAGCCCTGCCTGCCTGGGAGATGTACATGTCGTGAACAGGTCATCCGACGATGACGACGGCGTTCGTACGACGGAACTCGAGATCCGTTCCTACGTGGCTGAGGACGTCAAAGTAGCCATTCGCTTCTTCACCAAACTGGCTGAGAACATCGAGGACGAAGTAGCGTTGGAAGCCGGTCCAGCCGCTCCCTCTCTTGCTCTATATTATCTATCCTACATTATCACCTACAACGATACCGCCAAGCAGGTGATTGCCGACATAGAAGCAGAGCACAAAGTTGTGGTGAATGCCAGCACCACCACGCTACCGTGCGTCACGTTGCACGGCACCACGGAGGCCCGTCAAGCTGCTACCAACGCCATCCTCGATCACCCTGGCCTGCTGGCAGGCGTAGTAGCTAAATATGTGTCACTCCCGACACTCACGATGGACATGGTCGCTTTATTACGCAAGCGATTCCTAGAGATCGTGGAGAGCAAAGTTGGCGTGGTGTGTTTGACATTTCAAGCCACCGAGGAAGTCATGGGGCTGCTAAAGATGCAAGCGACGCCGCACATTAATTCGGTTATTGTGGCGATCTTTGGCAGCTCGGAGAACCACGTTGTGCAGGCCCAGAAGTGGATATCTGTGAGTGCGGCTGCTCATGTTGTGCTGTATGTGTATGCCGCTGTGCAGTGTAGCATGGAATAAGGGTGTATTGGGTAGGTGCTACAGTAGTACAGTAGCACAGTACTACAGTAGCACTGTAGTACAGTAGCACAGTACTACAGTAGCACTGTAGTACAGTAGCACAGTAGTACAGTAGCACTGTAGCACAGTAGCACTGTAGTACAGTAGCACAGTACTACAGTAGCACAGTACTACAGTAGCACTGTAGCACAGTAGCACTGTAGTACAGTAGCACTGTAGTACAGTAGCACTGTAGTACAGTAGCACTGTAGTACAGTAGCACAGTAGTACAGTAGCACTGTACTACAGTAGTACAGTAGCACTGTACTACAGTAGTACAGTAGCACTGTAGTACAGTACTACAGTAGTACAGTAGCACTGTGCTACTGTACTACTGTAGTACAGTACTACAGTAGCACAGTCCAGTCCTGTTTTATTCAAAGCCCCACATTAAGTGAATAATAGCAAGAATGTGCAAGAGAAGAGCTAGAGAGAAAAGGGAATACAAGGAGAAGTAGCACAGTAGTACTTGAAGCACCTAGAGTATATAACCCCCCAAGAGTGCGTAACTCTGCATATGGGGTCACCGACGGCGAAAACACACATCATGTGTCTCAGGTACGTTTTGTACTACGTACCAACTAGGGCTAGCGTGCCCGCAGACCGAAAATCTGCCAAGATTATGCTGGCGAGTTGCATACGCGCAGTGGGTTTCTGCCAGGGAGTGCTTTTATTATTACTCTGCTGCTCGCTACTGAAAACGCACTGGAATCCTACAACTGGTACACTACACCACGTGATGTGAGTTTTCGCCGTCGACGGAGCCCATAGAAAGGGTATCAGTATCAGGAGTTGCACACTCTTGGGGGCTTGGTACAGTAGCACACCACTTTCCTGGGAATTTCAATCTACGGGCACCCCCTGACGAGAAATATCAGCTTTTCCATGAAGAAAAAACACTGGAGACAGCCCCGCACCACAAGGTGTGTGGATAATCGGCACGCCACTGTTCATGTTTAATGCAGACATCTAGCCTTCTCCGGCCCTGTGCCATCGGGACGCCCACATAATATTGTTTGTGGTAGACGGGTGTGTGGCTGCTTACGGCAAAGGCGCTGGTGTCTTCACTCAACACAGGCACGGCATTGTTTGCTGTTCTTTCTTGTGTCTACAGAGCTTGGGTCCGGCGAAGCTGACACTGCCTCTAGACAGGGGTTTGTTTGATAAACTGGAGAAAGAGAAGAGTGCCATGGAGGACAAGCATGTGGTGTGTATCACGTTGAATCCGGGCGAAAGCAGCGTTGTCATCGCTGGACTCACTGGTGCTGACGTGGATTTGGCCAAGCAAGCTGTATTTGCGGTCCAGGATGGCGCCAGCGTGGTAACCGAAGAACTCAGCGTGACCTGTGAGCAGGAGATCATGCTCAAACACAAGCTGGCCGGTGAGCTCGAGTGCACTGTGGATCTCGTCGCCGGTGGTTCTGGAAAAGTTGCCAAGCTGCACGGCACCAAGCAGACAGTGCAGGCTGCTATGGCACACCTCTCAGATGTGACGAAGGGCCTGCGCGCTGTCCACATTGCCGTCTCGTTCCCAAGCGAACTTGCCACGTGTCTGGAGAGCACCTGGGAGACCATTCTAACAGGAGCCGCGCAGAGAAGTACAGTTTGGTGCGAGCGCCAGGAAAAGGCATTCTCGCATTCCGCATCCACGCCGACAACGAAGCTGGACTGCCGCCCTGTGCTGCAGCTCCCGGATTCGTTTCCCGACTTCCAGATCGATGGGCAAACCTGCTTCTTCGTGCTGGGTACGGACCGGCGTGAGTTCACCGAGACACTGCAGTCCATTCGCAACGCTGGTAGCTCGGTTCTCAAGCAGCAGATTATCCTCAGTGGAGTGCAGCGAGACATTGTCAAGGCACGCTTTGACCAAGACAAGGGCCGCGCCGAGGACGGCACGTTCATGCACCTGACGGAGAAGGGCATTCACGTGTGCGCCCCATCCATGGAGAAGCTGAGCCATGCCAAGGCTGTTGTTGCCAGGTGGCTTGAGAAAGAGGTCACTATTCCTGTCTCAGCGCTTGCCAAGAGACTGATGCAGGCCAAAATCGAGCAGCATCTCACAACCCTAGCCAGTAAACTACAGTTTCGATTTCACTGGCAAGGCGAGCAGCTCGAAGTGATTGGCTCCGCTCTGAGCATGGACGATGTGGTTGAGTCGCTGCACAACTACCTGGCCGAGCTGGAGGTGGATATTTGCACACGTTCCTTGAGCATTGCCCATTGGCTCGTCCCACAGTTAAGCGTACCCGAAGCCGTTGAAGTCCTCAAAGAACTGGAAGAGACGATGCACATTGTGTGCCCTCCGGCGAAAGATGCTGTCGCCGAGTACCAGAAAGCTGTACTCGAGGAGATGAAGTCGAAAATCGACGATGGCAAAGTGCAATTGATGGCGGCTGAAGGCGGTGCGGGTGAGAGGTACTTCGTCACCCCGCCGAGTGCTCTTATCTGGCATATGAATGGTGTGAGTGAGGAGCAAGTCACCTTAGCAGGTCAGCGTCTTAGTGAGCTCTTCAATGTACCTCTGCTGGAGTTGGAAATGTGCTTCCCGGGAAAGGCCGACACACGGCTGTGCAATCGCGTTGCCGAAGCCGCTGCCGAGCATTTAGTGGAGATCACGGTGTCCGTGAGTCGCGATGGCTATGCATCCAGCGAGCTGGCCAGTCTGTCCGGCATGTCATCATGTGTACTGACTGTGCGCGGTGTTGCACCTCGACCTAGACAGGCGCTGCAGAAACTACAGGCAAGTATTTTCTCGTGACCTTCCGCAAGCCAGGCGGTTTCTTTCTTCTTCCTTTTCTTTTTACCATGGGTGTGTTCGCCTACCTACAGGACTTCGCATGTCTTACCATGCTTATTCTGAATTGTTGTTGTTGTTGTTGTTGTTGTTGTTGTTGTTGACTTTTATTTTACTTCACCTCTTGTAACAATCAAAGTCTATTATAGCAGTTGTTGAGCTGTCTTCTGAACAAGGCCTATGCACATGTTTTCTCCGAAACACTTTGGAAGCTTGTCAATGTATTTTTTTATCAAGACACATGCGGCTGTCTGAGGGCTCGGACTTTCTCTCGTCACAAGTTCCTATATTTCTTGATATGTCTCTTGATCAAGGTCCTTCCCCTGCTCTGCATGCTCGCCGGCGATCACGCAAGATTATCTTTGATATGCATAAGTTGAGAGTAATGATGCCAGTGAGACAGCCAGCAAAGCAGCGTATTGCCTTGCACCTATTTCCTGTGCACATTACCTACTTCTACTTGATGATACTTGCAATACGTAGTCCAGTATTTGTACTATTCTTCTTAGGTATTTTTTTACCTTGACCTGGTGAAAACCAGCTTCACACACACACACACGCACACACGCACGCACGCACACACACACACACACACACACACACACTGTACTGTACTGTACTGTACTTGCTCACTGCCAAAATTGGTCACGTGGGTCTCCCCGGGAGAGGAGAGAGAGGAACTCAAAAGGAATCTTGGAAAGAGGACAAAATTGGCTATTGAACCGCCCAACGGCCGACACCCCGGGAAATCCCGAAACTATGGGTGGACTCGTGACACACACACACACACCGATGAATTGAGTGTTGTACATGCGATCACTTGACAAGCCATGTCTTGCTATTATCTCTTAATTTGCTGGCCGAAAATCCTATATATAGGATTAGAAAATGTGTGCCTTTTATGCCGTTGTTATTGGTCATCACGACCAATAATAACGGCATAATGGTTTTCATGGAAGTTGTAAATATGTTTGAGGCATAAGTTTACATTTTAGATTCATAGGGCGATAATATTTCTGATGAATACCTATTTTCCGCAATAATTGGAAATTTGAGCATAATTGTTCAGCTGCTGTCATGGAAAGGACTGAAGCAGTGAATGTGCAAAAGAACATTGCAGGTGTGGCACGGGGTGGTTTCATGATGACATATCGCACATGCCGTCATGAAACTACCAGTTTTAAGGATAAAAGAAGGTCCAATAAAATCTCAAATCCTATATATAGGATTCGAAAAATAGGGCCCAGGCCTTAGTAATAGTAATACTGGGTAAGGAGATGAGCCTGAGATGTTAGTGTTTTAAAAAATTATCTTATTCAACTCTCGATATCTACTAAGACCTAGCAAGGAAGAATTGGTCACATACTTTTTGCTATTCTCATGCCACACCCCTTTTGAGTTGAAAAATATGACCAAAATCCTATATAATATTTAGCAAATTAAGAGATAGCAGTTCCCTCAACAAACTTCTCCGTCGCAGGTGACTGGTCCTGGGAATGTGGCTGTCCATGACTTTGGTGTTCATGGCTGGGGCTCATCATCAGATGAGCTACACTCCACTGCTCAATGAAACTTGGTCGTGCAGGTCAACCTTCACCGGGCGCTATGCAGTCCCACAACTGCCAACACTGGGCTATGCACTATACTAGTGCAGGGTGCTAACATATTCATGAGATTGGATTTCATTGAGCAGCACGGCAGTACGTGTGTACTGAGCAAAGCGAGACCACAAACTACGTGAAAGTCAAGTCAGTTTACGGGGACTCCATACGAAACTGTATTCTACTTGTACAGCCGAGGAAAATGCTGCAAACATTCAAATTGAAGACACTTTCTCGGCACGAACAAGCAGCAGCCCTAGTCTTCGCCGGGGGGGGGGGGGGGGGAGACTATTTCATTCACTTAGACATCTTTCTGGATTGTAATGTAAACGTTCTGCTCTGAGTCTAGATGTGGCTTGTATTGTTCGCAAAAGAGCCAAGAGCTAATTGCGAAACAGGACAACTCACTAGAATCGCAGCTCGCACTGCATAGTCTGCCCAGCGAAAGAGGGCAAGATCAAGAGTGACTTGAGAGTGTCACTGAGCATGAGAAACATACTCGACTTATTTTAAAGAAAAAAACATTAACACAAGGGAGGCAAATCATTAACATTACTGAAATAATGATGGCAAAGCATGTAGATGTACATGCACTAGTAATCTGTATAGAAATTAGACCTCTGAATTAAACTATACACATCCGCAGAAGAAAGAAAGAAGGTGCAACCAGCTTGGCAAGAGTCCCTATGACCAGAAGGCCAGGGGCGGCATCCACTGTACAAAAGCGGACAGAGCTGCACGATGCGTGGGCTGAGCCGAAGAAGAACTATATACACGGTGCAGGGTAGAAAGTGCGGCTAACTAAACGTATTGCCGATGACTATGTGCAATCAGTGGCACCAGCAAGCGCAGGCATGCAATGTGACACTTCTCAAGGCAAGTATGTACAAGTATATACAATGGTGACGTACAGGATGGAGGATTCAAAGGAAGAACTTGGTGCGACTTGTTTCCATTTGATGCCGCTGCGAGAAGAAATACACAAACAAGGCATTGAAAGGAAAGGACAATAACACCACACACACACAAATGAACCCCGGCAGGACACATGGAAATCAGTGCAATATCAGGAAGCAACCTTCACTCGGGCTGCACATAAACAATTGCATGTGTCCAAGCACAGGCGATAGACAACGAATTAGCCAAGGCAACGTCCATGCGTCTCCGGAGTCTGAAGGACCTGGAGACACTGCGATTGGTGGCTCGGAACAGGCAATCATTTAACGATATAATCGCACAGGTCACATCGTAGAGTGCAGATCACCTAGTGCTTTCAACAATAATAACGTACTTCCACATTATGGGAATTTGGTATAACCCCACACCCGTCAATGTTGAATATTCGATAATAACGTGGATTTCCCCAACAATATATTTTCATTTTTGCTATCCTCTCCCATGCCGTTGTACATAAGCGGCTTGCCGCGGATATGTCAATACTACTAAGCACAGGCACAAAAAGGCTCTATTGCCACGCTACTCCACAGCAGTTGCATGCACCTGCATCAGTGGTGGATACAGGGTCATCGCGAAGAGAAAGCCTGCCATGATCACAACACCCTTGCCCTACCAACGTATATATACGTGTACAGGAAGTGCCCTACAATGTAGTTCTAGAAATATTCGCCGCAGTCTTACCCAGTCAAAGGCTATACCAACGACTGGTGGCAAGTGAGTTGTGTGAATATTTCTGCAAATACGACAAGGCTATAATGGAGCTTCAAAGTTCAAAAAAGATCGGTAATGCTCGAACTGATCGCAGTGACAAATACAGTGCACACGAAATCCAGACTACAATGTAGGTGTGCATCGCAACCATGCAGCTACAGAGACTTGTACAAAGAGTGGCCCAGGCCCCTCACAGCCCAGCTCTGAACTTGCCACTATGCAGCATCATGCAGAGCAGACACTGAGTCAGCATAGATAGACTACAGTGAGAACCTGTCTAAGACCACCGCTCAAGGGACTCTCAAAAACGTGGTCTTTGCAACCAGGTGGTCTCCCTATCCAGGGTCGTTTGACAGGAAATAGCATCCCTTGGTCTTGAATGCAGTGGACTTCTGAGACAGGTTGTCGCCTTATCTGAGTGGTCGCCTGGACAGGACCCTATCTAGAGCTGGATCAGGTGTTGCACACTCTGGGGGGGTTATGTACTCTTGGTCTTACTGTACAAGCAACTAGCCTGGGAGTGGGAGCAAGGCTCTACAGGGCATTGAATTACCAGTAGTTTAAAATGACATGCTCACAATGCTCACGGCAGTACCAAACATTGACCGGCATGATCCAAAAAGTCTCACCTTGAGCATCCATTCGTAATCACCAAACTTGCTATCAAATGTGCCTCTTTGTATTGAGCGCAATTTTAGTGTAAATCGCGGCCCCAACTCTTGCAGGCCGACTTTCTGCTTGTTCTTGAAGATATATCTAGGCAGGAAACAACAACACACCGTACACAAGTTGATAACAGCTGCCAATCAGTTCGAAATAATGTTACGAACCTTAGAAGACCAGCCAGGAAAGCATATACCTTACTTTCGTGTTTAGTGCCCCTGGGGCACTATTTTTTCAATGTCCATCACAGATGGGGCATTATTCAAGAGAGGGCACTATTTTTTCAATGCTAATGCATTTATGTCATCCCGCATGAAGACCAAAGAAAGCAAAAGAACAACAGAGCCTAAAGTTTACTTTTAAATATCAGGACTGAACAGAAAGGGCAACACAAGAACTGAACAGAAAGGGCAACACAAGAACTGAACAGAAAGGGCAACACAAGAACTGCAAACTGAACAGAAAGGGCAACACAAGAACTGCAAACTGAACAGAAAGGGCAACACAAGAACTGCAAACTGAACAGAAAGGGCAACACAAGAACTGCAAACTGAACAGAAAGGGCAACACAAGAACTGCAAACTGAACAGAAAGGGCAACACAAGAACTGCAAACTGAACAGAAAGGGCAACACAAGAACTGCAAACTGAACAGAAAGGGCAACACAAGAACTGCAAACTGAACAGAAAGGGCAACACAAGAACTGCAAACTGAACAGAAAGGGCAACACAAGAACTGCAAACTGAACAGAAAGGGCAACACAAGAACTGCAAACTGAACAGAAAGGGCAACACAAGAACTGCAAACTGAACAGAAAGGGCAACACAAGAACTGCAAACTGAACAGAAAGGGCAACACAAGAACTGCAAACTGAACAGAAAGGGCAACACAAGAACTGCAAACTGAACAGAAAGGGCAACACAAGAACTGCAAACTGAACAGAAAGGGCAACACAAGAACTGCGAACCACCAGTTCAATGACATGGACAAGAACACTAGCAGAAGAACACCAAACTTGCAAATGGGCTTGGTTACAAGCCCTGAGGGGGGGGGGCACTATTCAAAAGAGGGCTATATTTTTTCACTGGCTCTTAGAGACTGGGGCACTATTCGAGATAGGGCACTATTCATAGCTAGCCATGCACCATACGTTTAGCTCCCTCGGTATTAGACTGTGTTCACAACCATTTTACCTCTTTCCGTAATAGACTGTTTTCACAGCCATTTTAGCTCCCTCCATATCAGACTGTGTTCACTGCCATTTTAGCTCATTTTCTTCCTGTTGAGGTTGCGCTTGTGTTAATTTCGCCCGTACACTTGGGTACACTGGACTATTCAAGAGAGGGCTCTAATCGCGCGAGTACGGTACATGTTGAAAGCTGCATTCAGTGTCTAATATTAGATACGGCCACACATACACAGTGGACAAGCCAGCACAAAAGCAGTACCTGTGGTGCCTGAAGAAGATGAAGTCGCGCTGGTTGTGCCATGTGACGACGCTGCGTCCCTTGAACTCCGGGTCCAGCGAGAAGACGGCACCCAGGATGCGACCGGCTTGGTGACCGAGTCTGGTGCTGAAACGATTCAGGATCACCTCAGGCCGGTGGTGACTACGGCGACCATGACCCTAACACGATATACACGCGGGCATAGTCATAGGCATGAATGGGACAAAAAATCAATTTTGGGAAAACTTTCATGACTTCGCTGTTTGTAACATGGAAATTGTGGGCACAAGTTCGTTGTTGTGTGGCAATGATGGCAGAATTTGTGCTCTTTATTGCTATTTAAAAAAATTGTCTCCACACGTCGACTGTTTACAAGCATAGTCATGGACATTATGACATGCATAGAGATCATTTCATTGAGAAGGTCCTTTGATCAACATAGTTAATGTGCCGTGTTCTCAGAGTATAGAGTATAGAGAGTGTAGTCTGTTGTCTGTCTTGCAGTAGCCAGTCAGTAACATACATGCACACCACCGTCACGCACAGACACCTGAGTACAGTCAGAACTCGCTTAGCTGCACAAGTACGACAAAATAACCGGATAAGTGCGGAAGCAGGATAATTGAGAACACGGCACACGGCACTACGCGGTGTTCAGTACAAATCTCCTGTTGATTTTCACTGGTTGGCGAGAGAGCTGGGTTGAAGCGGCGCGGATAAGCTAGGTCTGACCATGCATCGTCATAATCCAGTCGTGTACATGGTGGTGGGCATGGTCACCGGGCATGCCGACTTACCCGGATAGCTTTGGACATTTTGAAGCTGGTCAGCTTGAACACGGCAGTGGGTCCAACGGGAAGGTGACACACAGTCAGTGAGTCTATGGTGGGTACGGTCGTCAAGGAGCATGTCATACAGACAGAAGAAAAGAGCATGGAAACTAGGAACAGAGGCACAAGGCAAGAGCCAGAAGGGGGCATGGAAAGAACACAGCATACTTTGAAGTGGTACTAATCCAAAACGTTCTAGTGCTTGTACCTGCTCATCAGTTGCTAGTTCTCCTTACAGCAAGATCATACAGTGAAGACTCCCAAACAAATTACAAATTTCTGCGAGCAACTTGCATGTTGGAAACAGCAGTCAAATGCAAAACATTACAAGGTAATGTCAGATGATGGTTTGAGTTCAGCGCACACGTACTGCAAACTGCCTAATGTTTGCGAAGTATTTACGTTCGCGATTCTTGCAAGAAGGGTATAACGCAAGCACTAACCAGCGTGAAACCAATCTTCAATGGTGTTATGCATGTGGCCGCAGTACTCCGTAAACATTTGTCCTCGCAGACCAGCTGATGTTGAGAAACCGTGAACATTTAGTGACGCAAATATTGAGCGGTTTACAGTACTGTGATGACATCATGACTGGTGTCAGGACACGGTTCACACACACACACACACACACACACACACACACACACACACACACACACACACACACACACACACACACACACACTCTCTCTCTCAACGCTCCGACGTTAATTTAATTAATTAACACGCCTAGACTAAATCAAGATACACTGTACAGACAGACATAGTACTAGATCTACTACGGTAACACATAATGATCCAGCAAAGCAATACTGGCAGGATACTGGGCATCTTGTGATCTTCATTGATGATCAAAATGCACGTGTAGCCACGCTCGATAGCCTTCGGTACCATCTTCTTGATGTCGTCACTCTTGCGTGGGAAGAACTCTGCATTGGGAATGCTAACGCACAGCTCCTCGGCGACTTGCAGGGACGCCTGAAGTGAGCAGAAAGTACATTAGAGCATTTACGTCACTTCATGTTCTTCACCTAACGAGCAGGATTGCCGATGATCACATGTACCATGAGAGCAAGACAAGAAGAAGATAAGATATTCATCACTTCAAAATCTACTGCAGTCATTAGTCTGCTGCATTTCAGTAAAAAATAAAGCCGTGTGTTTTTCGTTGGTCTGCGTATCAAACTTGCTGACATGGTTGCTTACCTGCTGGCATGTAGGTCTTCTCTCCTCTCTCACCCAACCATAAGGCAAGGTGTGGACTCAGACTCATGCTGATTCACTTCAACCAGCATGACAGTAATATCAGTTACTTTCATACTACAGCTGTGGCCAAAAAACTGACCTGCGAGTCAAAGGCAGTGCCATGTTTTCATTTCAATTACATCATGCACAGTCGAAAAACCCACTCGAGGGCCGCAGGGGCTGCATGAGCCTTGGCGTTGCTTTCAGCTCACGGGTCGGGTTTCTTTAGCCACGGCTGTAGTAGTGGGGAAAGGCATGTCCGCTGTTCGTCTATGATAAATTGCACTGCTTAGCTCACCGTGTGGGGCTTGTGGTCAGTCGTGATGAGGACGTAAGGTGCCTTGCTGCGGTCAAAACACCACTGCAGCTCATCAGTACGCTCATCTTCTACAACCTGGCGTGCAGCACAGAGTCAAACACACACCGCATAACGTCATGAGACCAGAACCCCATGGTGTAACAATCACAGCAGGAGGGCAGCGTGCAAAGACATTGTGAGAAGCAGTCCAGCGCATGCAGTAATACTGTACAATAGAAAACACAAGCATTCACCACTGCAACAGCACCTCAACAAACTACATGGCAGTCTGAATGAGACACCACCCACGTAGGGTGACACTGCAATATGGTAGATGACTACAAAGTGTTAAGTCTGGCTTCACATCCACATACACGAAAGAACAACAAGTGAGTTTGTGGAAGGATACATTAACAAAAAGGCACGAAGCAAACAAGTAAAGAACGAAGAACAACAAGAAGGCAGAGATGTAAGGTTAACAAGACGGATCCGAAGATGTTTGTACAAGTTGAGACGTTTTAGGCAGAAGACATACTGGGCTATGACGTACAAGACACATGACTATGCACGGCCATCATAGGTAATGTCATCACATAACAAGCTGCAGCTACAGACGGCAGAGTGAAGCTACACAGTCAATGCAGCGCAACACAAGACATTGGCCAGAACACCACAGTACCGCTAATGACAATCACCACACACACGCACGCACGCGCGCGCGCGCACACACCTCAGACCTCAGACATGCCCATCGCGGAAGCGATGATAGCGAACAGCTACCGTATTTTAGACATAGCTTACTTGTGCTGGGATTACACCATTCAACAGCACACACACACACACACACACACACACACACACACACACGCGCGCGCGCGCGCGCACACACACACACACACACACACACACACACTCCCAGCTGCACTCAAACAACTATCATAGCACAGCCAGACAGTGCTCACCTCTGGATCCTGACCGGCCACAAGAGTGGAGTCAAACACTCTAGCATTTTCAATGGTTCTCTGTGGCTTGACTGGTGCCTGATGAAGGGAAAGAAGACCAACATGAACAGCGACAAACGACGGTGGTGAAAAACAGCACAGGAGAAATGTTGGAGTACCGTGCTAAACATATTCGTATCTCTTGAGTTATCTTCTTTCTTTCTTCTTTCTTATACATGTATGTCAACTACTTTTCTTTTGTTGATTTGGCCGTGGTTGGCTATCACCCCTCTCTCATTCAATATTGGCATTGCTTGCCACGAGATAATGATGCAATAAATAAATAAATAAATATCACTATAACAGCAATGTATCGAAGGTACATGCACAATACGAATCATTCTCTGTACGCCGCTGTCACACCTTGTTGCTACATGCATGTACCAGAGACAGTATAGGCTTGAGATCAACCTGAAAGCCCTATAGCACAACTGTGCATCGACAGTAGACTATGAAGAGTCTGTGATAGCCATGCTTGTGATGACTGATTATGCATATCGGAGGGGAATATGGTATTGGTATTTCCATACATTGAAAGTTACGCTCTTCATAGAAGAGAGAGAGAGAGAGAGAGAGAGAGAGAGAGAGAGAGAGAGTGCGTGTGTGTGTGTATGTGTGTGTGTGTGTGTGCGTGTGTGTGCGTGTGTGTGCGTGTGTGTGTGTGTGTGGTGTGTGTGTTCACAATGTACCAACACTGAAACTGTCAGACGATGCAATAGCAATGACATGCAGACGTTAAATGCCAATGTTACTACTAGTATACCATTTATCTCTATTTCCTGTACGGGACTGTACGGGACTGTACGGGGGGACACTTATACATGCACGTAAGTTAGATGAGCACACCATTTGGGTGCATTGTAGCTGCACTGGCCCGTGCTCTACATATAATGAGAGATTAGAAATCTGCTTTATATTCTAGTCTATCTGCATCATGTTGTGAGGTGATGTGAGAACCCCCACAGACTATACTACAGAATTGCTACCGTTTCCTCCTGTAAGTTTGTTCAAGCATCAGTAAAAGTCTATCCTCTTGGTTACAGACTGGACATACAGTACTTGTAATGTGTAGTTTATGATCGACTCAATATTCTACGTGTACGAGAGAAAAGGATTGGGTCTCCAAATGCAAACTGGTCACTGACCGGTGTATCTACCTGACGTTACAGACCATCAGCGAAGTACATGATACCTATGTGCCCGCCATTATAATACACAACTTACATCTGGATCTTTCTTTCCAGGCCGTACACGTTTCGCAGGCTTCACTATCTCCGGTCGTCCTGATGCTCCTCGTCTTCCTCTCATGGCCATGGCCTTTCGCGCGGCCACTTTAGACCGAGCCATTTTGGGCCTTTCGTAAACTACAAACTTTACTTGAAAGTGGACTACAATAATTTCCACAGTGCAGCGCAACAACGAACTGCTGCCAGCCTTGAACAAACAGTACAGCACAGGCAAAATTAATTAATAGTTTTCAATAATTATTTTTGAATGACTAAACTCGAAAATCTTGATGTTTCGCCGCCATGTTGCTGTTGATATGGTTACACAACACAAATCCATTTTTGTGAATTATGTCATGGCTTATGTCATAGCTATAGCCAAGAGTACATAACCCAATCAAGAGTACATAACCCATTTAAAAAATTAATAATTATTAATTTTATATTGTATACGTGTGGACTGTGCACATATGTGGGAGTCTGGGAGATCGTCTCCGGAGTCCGGAGTCTGTAGACTTACGTACTGATGGAGATGGAGTTCAGTTCGAGCAATCCTATTCCTAGCATGTATGCCAGCATCTATCCTGTAATCACTAAGGCATCGCCTAGGCCTTTTTTGGACTCCCCAAGTAAAAGGCACTAAGTAACTATTACTAGTAGTTGACTAACTTCTACTACAGTCTGTTTCAAAAAGATTAGCAATCAAGTTTGGGTCTTAAAAAGTATGAAGATAAGGGAAATTTGGACAACAAAGTACATAAAACGGCTTGTTAGGACACGGCAAATTGTTCTGTGAAGGTTTCGGAACAATAGACCCTTTGCACAATAAGCGAGAGGGGTCGAGACGGGGCATGCTGTGCACGCGCTGCACACTTGGCATGCAACCAGCATGCATGGTTTGCTGCAGGACGTGATGAAGTTTCCTGTGACAGGCTGTGTTTTCACGGTCCCGACGCGATGTTCATGTATGTACTCCCCAGCCTTTTTTCATTTGAAGTATTTTTAGTTTTGAAGGAAGAAGTTTCGAAGTGCTTTCCAAGGACCACTGTTGGGTTCTTGTTTGCAGCAACCGTCATCCCTAACGTTAGTCTAAGGAACCCACTCGTCTTTCCATGCGTTCCCTGGTGATGCTGGCATTCCACACTCTGGAATCCTGGCTATCTGGCGAGAAGAGGGCCGCAGTGCTGCGATATCGTTCACAGTGTTGTGCTCGGAACGATTTTCATCCTTGTTTTTGCTAAGATAATGAACGCCCTAGCCCTGCCAAGAGACTCTGGAGCTTGAGAAAAAGGCATGACCCATCCCTGTCTTCGCTATTGGAAGATCGACTGCTTGCTGGCGCTGCTCGAGCTGCTGATGTTGAAGTGGAGAGAGACGCAGCCTCATCGCTCAGGTGTGCGGAGAAAGTCATCTGAGTTCGAGCTGTGGCTGTGTGCACGATATGACCGACTTCCACATTATGCACATAGCCACCAAAGTAAAACTCATGGATACTATCCACGGGCTTGTTCACTAGTACTACTCCATCAGCTCCCTCTTCACTGTCGTCGGCGACTTGCCCCTGCGTTGGAGACGAGCAAGGGTGGTGTGGCACTCACTCTGGGAAACAGAGGTTCATCACTCATCCACTGGGTGTCGGACGCATGAAACGTTGGGCATGATGAAAGTACACTCGAGGAAGTGGTGCCCTTCTTAGTTCTAGGAGCATCAGGGTTCTGCATAGAGAAGTGTTCTCTACATCGACAGAGGAGAGAAGGTAGAGAAAAGAAAAATAGTTCAATCTACAGTAATCCGAAATATCCACTGAATGCGGAAAACTTACCGCTCCAAAGACTCCTTCTTTTTCCAGACAGATACGCACCCTCATTCAGCAGAAAACTGTTCAGTTCCTTCACAGACCATTCTTCATTTGACAGTTCGTCCACGGGTTTCACAGCCATCGATGGCAAACCACTCGACACTCTCTCCTCCATCTCCAAAATGGAAAAATACAGTGTTCCACCATGCTCAACAACTGATACTCTGCACAAAAATCGAAGAGGATGCCCCGTCTCGGATCACGTGACCGTTATTGTGCAAAGGGTCTATTGGACCAACCATTAAGGAGTTAGTATTTCGGCCAGGTTTCTGGCCTTCTCCCATGGTTTATAATTTGCCCTGGAAGCCAGTATCGATTTGTTATCAAAACCCACGATTTATCCCTTCCTTTTTGGCCTTGTGGTTATGAATGCTGTCTGCTGACCATGAAGTTGTGAGTTCAAATCCCAACAAATCTTCAAGTCAAACATTTTCTTCTTCATTTTTTCATTGTTTTGGTGATCACGCTGGTACAAGACAACAAAAATTGAAGAAGGTGGCTGCGCCAAACGACTTGTTGTTGGAGCTCGCGTTTCCTGCTGAACTGACTGACACTTGACTGGCTCACGCCATGTGAAGTTGTGAACACACACAACACTGAAACCGTGTGAGTGAACACGGAAGTCATTGCGCTGTAGCTACGTGTTGTTGAATACACGTACACCGGCACATCGATCGATCGATTTCTGTTTGAGAATTATTTTAGTATTTGAAGATCGCCAATTTATTTGAATTTAGGAGTCAACGCCGTCTTCTATCAGCTTTCACAGGCGTCTGCTTTTCTCAAAATGTCGTCGAAGTCACACGGATAGCTTTGCCACTTCAAGGCCTTGGGAATGAGTCTGTGTCGATGCCGTTTTCGTCACATCGTGAGAGTAAATTGCATCCGCGGCAGCTCAAAGAATCTATTTGGTCACAAAACGGACGCATCCCGCTCGTCAAAATTAATTTACCACACTTTGAAGTTTCGACATGTCCTCTCTGACTCCATATCGATACGAGGAAGAACTCGTTTGTTGTAAACCAGACGAACACAAAGTCATGTACGAGTACCGACGTCAGTGAGTTGTCATTTTTCATGCTTTCGCGCGGAATATTTCTTCGAGTTCACAGTGAGTTTTTCCAGGCAGCGCTCGAGCCTTCATACGGTAAGACGGCAAACTCCCCGGGCGATCGCCAGGATTGCTAATCTTTTTGAAACTGACTATAGTACTACACTACAGGCTCTATGCTGGTACTGAAGTAAGGACTTGCATGAAGTGATTTCAATGCATGTGGACATTGGTTGACTCTGCACTGTGCATGTCACATTGTAGTTACTCACATGGTCACACAGAAGCGCATCGTCTCATTTACAGCACAGACATTCATTAGCAAAAAATGTTTTGTATAATATAATAAGTATCATCAACAGTCATTTGTGCGCATTTCCGGACTCGTTCAAATATATCTAAGTTCCTAAAAACATAAACGGAAGAAGCGTCCCGGTATACCAGTAGCAGAACAAAATTGTGATATGAAAACTGTACATATCTTGGCATATCTAGCAATACGTATAGCTCACTGAAGCAATGACGGTCATCTCAGCAGAATTTAAAAATCCAGACTATTTCATACACAACCACCGACTGTCATTCATGAACTGAGGGGGGGGGGGGGGGGGGGGAGTGGGCATCAGTTGTCGAAAATCTCACTGTTTAGTTTGATGCATGGACATAGACATGCCAGTTATCATCACCGGTATAATCATCCGTGTCCTGAAGTCATGAGTCCGGTCTAACGTTATGATCAACTGAGTCCCAATGCCAACTGTACAAGGGAGTAGTGAGACAGAATTTGATATTCACTACAGTATCATTTCAACAGCTTACAGGCGGAGTAACTTGGTGCATTATTCAGTGATAAGGTCAGTCTCATCAGATACAGCCTCGTCCACCTGTGCCGGGTGCAGTTGCGAAATCTTGAAGGTTCACTGGGCACATTGCAGTGCGGCTACCATGGATAAGGAAAACAAAAGGGCGACGGGGGGGGGGGGGGGGGGGGGAGAAAGAGAGAGAGAGAGAGGGGGGGGGGGGGGCGAGGTCGGCAGTGGCCAAGAGAGAGCATGTGCCGCTGCTGCATGTCTCAATGTGGAGCAGCGCTGGACGACTGTCCATGACCGCCAGCCAATGATGATGTGTGTTGTACATGTACACAGGGCAGTCAGCAACATGCACACTGTGCAGCGCATTGACGTGTATTCGCGGTTATGCTCGCCACAGCTATCGCACGGTCACCTTTGCCAACGACTGCACGAGGTCGGGCCGCTCATTTGCCAATGCTAGCAGGCGGATGTTGCGGACGCAACACGCCGCGTTCTCCTGGATCACTTCATTCCGGGATGCCATCATTCTGATCAAGGGCTGCACAGTAAGTAACACGCACACACACACACGCACAACTAGATGTCAACCTCTCTTCATCGCACGCGGAGCGTTTACTTTTACATTGTGTCAAGTCAATGAGCGGCCGCTCGGTTCCTGGCTATCCAGCACCCATGCAGCACAGTCAACAGGTCAACAGGTGTGCAGCACAGTCCACAGGTGTGCAGCAAGATAACAGTGAAACCAGTCTAACACGACCGCTCAAGGGACCTTCAAAATCTGGTCTCTGTTACCAGGTGGTCTCCTTATCCAGGGTCATTTGACTGGAAATAGCATCCCTTGGTCCTGGCTCCAGTGGTCTTCTGGGACAGGTGGTCGCCTTGACAGGTTTTACTGTAACAGTGGCTTGAAATAACAGCCTCAAGTGTACATGTACTTGGCGTGGCACTTGCAAATACTGGGCAGATTTCATTAGCGGCATCCTGGTCATGTGCACATTCCCCTGCGAGAAGAGGCTCGACCAGAATAACACTGACCTGCACTACACTTCCATTATCCTCTTGAGAATCCTCAGAATGGCAAGAATACAGCTCCCAACAGTGTGCAACAGCCGATAGAAAGCTGTCACGAAACGTGTTCATCTTTCGTGTTAGCCAACTATAATGTACTATGCCTTAGTGATGCAAAAGTCGACCGTACTAGACAGAGGAAGGGATAGAGGGCTGATGATAGTGAACAAGGGAAAGCCTGGCTGGTCACAGTCCCCCTCCTTTCTCTGATCTTCTCACGTGATGTACAGTACCCGCAGTTACGCCACTACTATCGGCTGCCGCTGGCTCATTTCCCTTGGTAGCGGCCGTTGGAGTCCCTCCAGGGCCAGTGACAGTATTATTATTATCAGCCTTTTCGCGTTTATATCGCCAAGCAAGCTAGTCTAGTCTTCGCGTAGGCCAAATGGAATGAAGAATGAGGAACAAGGATGTACCATAGGTCCATAGGTTAATTAAAGTTACATGTACATTGTACCTGATCTAATGTGACCAAGTAAGTGACTCTTTTGTAATGGTTACCTTCACAACGCCAGTCTTGTGCAGAGTAATACAGTTGGCAGCGTGGCGTGACAGCTGATAGAGAGCTCTGCAGGTGGCCTGACGCACGTGCTCGTCGTGAGAGGTCAGGTAGGAGACCAGTGGGGCAACAGCACCACACTCTCCAAACGTTTCGCGGTTCCGGCTGTAGTTGCAACACCTGTGAGCAGGGGGAGAGCGGAGAACATGCTAGTTACAATGCGCTCTGAGTGGTTGATTTTCCGGTCTTAGCATGCCGCTGTCCATGCTACGGCGTGCACCAGGGAGCACTAAAACACCTAGCACTTAGCCCTCCCTGGCGTGCACACATCAGGGAGTAACAAATTACCGGTATTTTACTACTCCCTGGGACACATTCAGACATGTCAGCGAAGACTGATGACATATATCTGCTCTCATACCTTGCAATGGCCTCAGCGAGATGAAGTCGGAGACCATCCACTGTCTGCATGTGATCACAACACCCCACACACAACACCACACACACAACATCCCACACACAACACCCCACACACACACAGAACAAGAACGTTATAGAGAGGAGGAGAGAGAGACGGAGAGAGATATAAGGCACCAGGGCACACATTCTGGGTCAATGTGAAGCAATTATCGCCATTAGCATTGCCATGGCAGTAGCATGAACAGCAAACCCAAAACTGATAGTTGTGGCCAGGGAGTAGTAAAATACCGGCATTTTACTACTCCTGGTTGTGGCCATTTAGATGTTGAACAGTCACCAGTGGTCACTGTTGCATGAGCAGCGGTATCACTGTATGGTGCGTAGGCGACCATGATATCATAACAATGGTCTGTGTTAGATAATGGGGCTGTTGAGTGTACATGTAGTGCACAAGGGTGGAAGACCGCTCTGTTGGGTATGGCTGTCGAGCTCACTGAAGTACATAGATGTGGAACAGGGGGGGGGGGGGGGGCAACGATATGCGGACCGACAGTATAGAGGTACGCGATATGCGGACCGACAGTATAGAGGTACGCGACCATAAGATGCCCTGTTCGCGATGTGCGTGATGGGAGGTTGAGTGCACACTGCATGTCTGATTACTAGTATTCAGTACTGTTAGTATATTATCCCGGGTATGTCAATGTTGGTTCATCTGTGCATGTGTGTGTGTGTGTGTGTGTGCGACCCCGTGTGCGCATGTCTGTGTTTGCAGTGAGCTTTAGCATGAACTCAGCACACAGTAGCTGGACGAAGGCAATGGAATTTGAAAGGTTCCGCACACAAGTGAGTTTCATTGTTGCAGGGCTATGAATTGTAGTGGTCGCATCATGGTGTAATCAGTCATGGTTGTGATCCTATATTGTATCTCACTCCGCGAGTGCAATTATGCAATGCGTTGTGTGCCCGGTCAGAGCACCGCGCAAGGCATCAAAGATCAAACTCAACACAAACCCAACACTCATACTCATGCGCATACTCCTGCCCATCGCTGAAGCGATGATTGCGAACAAGCTATGTTAGACATGGCAACTTGTGCTGGGGTTACACCGATCAACAGCTTGCAAGGCTGATGAATTGACCGCCATTAATTTTAGCCTGGTCCACACCAACCCAACACAGACAGACACACACACACACACACACACAGAGCGACACCCAACGCAACGGCGGCACTCAGCCGATCGTTACCAGATAGGCACCGGTCTCCGGACTCCTCAGTGCCGAAGTGAACGGGTAAAACTGCTCATACTCTCCATACACCATCTGATGGAGAGAAGACCGAGTACATCATGCAGAGTATGAACGCCACAATACATCTACACGTCGACATTATTACTGCTATACAATCATCATGTACTGCACCAAGAACATGCCACAGTGCACCATGCAGCGTATGAACAACAAAACTACAGCTGTACCAAAGACACATGCCGCAGTACACCTAGACTATATGTAGCACTCAGTAGTCCACCAGCTCTATGTGTTCACTCCTCTATATGTCATCACCTGTTTACTTCGTGCCTATATGGCTTCCCTGCGACTTTCTCTATAGAACTCCAGGTCATTCTATATAACTCCAGATGTGACTTTCCCTATATATCTCCACTCAGGTTGAGACTTTCTCTGTATGACTCCAACTCAGATTGCCAACTTCTCCATACAAAACCTGAGTTGGAGTCATACAGAGAAAGTCTCAACCTGAGTGGAGATATAGGGAAAGTCACGTCTGGAGCTATAATAGAGAATGGCCTGGAGTTATATAGATGACCTGGGGTTAGATAGAGAAAGTCGCAGGGAAGCCATATAGGCATGAAGTAAACAGGTGATGACATATAGAGACAGTAACGACAAATAGAGAAATGATGCCATACTGAGTGTAACATATATTATCATTACAGCTGCGTCAGAGACATGCTATAGCGCATCAGAGACATGCTATAGTGCATCAGAGACATGCTATGGTGCATCAGCATAGGTCAGTGAGCTGGTCAACTGTATTACACTCCACGGCCAGTATCATTGGTTCGACTCACTCCAGGCCGGCCATGCTGGCTCCAATGCCCATGGTAAACCACGATAATAGTTTCCTCCCTACGATGTGTGCTGACAAAAGCCTCTTTTACGGGCAAACAGAATGCAATTCACAATACAATTCACGGGGTGTGCTACTGCACGATCTCACCTCACTTAACATTTGCCTTTTTCATGAAAATATCAGGATAGGCGACGAAGCCAGATGCAAGTAACCTGAAACGTGGTAAAGTGACCAGCACAGTTTTCACAGTAAATCTGCTCCTGCTTATGTCGTTTGTGAAGGCAACTGATAAAGGAGGACTAGATAAGCGATGTCTGACGGTGTGAAGAGGTTTGCTCCCTGTAAACACCCCCAAATGACCATCAAGTTGGATCAGCTAAACGCATTGCAGCAGCATCGGCAACTCTCACCGTGTTTGTCAGATCCGACAGCATGGCCACCACATTGTGATCGGTGATGACTGCGAGGTTCTCCTCGTCCATAGCAATACGGCCAATCAGAGCACAGACGTTTGACAACACCTGTGTACAGTATAGCGCAGTGTAGCACAGCACAACTACATCATAATATGCACAAATAATATGTGCGTGTGGCTCAGTACTCAGTAAGCCTCATGCCCCTACTCGCACATCCCTACAAGCAGTCCCAGTCCCCGTATGCAGTCATACAGCTGTCATCGTCCCATAAACACTAGGTCATAGCATCACACTGTGCAACGGTAGTTACACGAATCAACACACCACAGGGTGCATGTCTTGTTTTTGCCCAGCTAGAAGAACATGTACCCGGTAGTGTGCTAATCACCAGTGAATAAAACTCCCAGGTCTGCCTTCCAGAGTTCTGCTTCTTTTGTAAGTCAGTACAATGATGATCATTGCTATGGCCTCCATTAGCTGTGTTACCGCAAGGGTGTAGCTTACGTTCAGACTCGTCGACTTAAGAAGATTGATGACAAGCTCCAGACCACCGACAAAGGACCGGACCATCTCACCAGCCTCCTGCATTCCCAGTGAAACACGTCCACACACACACACACACACACACACACGCACACACGCGCATGCACACACCATGTACACACACACACACACACGCATACACACACACACACACACACACACACACACACACACACACACACACGCAGAGTAGAGGACAGAACAGGAGCTATGAGCACACAACATCATATGGAGAAACTGCATTCAATCGAATATTTCACCCTACACCGTATTCGGTTTCGGCCATTCAGCCATTCAGAATATGGAAGGAAAGCTCCAAGGTCAGAAAAACTAGGCTCTAGCTCTACAAAATTATGTCTAAGTGATAATTACGGAAATTACGATTGCGTTCGCGACTATCAGATGTGCTTCCTGCTTGTATCCTCCATTGTACAGTGGTAAACCTCCATTTACCTTAACAAGCAACCGGCATAGCACCCGACATATACATAGTACATCATGACTCCCAGGGTTAAAGAGCCAGGGAGTCAGTTACTCCCAGGGTTAAAGAGCCAGGGAGTCAGTTACTTCCAGGGTTAAAGAGCCAGGGAGTCAGTTACTTCCAGGGTTAAAGAGCCAGGGAGTCAGTTACTTCCAGGGTTAAAGAGCCAGGGAGTCAGTTACTTCCAGGGTTAAAGAGCCAGGGAGTCAGTTACTCCCAGGGTTAAAGAGCCAGGGAGTCAGTTACTTCCAGGGTTAAAGAGCCAGGGAGTCAGTTACTTCCAGGGTTAAAGAGCCAGGGAGTCAGTTACTTCCAGGGTTAAAGAGCCAGGGAGTCAGTTACTCCCAGGGTTAAAGAGCCAGGGAGTCAGTTACTTCCAGGGTTAAAGAGCCAGGGAGTCAGTTACTTCCAGGGTTAAAGAGCCAGGGAGTCAGTTACTTCCAGGGTTAAAGAGCCAGGGAGTCAGTTACTCCCAGGGTTAAAGAGCCAGGGAGTCAGTTACTTCCAGGGTTAAAGAGCCAGGGAGTCAGTTACTCCCAGGGTTAAAGAGCCAGGGAGTCAGTTACTCCCAGGGTTAAAGAGCCAGGGAGTCAGTTACTTCCAGGGTTAAAGAGCCAGGGAGTCAGTTACTTCCAGGGTTAAAGAGCCAGGGAGTCAGTTACTCCCAGGGTTAAAGAGCCAGGGAGTCAGTTACTCCCAGGGTTAAAGAGCCAGGGAGTCAGTTACTCCCAGGGTTAAAGAGCCAGGGAGTCAGTTACTCCCAGGGTTAAAGAGCCAGGGAGTCAGTTACTTCCAGGGTTAAAGAGCCAGGGAGTCAGTTACTCCCAGGGTTAAAGAGCCAGGGAGTCATGCAGGTAGGCTAGGCTTACCTTAGTTTTCTCCATGCATGGACACAGCGCTAAGAGTGCACCGGATTTCACCTGCACAACATACACCATACACCATACAGAGACCATAGCATCAACACACAATCATTTCACTTGTACAAGATACATCATAAACCATAGATCATAAACCATAGACCATAGACCATAGACCATACTTCAAGTAGACTATAGACCATAGACCTGAGACCCCATAGACCTGCGACCGGAGACTATAGACCATAGACCATAGCAGCAACACAACATCAGAACACTTCAGACCCTTGTGACGGGATCTAGAGCACAGGTTCCCTCCTATAAAAATATAAGTCACATCTTTCTGTAGACTATCTTCCAACAGCAGCTCAATAAGTGGAAGCCTTAGGACCTCATTGTCATTATCGTTGCATCCATGTCATAGATTACGTCATGGATTACGTCATGGATTACGTCATGGATTACGGAATGCCATGCAGTAATCTAGAAAACAATATTGCACTGGGTGTGAGCACTGTCTTACACTTTCATTAGAGGACTTCAACAATGACCACAGGTAACGGATGCCATCTTGCTTGTCAATTGCCCTGTGTCGTCACCATACACATAACAGGCACACACATACATACACACACGCGCGCACGCGCGCGCGCACACACACACACACACGCACACACCATTGGACCATTGGACGCCCATCGCCGGAGGCGATGATAGCGATGCTACAGCAGAAGCCATAGCAGCTTGTGCTGGGATTGCACCATTCAACAGCTTGCAAGGCTGAAGAATTGACCGCCACTATCCAGCCTGGTCTACACCACACAGCTATGAAGTGGCTTTTTCTGGCCAGTGAATCCCTACCTTTTGGTCTTTTCACGCACGCACACACACACACACACACACACACACACACACACACACACACACACACACACACACACACACACACACACACACACACACACACACACACACACACACACACACACACACACACACACACATGTGCGTGTACACAAAAATACATGTATACAAACACACAAACAGCATGGGCATCACCACAGACAATAACTTATAATTATCATCTCACAGAGCAACATTATGTAGTGCAGATTTAGTGCAAGGTGCCATCCCTGAATAAGCCAAACAACGGTTACACCTGACAGTAACAACGGGCTTCCAATACATGCATTGCTAGCCAGGATAACCCAATGGCACTGTACCCTCATACCTCGTTTATCCAGGCGGTCCAGGACCGGGTACTGCCCGTAACTTTGAAATGTCCGTGACTCCGAATCACATACATTTGATGGGGAAGACCGTAGATATGGGATATATATGGCGTCACTATTTCCACAAAAAAGTGACAAAAGAGTAGTAATATTTCCACTGGAACTCGCCCAAAGGGTGCCCGGTAGACCGAAGTTCCCGTAGCTACTACTTCGGGATCTGGATACATGTACTAGTAACCGAGGTATGAGCGTGTTACAAATGTTCTCTGTGTCAGCACACCATGGTCTCAGATCATGTTTCCTGATACTGTTTTTTGTTGTTGTAGATGATGTTGAGCATTAATTTGATCACGTACTGTACACATTCCAGGTCCGCCGCTAGGTTCTGTATCGCCATGGTCACGTTGATGAGAAGCCGCTCGTTGGTGCCAGTCAGCAGTCGAACCAGAGGAAGAATTCCACCAGCTTTGCGGATGGTCGTACGATTGTCAGCATCCTGCGCTAGCAAGCCCAGCGCGCCGGTCACGTTCAACAGTACCTGCGCCGTGCAGACAAGCGGAGAGAAAGCAAGCTGGTATCATTTTGCGAAAGCAAGGAGCTGCAACTGGCCATGACAAAACTAGCTGGGGCGAGTGGACTAAGAATTTCTCCAGCAAGCACTGTCAATTAACGGACACAATGGAAACAGATTACCGCAGTACCAACAAGGGATAAGACAGTACTCACTCAGTTCAGACTCAGGACCGCTGGAAGAAGTTTTGAGATAGTCCTGCACAAAAATGTCACGTTTTCTAAACGAATCTGTTCGTTCTTATGAGCCGACAGGGAATTTCATGATCATGCTCAGTAAAGGGTGGCGAAGGATACTAGTAGATCACAAAGTATGAAAGGCTTTGGTACGACCGGACCAATTGAATACTACTTCCAGCGGTCCTGGATCAGATACACCAATCAGAAGACTGAAATCAGATCCGCTAGCTGCATTCAAGTTACCTTCGTGTATGCCACGTCCACTCCCAACAAACTGTAGCTTGCAGCAGCAGCAACAGCAGCAGCACGGTGGTCACAAGTGACTTGACTTGCCAGTGAACTGCATTGCTGGCCAGGGCCTGACCAGCTGGACCGTTTTCACTAAACTCGAGATATGAATAACTAGCTATTTACTAGTACACCAGTTTGCCACCCCAAGTCCTGATCACTGAAACTGGATGATGCCTCCAGTTCGGTTTCCCTATTTTAGGGGGGGGGGGGGGGGTGGGGGGAGCAGATATATAGGATGACCAGTGAAAATAACCAATGTGCACATGTAAGTGTAGTGAGTGAATTGACCAGCAATGTACTCACGTCCTCAGACTCCTTGCCAAGAAGCGCTACCAAGTAGTCAGTCGCCTTGCAATCGCGAAGTCTGTACGGACCAAGGTGGAACACACACACACACACACACACACACACACACACACACACACACACACACACACACATTATAACTATTGCTTCATGAACCCACACAGACAGACACATGCACACACAAATACGCACACACATGAAACGCACGCACACACACACACACACACACACACACACACACACACACACACGGACGCACACACACGCACACACACGGACGCACACACACACACACACACACACACGCACAAATACATAATTATACATGTACAGTTATACAAACACAAGTACATATACACACACTGACTTACACGTTGACACTCTCCCTGTCGTGGCAACATTGATAGAGAGCGCCAGTCACGGACTGCACTATCGCTGGCGTCTTTGCCTCGGCCAACATCTTGCTCAGTGGTGGCAAGCCACCATACTCCCTCACTTGTCGGCGTACGTCTTCATGCTCTGCAGCCTATACCATTGTCATTGGCGTTTGAGATAACGAAACACACATGCAGACATGCAAACACATCCACACATACACACACACACACACACACACACACACACACACACACACACACACACACACACACACACACACACACATCACATAGAAAGAGGGCTGCAGCCTTTTATAGCAGCATACGCACAGCGGGGCATGTGTGCGAGCAACACTGAACACTGAACAATGTATACCAGTACGCTCGTCAGTGATTTTTTCTTTATTAAACTCAATCTCATAACATATGCAAGTAACGCTAGTGTGGGGATCAACCCCAGAGATGAAGGTGATGCAATTTATTGATGACATGCTACTCCAACGAGGAGTCGAGTCTACTAGTGTTCAGCGACAGAGGGTGAAGCAAAGGTTCCCCCTGACTTACTTTGAAGACAGCATTGGCAGCCAGGTCTTGCAATTCCTGATTGGTGCTGCTGAACAGCTTTACCAGTTCTGGGACCATTCCCTCTGAGCGCATCAACAGCTGGAAACGTGGCTGACGGTCGGGAAACAAGTACAGATATCAGAACACATGAAGCTCTTGTCAGCAAGCGCACGCGCATACGCACACGCGCACACACGCACACGCGCACACACACACACACACACACACACACACACACACGTACGAATAAATTGTCATAAGGGACCTCTTTACTGTCTTATGTACCAAGGTGGAGGACGCGCATTAAGAGATAGTCTGACCGATAGGCAAGGTGCTCAGTTAAATATGTGGACACTTTTTTCATACTACAGGTCTACCCTCGGTAGTAGATAACGCGGGGGTTCAGTATTTTTTTGTTTTACGAGAGAGCTTGGAAGCTCAGGGCCCTACGCTATACTTTTTTGCCTTGATGACCTAGACAAAAAAAAGCATAGGGATGTTATAAATTCTTTAAAAAATCCCCTTTTTTTTAAAGACATAACCTGGGATTCGAACCCGCACTATCGCGTGCCCTGCCTGCATCCCCCGATACACTTCGCATACATACTAATTCTTCCAAGTTGTTTCACATTGTGATCTTGCATTTGAAAGCCCTATTTGAATATTCATTGTGGCCAGCCGTCTTTGATGGCACGGTACGGTAGGGGATAGGTACGGGACAGGTACGATCGAGGGTAATACGACACCGTCTCCCGTACCGTACAGTACCATCAAACACAGCTGGCCACATACAGCTGCCCGCAATATTCAAATAGAGCTTTCAAACGCAAGATAATAACGTGAAGCAACTTGGAAGAATGGGTATGAATGCGAAGTGTATGGGGAATGCATGTAGGGCGATAGTGGGGGTTCCAATCCCAGGATATGCCTGAAATAAAAATAGGAGAATTGAAAAATTTATAACATCCTATGCTTTTTTGCCGTCAGATACGGATAGCGCCAGGCGTGACACAAACAAACAAACAAACACACAAACAAACAAATACCAAATTAAAGCTGTGTGGACCATGGCTAGCGCCAGACGTTACTGAAGTAAGGTCTTCTGCATAGCTACGGGAATAAAGAGTATTATCTACTATCCATCCAGACTTGGATGTACGAATGCTGTTAAATGCGTTTCAGGCGTCAGGGGATTTTGGATCGCTATCTACAATGTGGTTTGTCTTGTAACCGATGTCATACTAACAAGGGTTGAACTCTACAAAGCTATTGTTGTAGGTATAGTGTGTCCAGCAAACCAATACATGTGGGGTTTACCAGTCAGCTGACAGTAACCATAGCAACCACCAACCTGAACAGTGCATTCCTGGATTGTGCCCACCACTGGTATTAGCAGTTCCTCCTGCGTCGACGTCAGCAGCTTGCCCAAGTGCGAGAACGTCTTGGCGTGATAGATCGCCTGCAGACAGTACACGTGTACATACAGATGAACGGTGAGCCATGCATGCATGCACCATGCATATCAGTAAGTAGGTATATTACTACTCCCTGATGCATATGCTAGTATACACCTCTCACCCGACCATGGCTTAAGTAGGTATATTACTACTCCCTGATGCATATGCTAGTATACACCTCTCACCCGACCATGGCTTAAGTAGGTATATTACTACTCCCTGATGCATATGCTAGTATACACCTCTCACCCGACCATGGCTTAAGTAGGTATATTACTACTCCCTGATGCATATGCTAGTATACACCTCTCACCCGACCATGGCTAAAGCAGGGAAGATCCTCTGGTGCATGAACATGTACATACAACGCATTGGCGGTCAGCACTCTAGCGCGCACGTACAGTTGTGCTCGGTGAAATCCGACCCAAAGTGCAAAACTGGCGTCCTGTACCAGTTCTGATTACATCATCGCATTTGTACTCGTGTACACGCCTATCCCCACTTGTGCTGCTTCCAGGGCGCCGAGGGCCGTGCAAAGTGAGGGTGTCAAATGTACACTCTGGGTTGGATTTCACCGTGCGCAACTGTACTATAGTTGCAGTCAACGTTGCGAATAACGACACTCGGCGGGGCATCAGAAAAGTGTCCTTATTCGCGAAGTG